GCGTTCACCCCCTCAACTCGCAGCCAGAACAAGCGGCCACGTGATCTGGAGCCGATTATATGCCGCCAGTGTTGATCATAGCCACGCGCTGGGGTTGGCAAAGCACAGGGCGCGCGCTGAGTTCCAGACATTGTTATGGCTCGGCTGTTGTCGTCGTTGCAGCGATTGGACACGGGCCACTACCCGAATGTTTCTCGAGCTAGTAATTATCACGAGCCCAAATCGAGTGCCCACGCAATGCTCGGGTCCAATCTATGAACCGCATTCAAATATCGTCACTTGGGTGTACTGCGATCCCCGAGTTACGTCATCAAATTTTGCAAAGGAGAGATTGAATGAAAATGATCGCTTTTGTCCTTGAAATTACACCGCAACAAAGGAGTTTCTTGGCCAGTGGCGTTGCGTGTGGGTATCCTTGAGTCCCAGGTGTGCCAGTAAGCTCGTGTAAAGCGAAAAACATTCCAATTGAATATCGTTGCACAGCTCCTTTAAGTGTACGGAGCTGCGCCGCTGCGAGCTCGAAAACTTCTAGCGCTCATCCCAGCGCGCCACTTAGAGGGCAGTTTCTACAGGAACCGTAATATATTTAAACAGTAAAATAAAGGATAGCGTCTTTGTTTTTTTTCGATTTTGCCTGTCTTTTTTTTTATGCTAAACTTCCATTATAAATATACGTACTTTCCGTCATACTTTCGTAGTGTTGTCTTTTCCCCAGAGCGCAATCGCTCTCGGGGACCGACAGTCACATTGGCCACTGTACGATAGGAGCTTACCGTTCAGACCAGCGTTCCAACATGACTATCCACACGTCGATCGACTGCACCTAATCCCTCAAGTGGTTTTAAACTCTTTAATGTAAAGCGGAATGTCATCCTGCGACACCCCGGCCCCTCCGATAACGGCCAGACTAGCGGCATCAATGCCCGACAGTTTACGTCATCTCATCTTGTTGTTACACCACTGATACGCGAACACACGGTCACATCGGCGATAATTCCAGTCTTCTGTTCACAACCCACAACACTGCCATCACGATGTCGCTGACACGAAGAAATACAGAACCACGTTGACGATGTTGCTGACACGCAGAAGAATCACGTTGAACGCCGGTTGGCACTCGGCACGGGACAACGGAACCGAACTCAGCACGGAAGGCACCCAGGCAGCCGGCAGGAAAACCTGCCTTCCTTGGACGCAGTTCCCGCGATTTCCATAACGTCGAAAACGTCGACACAGTTCCTCGTGGTTTCGCTACAGAGGCTAGAAAGTAGTTTCGCTGCTGTAGTTCCGCGTGTGTCCCGCAAATTGGAGACGGCCGGCCGTCTTACCCAGTGTATGTAGCGCTGCTGGCACTGCTCCGGAACTTCGCTGTTTCTAGCGGCTTCGTTAGCTCATTTGATAAAATTAGTGGTAAAAACGTCAATGCAACCGAAATGTTCTGCACGTTTGGACTAGAAGACGGAATTACAGGCGGCCTTCGCTGCCGCTGAAGCTCAATCAACTCAACATTAATTTATTAAACAACGTGCGCGATGTGCTCGAAAAACGAAACCGAAAGAAGATGGGTCGGGAGGGCGAAAGCTTTCTCCGGTCTGCCTGGAGGAGGAAAACGTCTCGGAGAATAATAAGGACTTTAATTCTCCTTTCATCGGTCGGGGTTTGTTTATGTGTGTTTTGGTAAACAAAAAAAAAAAAAAAAAAAACTTTACAAAAAAAAATTAAAAAAAAAAACGACTTTCCTAGGGATCGAACCGTTGACCACTTGGTCAGTAGCGCGATGTTCTACCCCTGCGCCAACTGAACAAGGAGGAACTCGCCCTCCTCCTTTCATCTGAACTGCCGTTCCTCCCTTCTCTGGGCAACTTGTCCGCAACAAGGAGGAACAGTCGCTTTTGCTACCTTTCTCCTCCCTTTTTTCTTAGAGTGCATTCTCGAAGCCCAGGGTCATTAACGGGAAAAAATGAGAGTGGAACAACGAATAGAACCTGAGAAAGTAGATGTGTGTTTACTATAATGAGATCACGTAATCCTGATCTACAGAAGGTGAAGTTCCATGTTTTTTGGGCATATAGGCTTCATATCTGACTTGTCTGTAATTCTTTTTTTTTTTCTTGTTTCTTTTACTGTTGCACACATGTGCCAAAAGTGTTCGTTTCTTTTTCAGTGTATTTGTGCCGTTATTCTTTGAGTGATCATAAATATCAGAGCTACAATGATCATATAATCCTGAGTCCGTTGGTGTTTATTTTATATTCACCGAAAAAAAAAAAAGATGGTAAACTTTTGTGGGCCTAAATGCACACGAAAAAAAAAACGAAAATTGAATTTTAAAATAAACACCGAAAAAAGTATGCCGAATTTTGAAAAAATTCCTATAGGTATAAATTTAAACGCTATAGGTATAAATTTAAGGCGCGTTTTGTAGGGCCTGCCTTGATCATGAGTAGGGTTCAGTGTTTTCGAATAAATCCGAAACAAAAAAAAATCCGAAAAAACACTCGCCGGTAAATTTTCCGTCAATTCGGATTTATCCGCAAAACTCGGAATTTCGAGGTCACAGCGACAAAATAAACAGGAAAAAATACGCAGTTTTAGAATTAAACTTTCTAAGAGCACAAGGTCAGTGGTCCTGCGGAGATTCTACTTCGGTTTCTTTCAAATCTAGAACTACTGAAAAAAAATGGGGGGGGGGGGGGGGTTGCCTTTTTGCACGTCTAGGCTCCTTCGGGACAACGGGTCATGGTACCCGGACGTGATTTATCTTCATTTTTATTTTTTATTTTTTTTTATTTTATGCAGTAAAATAAAGTTCGATTTTTAAAGAATTTGGAATCTAACAAAAATAAACTCCGAAAAACGCCCTCTGAATTTCACGAGAAATAAACTCCGACAACACGGAATCTTAGTCATGTGTGGTGTTGGTGGTGAATGATTCCCGGAGAAAAGCTCAACGGAGAAAAGCTGGCTGCAAAACCGGCGTATGCAGAGAAAGCTCACCGATTATTTTTCTTCTTTTCATATGGAGGCTGTCAGATCATGCGTAACATACATGAATTTCTTATCATTAAAATTCGTCAGTATTCTGAAAAATAAAATTTCTTTTTTTTTTATTACTTGTTAAGCTTATGGGGTATATTGCTCCCAAAATAATTATTTCGGGCGAGTGGTTTTTGTTGTTACTCTGTAGACAACGAAAGCCTAACTGAAAACTTCATGAACACCAAAAGACAGGAAAAAGTTAGAAAACCTAATAATGTCTGCTTAAAAGCTAAAAAGCAAAACTGCAAATGCCGACAATTTGGAAGTGCATGCGCAACAACGCGGTGCCTAAAATTCTCTTTGAAGCTTTTGTCAACCTTTGAAAACAGGATAAAAGGGTCAGTAGGATATCGAGGTTTCTTTCTTCCATGGACATGCACGTTTTCTAGCCGTTCGGGCTGGTTCCTACACACGTTACCTTTCTGTGATTGTGCCCTTCTACGGCGAGCCACCCATGGCCTTCAGAGCTGCACTGTTACCGTTGTTACTCGTGACCTATATAAGAACTAGTCTTATGTAAGGTAGCGAATTGGGCGAGTTGGTAAACGTTATACATGACGAAGCCGCTCAAACGACGAAGACGGAGTTCAGACGACGAACACGACAGGACGAAGGTGCTCTCGTACCTAAAGTTTTATTAGTGAAAAAAAAAAAAAAAAAACAGGAAGAAAACAGCGTAGCGGACAGTGATTACATCAACAAACACCTACTCATCTGTCAGGCACCACGATCTTCAGAGCTGAAACGGTTCACGCTCCGCTATTCATATTAACTCGCAAAGAAAAAAAATAAATAAATAAAATAAAGTATTTGACAGAGTTACCGACGGTGCACTGTCCAGTTGTCAATAAATTGTTTTCTTTTCTACTACGTGTATTATACTTGCGGCGTCATTATAGACATGATGGGTGATTATAAATTTCTGAGGAATTAGTAAATATGGTCAATAAACTTCTAGAATGCCACAAAACAGAAGATAACGATTTTGAATGAAGTGGCGAATTCTAATTGTGTTAAATTATCACGTGTGACGCACAATCCGTTAAGCTAAGAAAAAAAAATTTTTTTTTTTAATTTGTTGTGTTTATTTTTGTATCCGCTCAAGGGCCGGTGAGCTTTTCTCCGCCGCCCAAGCTCGGCGCAAGTAATTTCATGAAAGAAGGTTACTGCGCGTTTACGCGTTACATGTGTTACTATGTTACAGCATAGTACGCACAAATAAGCAGAAGGCGGCATGACGACAATAAAGTTAAATTTGCTTCATAGATGCTTCGACTGCAAAACCCTGAGCATCTGAAATCGGACAACGAGCAACTGGTACGTGAGAGATAGATTATAATAAATATCTCCCAGTCCTTCGTGTGCCTTTTTTTTTTTTTTGTGAGGGGGGGGGGGGGGGGGGGGGGGAGGGACGAAATAATTCACAGAGAGAGCGAGAAACAGGTGGTCAAAGTAATATCGCCTGAAACACATAGGCGATTCATAACGATTGTTTTTGTCTTTGTTCTGTTTTTCTTATTTGTGCACGCTAACGCTTACTTTTTTTTTTTTTTTTTTTTTGCTGTGAATGTTTATGCATCGAGAATTCAAACCACAGCTATATCCGTTCACACCGCAGCCTTCATTTTTACAAGGTCAATTTCGGACCACGCTTCTCCAATAGCTATCTGACCTCTCGTCCTCATGCGCCTATGCTACCGTGAATTCACTTTCTCTATAGTAAGTCATCCCACCCCCTCCACCTTCCTACCGAAGAAAGTTTCAGAGATAACGAGCCCACCTTTTCAACTTTGCACACGTTCCCAACGACTTCGAACCAACCGCCGAACATGCAGATCCGGGAGAGAGTTTTTAAAACAATGCGCTACGGTCCGAAGGCAGGCTATAAAAGGAAGTCGTTCAGCCAAAGTACATCACATCGTTTCCAGAACCTTCGAAGCCATTCCCCTGCCGCCGCCACGATGAGGATTGTCCTGATCTCAGCCCTGACCGTCGCCATGCTGCTCCTGCTCTGCGTGGCGCCCGCCGACGCCACCAAGCATCTCATCTTCGCGCCGTTCATCTGGGCCGGGGGCCTTGTCAAGGACGCCACCCACGGTCTGATCGCCCACAAGCTCTCCATCGCCACCAAGCTCCTAGCCATGATCACAGGTAACCGCTCCTTTCGGGCTTCCGTTCAGTACGACTCCCGGCTTGAAGAGTACCAGAAGCCACCGACAGAGACTGGCAGCTACTTCCACAAGGTCCCGGAGGTCGTCCCCAAGCCCAGCCCCGTCAACGTCGAGCATGACGTCAAGGTCGACTGGCTGCCCGGTGTCAAGATGCCCCATCCACACTTTCCCCATCTGCATGTGCCCCAAGTTCATCTTCCCCATCCGCACCTGCCCAGCCTTCCCTCGTTCCACCTGCCCAAGTTGCCCCTGCCGGACCTGTCGCACCTCACCAAGTTCCACAAGATGCCGCAGCTGCCCTCGGTTGCAGGCATGTTTCACGGTCCCAAGTTTGCGAGCGGGTACGTCAACGGCGGTTTCAAGATCGGCCACGGTGGGCCCGCCGATCAAGTCCGGGGACGCTCCTTCAACTTCACCATCAAGGGTCCCCTCAAAGGTCGGGTTGCCTTCGGTGGTGCGAGTGACACCACAACGAGTCCTAAGGCCGTGGTGCAGGAGCTGACCAAGGTAGCTACCAGTAACGCCACTCGCAACTTCACGACCACTGTCATGGACCTTTCGCAGCAGCTGATGAAGCAAGCCAACGGCACGAACTCTACCCTTCCGAAGTTCATGACTCGGCGGTCCGCCGACAAACCCAGCTTGGCGACGTATTTCTCCTTCATCCAGTCCAACGACGAAGGCGACTGCATCCCGAAGATGGTCTGCTCTATGGCTGCTCAACCCCACGAGTTCGGTGACTATGGTGCCAAGGTTCTCGAGTTCTTCGAGGCCATGGAGCCTTCCCCGTCGGCTCCCGCTCACGCCTACAAAGAAGCCATTCGCCGCGGTCAACAAGGTCTTAATTGTTCTGAAAAGTATCCGAGTTGCAAGGTGGATTCCAAGCATCTCGCGCAAATTGGAGGCTCTGAGCTATAGACCATGTATCATGCTGTAAATAAATTTGGCTACATTTTATTATTATTCACCGTTTCTTCTATTCTTTCTGCGAAAGTTCAGTATGCTTTATTAACTCCATGCGAACCAAATTTGAGCAATCCGTTATATGACGCAGGTGTCTCCTGTTTCCTCCTATGCGATCTTCTTTTTCTCTAGGGTTCCTCAATATCTTTCTGTTTAGGGTGATGCCACCCTTTGTAGTACCCGCTGCCGACAGCACGCGCTCGCGGGTAATATATAAAGAAATCGACGAAAACAAAATGTCGCCATAGCACAGCCAGCGCTAGAAACGCGTGCAGAGTGACGCTCTTTCACGCGCTTCTGATCAAAAAAAAAAAAAGAACGTGTGGGAGCCTAGGATGATCCGAACGTATAAATGAAAACCACGAGCTTCTGCTCTATTTTTAATTGTGTTATTTTTAGTAGATGGCGACATTTGGTGATGATGACTAGTGGAGAGCTCTCAACATTCCGTCTGCTTCTACCTCCCCAGCCTTTCTTTCCTAGTAGGGTAAACGTAAAGCACTATATAGCTTCTGCGGAGCAGAGTAGCGCAATCCTTTGAACCCCGTGTTTTGCCGACAACATGGCCGACAGAGCAGCTCGGCACGAGTCACTAGGTACTCAGGGTTCCAAGAGGCGGATCGCCCTATGGGAGAATACATGGAGATCGACATAACACGGCTGATCCTGTAGTTAGTAAAGCGCTAAACACTTTGTCAAAGTCTTAATAATATCGGATGCGTGTGCAAATTTTGAGAAGGCAATTTCCAGGGCCATGGCCTTTGAAGCAGACGATTTTTGCTCGCAGCGGAGATGGGCTTTTCGGGTTGGCCGGAGCGGGTCACGTGAATGGTGTGACGTCGCCGTGTCGTCTGCTGCATGATGCCGCTCAGGCAATTTTTTAAAAAAAAGTTATGTCCTTGCATGGCACAAAACTTATCGCAAATTATTTTAAAATGTTTCATTATTATGTCAAAAATGATTGCCATTCCGTACATCCCCACAATACTGAAGAAACAACGATTTTCTCACGTTCTCCATGCATTTCTGACCGCAGTTGGAACCTCCGGGCGTTCGCCGCTAGTCGCCGAGAGACGGCGTTCTAGATTGCGCTACTCTGCTCTAGGTAAACGGTCTACGAAAACTTCCTATTGTGTCTCATTGTAGTACCTCACTACAATGTCTCATTTTGCCCCACTGGGCGGGGCAAAACGAGAGATTGTGTGACTTCCAGATATTGGTAGTTTTGTTTATTGTTTCCCGTAAACTCGGAACATCCAAGAATATCTTCATGCTGAGTATTAGAGCGCAGTTCTTAGGCGCCCGTTTCTGGCTTGAGCGGCGTCGCCGTCGGCATAACCGCGCGTTGCATTATGGGACGTTTCCCATAATGACGTCACTAGGAGAGGATACCCTCCTCTTCGTACCCTCCCTCGGTCCTCCTCAAGAGGTGTGCTGATTCGGCATTACAGAGAAATGTAAACGTTTCATTTTTTTTTTCTTTTTTAATATTGAAGCAAAAAAAAATTGAATTGGAATTAATATTTTTTTCTCATTTTGCCCCACATCATTTTGTTATAATGACACCTGACTGCTGTGCAGTACTGTTGAGACGTTGTCTTTTTATAATAATGCAATTTAATGCAAAGGTGCAAGCGAGCTGGACAAGAATGACGAAAGTAATCCCTGGAGAAGGGGAACAAGAGGTCGCTCACCAGTCACCTAGCTGTGTTTGGGGATTTATGTTTGTCCTTTGTCCCTCTTGTTCCCCTTCTCCAGGGATTACTTTTGTCGTTCATCTTTGTATTCAACTTTAAAATTTGTTTAATTGTTTTCCTCACCACGGTTTTCGGTGTTACACGACGATTAATTATCACCAGCTCGCCTGCACACTGACTGTTAGTTCGTTAGAAGTTCAGTTGTACCTCATGACTTTTTAGTCGTGAGGTACAACTTCGCACTTTCACTGAAATTCGAAGAAGTTCGACTTATGGACAGTGTTTCCCTGCTTCTACACGAATATTTTGAATTTTGGGGAACAAATGATTTAGAAAGTAGTTTATTTCATATTTTATAAAGTGGTTACCAATGTTTACACTATATAAAAGCGAAAATATGCGCTTTTAATGCTTTCGTCAGTTAGTAATGTGAACCAGTGATGCCAATACATGGGTTGTACGTGACCTCATTCAAAGAGCGCTTCGATGACCACCAGAGACGAGGGCAAGAAGGAGCTCCCCTCTTACCAGGACCCTCTTTTTGTTCCTCCCGGATTTGCACAGGCGTCTCTATTCTCCTCCCTGAAGATTGTAGAAGATTAACCGTCACTCAAAATTCTTCTAAAAACAGCTTCCCTTTCCTCCTCTTACAACAAATATTGCGCTTTTCGTCCGCCAGGTGGAGCCAATTGGTTTTCTAACTTTTGCGCATGCGCACAAAAGACGGAACTTCAGTCGAACATTCCGTTGAAAGTTCGAAAAAATCGAACTTCGTCGAACTCGAACCTGGGCAGGTTCGCGGCACCCCTATCACAACGCAAATCCCCGTCACGGCGACGCGCGACACCACACACTTTCGTCTCGCCGCCCTGAATGCCCCGTGCGTCTGCTCGTGACCGTACCAGGGTAACGAAGCTAGCGACGTTCAAGGAAACCCCGGTAGAGGCCGCCATGAGTCATGGTGACGTCACGACGACGTCAGATATGTTTAATAACTCACTCTGGCCATTAAGACGAATGCAGCCTGTGGATAGAGCAGTACGGCCGTCAACCTCCATGTTTCATCGGGACGCTCTTTCTGCGGTCAAGCGTACGGTTCTTGTTTCCGCCGCCTCAAAACGATGGTTATGATGGCAATGCAATTAATGCAAAAGTGCAAGCGAGCTGGGCAAGAATCACAAAAATGATCCCTGGAGAAGGGGAACGAAGGCGACAAAGGACATGCACAAAACGTGCGGGGTAGCGAAATGGCGCTACCCCGCATGGGTAGCGCCATTTCGAGAGCGAGAGAGAAAAGGGGAAAGGGCTACCGGTGCTTCCCCCTCGCTGGGTCGTCAGAAAGAGTGAAAGCCCCGGATGAGAGGCTTCGTCGGTGTTGGGTGTATGCAGTACCCGAACTTCGTTCGCGCTTTCTTCTCTGTTTTAAACTCGCAAACTTAATTAGAGTCATGGTCTTCGATGGCGACAGTCCCCCGGTCATCGGGACACCATTGCTCGGTGATAGGGTACAGGAATAACGACAGAAAGCGTCGAATACTGTCCGAGGACCTATGTAGCTTGCAGTGGCGGATCCAGGAGACGCCATTGGAAACTTGCTGAGCGTCATCCGAAACCCCTAAATCGGTAATTTTTACAAAGACTTCGAGCGCGTGAGAAGCGTAGTAGTGCGCTAAAGTGGAGCCGGTACAAGGCTGGGGCTAGACAAGAGACGGAAAATAGCGTGGGCGCCTTACCGCAACCGCTAGCCTTGTACCTGCTCCACGGGTGGTAACTTTAGTGCACTACTACGCTTCTCACGCGCTGAAAGTCTTTCTGAAAATGACTGATTTAGTGGTTTTCGATAACGCTCAGCAACTTTCTAATTGGAACCACATGTCTACTTTCTCTAATGAAAAAGTTAATTAACAAATTTTAGTTAACTAGCCGACTTACCGCAAAGATTAGCTACCCGCATAATGTCCCCCTGGCCTTATAACTCTCCTGCACAAGCCGCATAAGTGTAGCTTTCACGGCTTTTTTTTTTTTTTTTTTTTTTTGAACAAATTTGCTAAGCTGTTAAGCTTTCAAAAAAACACCCCATATATATATAGAATGGAATTCCATAAGTTCCAGGAAGGGCCTTTAAACGTTTCAAGCGTGGACCACTCTTCTTCAGGGTGGGATGTGTGTAAAATATCCTCTTCCCCCACCCGAAGAAAAGCAGTCCCCGCTTGAAACGTTTAAAGGAGCTATGATACGACAAAAATAAATTATGGTATAACTATACTGCTAGAACCTATTGTATTTCCCTATAATCCTGCTAAATTTGTTTTGAAAACGGCGCGAAAGTTTCGTGGATAAATCGATTTATATGCGAGTCCCTCGGATCCACCTCATTGGAAAGAGCTCCATATGGCTGAGAGGCTCGTGACGTAGCCAGTCTCCCACGCGGCGTCCCCTTGCACGCACTCATGGGCGTACCAACTGGGGGGGGGGGGGGGTGCAAGGGGGGCGCCCTTGCCCCCACCCCCAGTTCTCAGAGTTGGAAGCAAGGCAACTGTTTTGCCCCCCCCCCCCCCCCCCCCCCCCTGGAACAGCTGCCATTGGGCAGGGCAAACACTGGCCGACGGCGCCTAAGGAATACCAAGGGCACCGCCCCCCAGCCTTGGGAAGGGGGGAGGGGGGGGGAACCTAACTTGCCTCCCCCCCCCCCCCCCCCCCACTCCAAAACTAGTTGGTACGCCACTGCACGCACTAACAGACTTGGCTCTTGGCGTCTCGAGCTTCAGCTTCCTCTTTTACCATCCGCGTTTCGAGCATGCGATCCGTGACGATTACGTGTACGGCATCGCCCGCCTTGTCAAATTGTTTAACATTGATCGCAGCAGCGATGAGAGTGATTGCTATCAAGAGATGTTGGAAACTGTTCATTTTGACTGCCCAGAGGCACATACGGCCTCACACACATTGCACTCGCAAAACACATCCACATGGCGTCGATTCTTGATCAGGGTATCCAAGCGTGCGAAGGCACAGAGACACAGCACTTCGGCGTGCCAAGGAAGCTTTGAACATGCCGCTAGACCGGCGAAAATTGCTTTCGGCGAGTTGTGCCTTTTGCCTGCAGCACTCCGCTGTCGTAAAAATTTCCACGACTTCTCAACGGCAAGTATCACGGCTCACGCCAGTAAAAAACGCACAAATAGGCCAATAGCCCAGCTCACTTCCTTAGAACATGATGCGGTCGCCTAAATGTTTCTTCCACCGTGGTCATCACCTAAATGTTTCTTCCACCGTGGTCACTGCGTTCAAAGTTTCCCGCGTCCAAGTCGCGCCACACGCGCGGAGTGCCAACGTTGCGGAGTGCGGAGGAAAATTCTCCGCACGCACAGGGATATGCGGAGAATCCAACACAATCCGCAATCGGATTCGGAGTGCGGATAAGAATCCAAAATTATCCGCAGATCAGAAATTAGAATCAACCACTATCCGCACTCCACCGGGGTGAAGGTACGATGTACGGTGGTGAAGGCAGTGAAGGCGTGAAGGCAGGGACGGGATAGAGACGTAAAGGGTGGAGTTTAGACGTTTAGAGTTGTCTCTGCGCCCTGTTTGATAAGTGTAGAGGGCTGTTATCGGCGGTACCGCCAACAATAGTACAGCTACATTAAAAAAGGACGGCACGACCTCCACGATACTTCCGCTAGAGACACCTGAACTTCGTTTATAAGCAGACTCAACATGACATCGCTGTTGAGAGGTAGGTACGCTGCAAACCTTTCTTCGCAGTAGTCTAGCGGCAATGGTCGCACTTTTCAAAACATCCTTGCTTTCGACGAGTTGCCGAAGACCCAAGTTTGGTAGCTCTACGCGCGTTTCCGTACAATGCGCTTCCACTAAAAAAAGTGTACATGAACGACATCAAATACTCCTTTGGGCTGGACGCTCCCTGCCGTAGTACCCACACTCTCTACCAAAAATTGGAAAATCTTAATGTGAAGGTCACTAATTGAGGGCAAGCAAGAGAGCATAATCGAAAGACTCAAACTGAGCACGCATGCCCGGTAATGGACAATACATACGCACTGAAAAGTCACTGCTGTTACAACCTGGGTAATGTTTAGCATATATTCACCGAATGGATGCTACTTAACACGTGATCGAAGTTGCAAGCCTCATTAATTTATCCATTCATTTTTTCGTGCTCAATAAGTATGCACTAACAATAATAATAATAATAATATTTATTTTGGTTCAGGAGAACCGCGGTGCCGCATATCTTGGGTTGTCAGTGATGATGTTATACATGCCTTGCACTAATGTCACATCATCCATTTCACGCCACCACAGAAGAGAATGAGGGAGAAGCTGCTTTTGTACGAATTTTGAGTGACAGGTTAATCTTCTATAACCTTCTAGAGGGAGTATAGCAACCTCTGGGCACAACTGGGACACACAAAAGAGAGTCCCAGTGAGAGAAGAGTTCTCCATTTTCTCTTTGGTTGTGACCGGAGAGCTTACGGGATGGTGTCAGGTGCAAAGCATGGATACAATTTGCATGGGTAATGAAACTGGCAAAGAGTGTATTTAACAAAGACGAGAGCAATAACGCTAACTAACGAGCAAGGAATACAAGTATGAAAGTAACACACAAAATGCGCGGCATATTTTGAAAAGTTAACAGCTAACATATGTTTATGACACATGGAAAAATAGTTGAATATTAGTCAAAGAACTCTTGAATATTTGAATGTGGGGTTTGAAGATGATGTGGTTGGTTGTAAAGAAATCCACTCGAGGCACGCTATTAGCGTGTGCTTGACACGGAGCCACAACTATGGCACATAAAGAAATCTTCATAGATACACCCAATGTGTCCTAAAGTTGGCAACACTACCGTAAAATACCGGGCAAGCGCCCACTCAAACTTTGGAGATAAATAATCGCAAAAAAATGGTAGATGGGCCCTTCTCCTGTCATCAATTTTACATATAAATGTACTGTGTGTATTTTCTCAGATCCTACAAATTTGGGAATGGGCACTTAGTGTGGTGTGGGCGGATGCGCGGTATTCTACGGTAAATTTTTGTGAAGCCACAATTTTTGTGTGTAGTGCTCTTCCCGGCTGAGACGGAGGAAAGTGTTATCGGCAATTTGTCCACGCTATTCATAACTTTGCGAAAAACACCACATGGTATAAGCACATGCCAGCAACATCTGTGTTTGTTATGCGGCTTGCAGGAATCTACATTGTCGGTGCAAAACGCACCCCTTTTGGGGCCATGGGTGGCAAGCTCAAGGACTTCACCCCGACACAGCTGGCTGTCATTGCCAGCAAGGCCGCCTTGGATTCTGCAGGGGTGAAGCCAGAAAATGTGGATGTCTGCATAGCCGGAATCATCAACCAGGTACCTGCTAGTCCCCCCAGGAAATATGCAGCTGCAGCACAAAATGTCCACCTGAAGAGGCAAAAGTCAGCTTGGTTCCATTCCTCATCATATTTTCTCGATAGGGTTTCTGGATCTATATCCACAGCAAATGCATGTTTAGGAATGTTCACCCAAAGTAGCTGACATGCTTTGTTTGGTTGTAATAATGTTGTTTACCACTTGGCAGTCATTTATTGTCAGTTTAATTTTTATGACTGACAAATGGCTGCTGAGGAAGCAGGGGTACCTAATTGGTTGATTTTCCTCTCTTCCAAATTACATTTTGGTCAGCCGTCTGTTTGGTTGGAATTATTATCTCAATGGGTAATTCTAGAAGTTCTAAAGAAAGCCGATGCTGAGCACAAGGCCAGCTACCTAAAGCAGTCAGATTTATGTTCTTAATTTATTTTCTGCAGTTATATACATATATTGCCACTAATAGGTAGAGAGATCTGAGCACAAATTGATGTTTCTTGTTTTAGCGCATCTCATAAAATAAATCGTACAGTGGGGCCCCATTTTTATAGTGGGGAATTTCAGATGCTTGATATGGAATCGGTGGTGCAGCAGTTTACTTTTCATAAACCCCTTTTGGTATTGTCAGGTTGCAGCAAAGGATAGCCCATACTGTTCACGGCACACTGCGCTGCAGTGTGGCCTGCCGCAACACACGCCCTGTCTCAACGTCAACCGGATGTGCGGATCTGGGTTTCAGTCTGCCGTAAATGCAGTACAGGTGAGCCAAAAAGGACTCCGTACTCATTTTAAGTGCTGCACTGTGGCCGAGGAAAATGCCAATATTTTCGGGCTGGCCAAGAATGCTTTACTCTTCTGTATCCTGCAGGAGATATTGCTGGGCAATGCGGAGATTGCTCTGACGGTGGGCACGGAGAACATGAGCATGAGTCCCTTCATTGTGAGAGACGCCAGGTTTGGGATCAAGTTTGGAATGCAGCCGGAGGTTGGTCCCCGAGTCCCTTTCGATACAACTCACTTTCGTTAGAAAACGGTGATTTAAAATAATTGAAGCAATACAGTCATTTGAAGTAGTGGTACATGGACATTTCTTCAAAAACGTTGTCCGAATTACCTGATTGGAATCCTTTTAGACCTTACACCCTTTCAAAGATTTTGAGATCGCTGAAAGGGCCCTAAAAGAACTTCAAATTTGGAAGTGAAGCGTCGTCTGCTCACAGCGATAGGCGGCACACATGGAGAAGCGCGGTTGATTGGGCTAACACAGCATCTCTGGTTGGTACAGTGGCTCGGAGGCAGGGAAATAACTCGAATTACGGAATGACTCAATCTTTGACGTCACTGCACTTGCGTGGATTGTGCGGGAACTTCAAATTTGTCTTTAGTAAATTCTTTTTTTACTTCACAGATACTGAGTTCTCAAGCTTCAAATTTTAAGGGTAATATCCAAGCATCGTTTGCAATCATCTTGGTTACCAAAAAAATTAAAAAGATTTTTACCTGTCAGCGCCCTTTTGAATACCCGGGGAGCTGGGATGTGTACCGTAGATTACCGCGCATCCGCCTATTCCACACTGAGCGCCCATTCCCGAATTTGTAAGATCTGAGAAAATATGCACAGTCCATTTATATATAAAATTGATGACCGGACAAGTACCCATCCCCCATTTTTCCGAGATAACCTCTCAGTTTTGAGTGGGCGCTTGCCCGGTATTTTATGGTATCACTTCAAATAGAAAAGTTTAAGTGTCATCTCTGGCTTCAACACTGTAAAAAGGTCTGATGAATTGTGACTTCTCTTCACATTTTTAAGGTTATAAATGATGCTGTGCTATTTAATTCGAGCGGCTATTTATACACTTTTACTCAAGAGTGTAACTACTATTGGAGAGTCATTAGCGAATTGGTTAGCCTGTGATAAGCTGACTACGGCTAATACGACTATCCAAACTTGTAATGACAGCCAAACTTTTTAGAGCACAGCTCTTAGGCACCCATTTCCAGCTTGAGCGGTGTCGCTGTCGGCGTAACCACGCATTGCATTATGGGACATTTTCCATAATGACGTCACGAAAGTCACTAGGGTCGCGAGTGACGTCACGAAGTCACTCCTGATGGTCACGACCTTCACAGTGATCTTCACGAGCGACCTTTGTGACGTCACTCGTAACGTCACGAATGTCGCTCATGAAGGCCTCGTCAAAGGTTACTGTGGGGGAGGGAGGATACCCTCCTCTCCATACCCTCCCCTCCTCCTCCTCAAGAGCTGCAATCTAATTCGACATTACAGGGAATTGTAAACATCTTTATTTTGCTTTCCCTTTGTTTTAGGTATAGTATAAGTGAGAATAAGTGACGTCTGCCCACGGTAGGCAATAAGATGAACACATTTTACAAAAAAAAAACAAGAAGTTGCGTAGTCCGGTTAGAAACTTGTTAATGTCTATTTAAGACTGAGTAGCTTAAGTGATCCGTTGGCAGGGTCTGCCCATTCATTCTGTATTATTTTGCCTTGTTTTGCTCGACACAGTTTTGGAGAGCTCTCTTTGGCAAAAATTTGAAGGAGCTTGTTCGGACGCCTGTTGTCCTTCTCTGCCCAGATGGAGTGCTCTCTCCTTTCCACGCTGACCGACATGTACTGCAAGATGCCGATGGCCATCACGGCCGAGAACTTGGCCGTAAAGTACAAGGTTAGCCGGGAGGAAGCAGACCAGTTTGCATTCCGTTCGCAGACCCGCTGGGCCAAGGGTGAGCAAACACTTTGTGCCTTGAAGTTGCAGAACAAAATGTATAACATGCTACCTGTGTCTCCATGCTCGTCTGCCATCTGAGTTATATATGTGATTCTGAACCAATGCTATAAGAAAAGGACCCACAATGCCATGTAGGCCTAAAAAGAAAAATTGGAATGAAATGAACGGGTGAAAAAAAATGAAAGCCGTTTACAACTCCATGTAATACCGAATCGGAGCGCAGCTCTTGAGGAGGAGGAGGGAAGGGTACTGAGGGTCACGTGTTCTCGGGGCGGGGGGGGGGGTCATGTGACCCCCCAGAAAAATTTTTCCGTTAGATTTAGCGGGGAATTTTTTCCGCTTTATCTAGAGGGGAAATTTTTCCGCTAGATTTAGCGCGGAATTTTTTCCGCTAGATTTAGCGGGGAATTTTTTCCGCTAGACTTAGCGGGAAAATTTTTCCGCTAGATTTAGCGGGAAAATTTTTTCGCTAGATTTAGCGGAAAAATTTCCCCGCTAAATCTAGCGGAAAAACTTCTCGCTAAATCTAGTGGAAAAATTTCCCCGCTAAATCTAGTGAAAAAATTTCTCCGCTAAATCTAGCGGAAAAAATTCCCCGCTAGCGGAAAAAAATTTCTCCGCTAGGTTTAGCGAAGAATTTTTCCCGCTAGATTTAGCGGGAAAACTTTTCCGCTAGATTTAGCGGAGAATTTTTTCCGCTAAATCTAGCGGGGAAAATTTTCCGCTAGATTGAGCGGGGAAATTTTTCCGCTTTTAGTGGGGAAATTTTTCCGCTAGATTTAGCGCGGAATTTTTTCTGCTAGATTTAGCAGGGAATTTTTTCCGCTAGTAGCGGGAAAATTTTCCCGCTAGATTTAGCGGTAAAATTTTTCCGCTAGATTTAGCGGAAAAATTTTCCCGCTAAATCTAGCGGAAACATTTCCCGCTAAATCTAGCGGAAAAATTTCCCTGCTAAATCTAGCGGAAAAATTTCCCCGCTAGATTTAGCGGAAAAGATTTCCAGCTAAATAGCGGAAAAATTTTCCCGCTACGCTAAATCTAGCGGAAAAAATTCCGCGCTAAATCTAGCGGAAAAATTTCCCCACTAAAAGCGGAAAAATTTCCCCGCTCAATCTAGCGGAGAAATTTTTCCGCTAGATTTAGCGGGGAAAATTTTCTGCTAGGTTTAGCGAAGAATTTTTCCCGCTAGATTTAGCGGGAAAGTTTTTCCGCTAGATTTAGCGGAGAATTTTTTCCGCTAAATCTAGCGGGGAAAATTTTCCGCTAGATTTAGCGGGGAAATTTTTCCGCTAGATTTAGCGGAGAAATTTTTCCGCTAGATTTAGTGGGGAAGTTTACCCACAATGCACCGCGCAATTACGCCGACGCCAACGGCGACGCCGACGCCACTCAAGCCGGAAACGGGCCCCTAAGAGCTGCGCTCTAAAATTCTTTCGGTGTTCCTCGACTCAACCAACCTGCTCGTCAGTCTACATTGAGAAATTAGAGCTCGTAGCCTCAGAATGCAGCATGCTGCGGCGTAGCCAGGAATATTTTTCGATTGGGGGGAGAGAGGGGGAGGGGATTTTGGGGATGCCTATAACTTTGGGGGTGGAGAGGAGGAGCATCGTGCTTCTACAGAGTGTTTCTTTTTTAAGCTTTACAGATTTGTTTAAAAAAAGCTGTGAAAAGCTACACTTATGTGGTTTGTGCAGGTGAGTTATATGACCTGGGGGACATAGTATATGGGGCTAATCGTAACAATCAGTCGGCTAATTAACTAAATTTCTTAATTAACTTTTAGAGCGCAGCTCTGAGGGGCCCGTTCCCGGCTTGAGCGGCGTCGCCGTCGGCGTAACCAAGGTCATCCCAAGGTCACGTGACCCCCAAGGTCACGTGACCCCTCCCAAGGTCATCTCAAGGTCACGTGACCTCGCGGTCACGTGACCCCTTCCAAGGTCATCTCAAGGTCACGTGACCCCAAGATGACCCCACGTGACCCTTTGAAGGTCACGTGACCCCCAAGTCACGTGACCCCTCTGAGGTCACGTGACCCCCGAGGTCACGTGGTCGCCTCCCCAAGGTCACGTGACCCCCGAGGTCACGTGACCCCCAAGGTCACGTGACCCCTTCCAAGGTCATCTCAAGGTCACGTGACCCCCAGGTCACGTGACCCCTCTGAGGTCACGTGACCCCTCTGAGGTCACGTGACCCCCCGAGGTCACGTGACCCCTCCAGGTCACGTGACCCCCAAGGTCACGTGGGGGTCACCTTTGGGGTCACGTGGCCTTGAGGTCACCCCCAGGTCACGCCTCCCCGAGGTCACGTGACCCCCTCCCCGAAGTCACGTGACACCCCCCCCCCCCCCGGAGCATATTAAAGAATGAGGGGAGGAGGAGGAGAAGGGGGAGGGGTCTACCCTCCCCTCAGTACCCTTCACTCCTCCTCCTCAAGAGCTGCGCTCCAATTCGGCGTTACAGGGATTTGTAAACGGCTTTCACTTTTTTAGTTAGTGAAAATAGTTCTATGGTTCCAATTACAAACTTGCTGAGCATTGTCCAAAACCCTGAAATCAGTCATTTTTAGAAACTTTGAGAAGCGCAGTAGTGTGCTAAAGTTATCGCTCGTGGAGCAGGTACAAGGCTGGGCCTCTCATAAGAGGCAGAAAAATAGCGCGGGTGCCTTACCGCAACCGCGAGCCCTCTACCTGCTCCACGAGTGGTAACTCTAGCGGTTTTGCAGGTGAGTTATACGGCCCCCTGGCCGTATAACTCACCTGCACAACCAGCATAAATAGCTTTCACAACTTCTTGAAAACAAACCTGTGAGGCTTAAAAGAAACACCCTCTATATTATAGTGTTGGCTGCATTTTTATGAGGCTTCAGCCCCATAAGCTCTTGTCCCTGGCTACAGCGTTGCCTGCATTTGGCACTTTCTGGTTGTGGGAGCTTGTATCCGTTGAAAAGCTCGACGAAATCAAAGTTGCGTGTGAGCGTTGACTTAACCAGAAACTGAAAGCTCGAACGACTAACCACTTGACAAACGGTATTATGCATCGCCACCTTTTCTGCAGTTGTAGGCAGTTATAGTCGGTCACAAGTCAAGAAGGTAGGAGAAGCTCCTGCCACAAGCGTGATGCACCCGTTTCAAATCCCTCCGTAGTCGAAAGAAGAGTTCACTGGAAAACACTCCTTGTTCCGCTTCAGTGGATTCCAACTTCTCTCTGACCCCACTTTTTAAGAAAGCGACCTTTGTATTAATCGGAGCGGGAACCTAATCCCCGAAAGTCACATTTCTTTCCATCGGAGGGTGAAAACTCTTATCTCCCTCTCGTGGCTTCCGCAATGCTAAGTCAAAGTCGAAAGATAAAGCGAATATGTCAGAAAGGCAAGACCCTCCTCGTGCGTTGACCGCAACGTCACAGGAACGATGTGACGCTATTGGATGCGGAGGTGGCAGAGGGATATATGAATCCCTTTGAGGGGCATTTGCCGCTACCTTCTTGACCTGTAACTTACTATAGCTATATAGTTCTCGACATTACTGTTTTAATAAGCGCCTACTTCTCTCTCTACATAGTTCTCAAATGTATAATCTCGACAAATAGCACAACCAACACGAAACAAAAAAAACATGGTGCTTGATTGTTTGATTGTAATTGGGAGCACTTAGGGGAGCGAAAGTATGGATGTTCATAGCCAGGTAGCACAAGCCACCATCCAGTTAAAGGAGAGTTCAACTATACGCATCCATGCATCCTCAGCCCAGGAGGCCGGTCGCTTCAAGGAGGAGATGGTGCCCATCCCTGTGAAGGTGAAGGGGAAGGAGGTGATGTTCGACACCGACGAGCACCCCAGGCCGGGCACCACAATGGAGACGCTCGCCAAGCTGCCGGCTCTCTTCAAGAAGGACGGGACGGTCACCGCCGGAAACGCTTCGGTGAGAAGAGATCAAGCATCATTCTTTTCCAGCTCCGAGCCACCAATCTTGAACATAAATAGGGTCCTTTGTTTTGGGGGTTACTTTTCTTAGAATTCGGGGGGTTTTTTGTTGATTTTCGTGTAGTTTATTTGTTTTTGCAGATTCACATCTTTCTCCAACATCGGGGAAAACATTTCTGCGTTTATCGAGACTAGTGTTGAAGAAAACGGTACACGGACACTAGATTTCCCAACTTCAGGGAGCATGCTCATGACCTGAATACTTGGAAAACGTTACGATACCAGTAACGGAAGGTAATGGACCAATGGACATGATTCTTGAAGACAGAATCAGCCCTGCAGGCAGTTCAGTAGGAGGGAGCTATGTTCCAGATCAACACAAAATAAAGCTGGATAACGATTTCTTTTTCGTGAAGCTTTGGTATTTTTTTACTCGACGATAGCTCCGATTGGGGGTATTTCGGTTTGGAACCTTATATGCATGGAACCCTGCATATAAGTAAAGGGCCTGGCAACTTGAATGATGTCTGTTTGTGTTATGTCTGCTGAATCTCGAGTAGAAGTGTTGGAATGCAATGGTAAAAGTGGTGTTCTGACCTCACTTTCTTGAGCTGAGAACAAAAGGCTTATTTTTGTTGAGAAAATAAAATTTTGAGCTCTTTAACTGGTAGGGAGAGACAACATAGGGTTTGAGGAAACTTAAAGGGGTCATGAAACGCTTTTCCAACTTTTCCTGTTTCGCTTTCCTCCTCAACTCATAAATCGCGCATTCCACCAAACAGTTCAAGAAGACGAAAAGGAGCGAGGCCCCTCTCGCTCGGAGAGAGCCATTGTCCCCCAGAAGATTAGCCCATCGCTCAAAATTCAGACAAAAGTTTCTTTCCCTCCCCTGTACACCCCTAAGCTGACAGTGCTGTGGAAGCTACAAGCTCCTTGGGCTAGCCACACTTTTGCCACGTGAGCGTGGCAAATGTGGCTGCAGAGAAAGAGGTCAGGTGATGAAACGGAGGCGGCTGATTGGTCCGGCAAGCGCGTAGCTTTCACCATAATGTCAGCTTAGGGGTGAAGGGACTAAATGAGGTCCGGTTTTGTGTGACATCAGTTTGGACCCGATGACGCGCTCTTGGGACCGCGGATGTATCACAGTGAAAAGGCAGAGAGGTTACGAAGGACAGGAGGTACGAAATAGTCCGCTGTGTTTTCAAATTTTCGCACTGAAAGTCAGGCTTTTGACTTTCTACCTTTTTTGTTTTGGCCCACTGAACGATGTGCTATTAGTAAAATCCCAATCTAGAATGATTTATCCCAACCCAAAAATTGTTTCATGGGCCCTTTAATGCCCAGTCGGAAACAGTACTTATAGTGATAGGACGTGGCAAAGTTTTTGAGTAGGCTGGAAAGGTGTCAATACTCGATTCTTGCGTGCATGTCCTAAATTGTTTTAGATCTGCCATATTTCTAGCGTAGAATGTGCAGTTTAGACTGCCCTTTACTGGCAGGTTTGAAGTGGATGTGCTTCACGCGTTTTGTATGATTTCGCTGCAGTTTTTAGACTTGGCATTCAGGTGGAAAAATAAAGTAAAAATGTGAGTGTCTTGTATTCAACTATTTTGTGCAATTGTTTGTGCATTATGTGCATTATTAATGTCTTTGTGGTAAAAAATATAAAATTACAGAGAATGGAGCAGTACAGCACACACCATTTATAGCGAGTGTCTAGTTTGTGAAATTCATTTGTGACATCAGTTGTCCAATATTAAAGAAGAATCAAACTTTCCCATAATAAATCTCGTAGACAATGTTGTAGCTGTTTCACAAGTTACATCAGTAACTCATAGTTATTGGGGCTATTGAAAGCGATTTGGACAGTAGTTTCGATTGGTACTAGTCGACAATTCCCACTGACTGAAACTGCCGTTCATAGGCACATTTAAACGATCGGTCATTTGTATCGATCGACCTCGCAGGGGATCTGTGATGGAGCAGGCGCCATCTTGATCGCTGGTGAGGAGGCGGTGAAGAAGCACAACCTCAAGCCACTGGCCAGGATCGTGGGATACAGCTACGTTGGTACGCTCGTCCGCGGTTCAGACATTTTGTTGAGCGTGGCGTTCGCCCGACCAGTATCTCGACACACTTGAGTTCAGTTGTTCTGTGTCGCGTAAAAGGGCGTGCACGGATTGGACACGAATGATGCATCGGCGTTCGGCTGAGACCCGTGCCCTCCCTGGTTGAAGACAACTCTCAGCCGAGTGCTGACCCTCTTGTCCGACCCGTGCCTTGTGTTTGCCTCTTTAGGTGACGTTCGAAAATTTATTCTTACAGCCATGTTTTTCACAGTCGATGACAGGTTAGGAGTTCAAGGGAAGCTCCTCTCTCAACTTTAGGAGAGCAGACGCTGGAGAGGAGGGACCTCCTCTCCTGTGTTCCCTCTGCTAAAGTGGAAAGGGGTGGGCAGAGGTTTTTTTGTGAACTAAAACTTAAAGCTGGTTCGGTGAGACTTGGGAAGCCCGAGCAGGTTCCCGTAAATTTCTAGGTGTATGTGTGTGTGTGTGCTTTTTTTAATAATTAGAGCTTTAAAAGCTTTTGTATCATTTTTAAGGTTACCTGAGCATCGAAAAGTCTCTCGCCACGAAATAGAAGCAGAATGAGTGCTCTCATGAGATCTTCTCCAGAAACGGGCGTAAAACAGCGTGTCTTAGCATGACCGTGCTTGCGGCCAACGCACTTCTCAAATCGACGTGTTCTTTCCCATGTGATTACCAGGCCTGCGCCCTTAAAGCCCGACCTTCAAAAAGTTCTTCCACAAGGTATTAAAACCCTCGCCACCCTTCCAATTCTTCCTCTCCCACTGCCATCTTGACAGCAGGGGCTTGTTGCTGCATCTTGGGGTTGGATAAGCTACCAACTTAGCCAGCCGCAGGATGTGGCAAGAAAAGGGTCAAGACAGCAGTGGGAAAGGGGGAAAAAGGGGATGGTGGTGAGAAGGATTTTTCTACCTTCTAAAAAATGATTTTGTAGGTCGGCCTTTAAGGCCGTATCTGTTTTTTTGCGAGTATCTCATGGTTTCCAGCCATGCCGACACACGTCGGTGAATGACGCCTCTCCTAGAAGAAAGTTGCTGGGGCAGAAATCGGTGCAGTCTCCAGACCATAGTCATCTAAGGACCCCACTTGTGGATACAGTTCTAGCCATGCTGACACTAAAATCGTCTGCTGTGGTTCCAGGTGTGGACCCTACAATCATGGGAATCGGTCCTGCCCCTGCCATCCGCAAGCTCTGCGACAAGACTGGGGTCAAGGTGCAAGACTTGGACCTGGTGGATGTATGTTTCACCGAGGCGACAAAACCGCACTTGGCTTGTTTTACGACTTATAGGGAGAGCAAAAAAAAGCTAGACTGTCGTACAATTTTTGGGTATGTGGAATACCATGGACCTTTAGAGAATCCCGAAGAAAGTATCTCAACTGGCCTCGACTTGTTGGCACTATGTAGGCTTGTCAGTACCACAGCCTGCCACGACTTGTAACAAAGATATTAGTTGCCGCACAACTATTATTGGGATTTACTATGCACCAAGCAAGCGTTCTAAAGGGCAACATAGAGAACACGCAGGAAAATTGCGAAAAGGGGTCAGCCAAGCATGCACCGTCATTGGTCGCGATAGGGGAAAAATGAAGCATTTGGAAAGTAAACAGACGCACAATGTGCGCGTGGAGCGCACAAACTTTCATGCCGTATACTGTACTTGTTTACACATTTTCTTTTTTAAAGTTACGACGACCTACTTTGGGTAGTCGGGTAGTCGGGAACCTTGTGAATCGTCTCAGGATGATCCAGTTGTGGATCCGTGTTTGTTTTAAAGGGTAGCTGTAAAGAAAAAAAAGTGTATTTTTAAACAGCCTAATGGGACAAGCATGTCACAAAACAAATTTTCTGCCAAAAACGAAATTTTTTACAACAATATTTATTACGTGAGACTCATTTTAGTTTGCAGCTATTTCATCCGTTTTAAATCGCGCACTACAAAGTTGGTATTATACGTCACGGAGTGACGTATAACAGCCACTCCGGCTTGCTGGTCAGGCGTGTAGTACGGGATGAATATCAGTCCTTTTGATCGGTCCAAAATTTCTCTTTCGAAGGAAGATAGAATTCGCCAGTACTGTGAACAACAGTTCTGAAGTAGAGGTCCCACGCCCGTCGTTTGCTGCCACCCGCGGGTCCCAAGAAACACGAAACGACGCCCTGTCGAGTGGTTATGCAATGAACGCACAGAATGCTTCCAATTGTCTGTGCCACTTTTTTTTTTTAATCAAAGTATTTGCAGCTTTTTGGAAGCCACTAAAAATGGGTTTCATATTTTTTTTCTATTTTTAGTATTTACTGTGTGCCTTCAATGACCGATGACTTTGATTAAATTTGGTGGTCGCGTCGAAACCTTAGAAAATGGCCCGTGACCACGGGAAAGAGAGTGAGCGCGACTCAACCCGGCCAGTTCTCGATCGGCAGTTTTCGGGCGCAAAGAAACCAAATTTCAAGCCGCAAATTCTGTTCTGGGTAGTTGGGCTCTCATAAGTCACATACAGCTAAAACTCTCAGTGAGCGTAAATATTGTGTCAGTACCCCTTTAAAACCCCTTGCGTTGAGAAGACGCAATGAAGCCATCTATCGGACAGCTGTGGAACATTTTGCATTTCCGTATATTTCCTATTTTTTTCGCACATCAATTTTTCTTTGTACAGCGGCAGCTGTTAGTGGCTTGTCTACCAGTTTCGCGATAGTGCAAGTGTAAACGAAAATAAATAGTTTCCCCACTTATTTGACGGGAAAATTGATGTCATTTGTCCCATCATCATGGGACCTATGGACGAATTCGGGTTCCTCGCTAAATTTAGTGGAAAAATTTGCGTCGCGTGACCCATGCACCAAATTAGCTGTCACGCGACCTATGTATCAATTTAGTTTCCCCGCTAAATTCGGCAGGGAAATTGATGTCGCGTGACACCATGTCACTTCGTCGTCGAATAAGCAACACAGTTGGCGCTGTCTAAATGCACCACATTATGTGATCGTTGTGCAATTGTTTTTTTATTTGGAAAGTTTTTCATTATTTTTAAGCAACCATTTTTTATAGATAGTATGCACATTTGATTTCGCAAACACCACAAAACCCTTGCCCTAGAGAAATCCGGTTCCAAGGTCACCTCATAGATGGCACAAGCGTCTTCTCCCGTTGAAGGAGATCCCAAAAACTCTATCCTAAGCAGACGCAAGCGTGTGAAGCTGCAGTTAAAAGACCGGCAGGCAGCTGTCCAGTACATCGTCATTTTCACCAGTTCTAATAGACGACTTTTAAGTAGGAAAAATTAGCAAAGAAATTCGGAAACACTATTGTAGTAAGCGACCGTGACGACATCCCTTTTTCCTTTTATTTTTTTTTCACCAGGTGAACGAGGCTTTTGCGTCCCAGTTCCTGGCCGTCGAGAGAGACCTGCAGTTGGATCCCGCCAAGTCCAACGTCAACGGCGGCGCCATCGCGCTCGGGCACCCCGTCGGGGCGAGCGGCGCGCGGATACTCGCCAACCTCACCTACGAACTAAGGTGCGTGCCCGTTGCAACATTCAACGGGAGGACTAGCCTCCTTTACTGACATTTCCACGTTTAGAGGCTGTCAGCAGACCTCTCCTGTACCTCCAGACGACGCCAAACTGCCCGTCTTGCGCCGGGTTCCAGCATTCGGCACGAACGAGAGAGCTTCTTTCGGCGATGCTTTCGGAGACTGCAGTTGTAGTTTGGATTCTCGCCACTAAATACCGGTGGGAGTTTCTTTGGTGGTAAACACCGGCGAGTGGAGAGCTCCCACCGCACTGTCGGCTTAGGGCCGATTGGAGTGTAGGAGCAGGAAGGCGAAGTAGGTTGATGCGGCTGCTGCGGAGACGTGAAACGGACGTTGCTTGCCTACACTACCGTAATAGCCCGAGAGATAGCCCACCTAAAATTGGTAGCAAATCGGATGGAAATAAGGGGTAAGCTAACTTTTAGTGTGCCTTAGACAGAAAAGGTTAAAAAAAAATACTAGTTTTAGATTTTGTGGCCCTCGAAACTTGCAGTCAAAGGAAGGGAAGATGAACCAAAGACAACTCTCCATCTCAATCAGCGAAGTTCGCTCATCCTTTGCCGCAGTTAAGTAACACCGCTTTTGCCGAATTCACCGTTGGCCAAAGTCCTGCAATTACTAAAAATAAGCTATCTTTCGTTGTTTAAAAAATAAATAAATAGGAAATCGTGCCAAGAATAGGGGGCGTGCAACCTTTTGGGTGTGGGGAATCTCTCGGGGTATTACGGTATGGTACCCGAGCTATTTTCGTCATGGACAAATATTGCTTGAGCACATATATTCACAGAATCGCTACCACTTAGCACTCGTTAAGGACCACAAGTTTACATGTTGGAAGACCTACTGCACTGGGCCGGGTGACATTTGATGCTCGTTCAAGGCAGCTTATCTTTCTGTAGTCCAGATAGTACACGCACAACGAGTTCGAGCACCACTAAGCGACACCAGCGGGGCAGACAAACGGTGATGGTGCATTCTTGTTCGGTTCGTCCGTAACTGCACAGTCCAGAGGAGCTGTGAAACACTCGTATGGTCACCGACAAAGTGAGAACGGTGTCGGCTTCGAACACCGAGCCTCCAACACGCACTCATTGCTTTTTACCGTTTCGACGGTGCGTGCACGTTTGAAGCTCGCGCGACACCGGTGCGTCATAGAACGTAGGAAGCTTGCGCTTGAGGCAGGACACCCGAAACTCCTCCCCGTCGGCAAGTCTAGAAAACAAAAGTCAAACGAGCGCGAGCCGACCGGAACTCACTCTGTACTCTCGCGACAGCTCTGGAAGTCTTGTCGCAAGGGTAAGTGCTTGAACAGAATGGAGTATAGCATCGGCTGAATGTTTCGGTCAAGAAGCTGTCGCTCTCGAACCTGTACTCGGCGCACCAGGGTTGAGAAGCAGTTTGTGAGAAGATCTTCAACGTTCTTTTACCCAATTACGGAATCTGATCAGATTTACTTTTGTTCCGTTGCAGAGACCGCAAGGGAAAGTATGCCGTAGGATCGGCTTGCATCGGCGGCGGACAAGGGATTGCCGTCATGCTCGAAAGCGTCTGACGACATTGTGCTAATCGACTACGGGTACTTTGGGAAGGAAAGGATTCTGGAAGTGTCTTATATTATATACAGAAATATTTTGTCTATTGACAATCCCACTGCAGGTGCATGTACCCTGCTTGGAAAATAAAGTATATGCCATATTTTTCATAGTTGAGCACGCTGTCGACGACTCCTTGTTTTGTACTGGAGCCACTGTACGAATTGCGCCAAGGGTATCAGCGTTTTGTTCGGTTATTTTGTGGGCGCCGCCATTTTGGGGCCTAGTGTAGTTGGCAATCGTTGATACGAATGCCACCTTCTGAGCTACGGGTAAGGCGTCGAGAAACTTGGTCATTTTCACTGTACTCTTTCATACTGTTTGAACATTTCTGGAGAAGAGAAAGGCATTTCCTGAAATTCCAGACAAAGCTTCGAGATAACTGGCAACAATGATTTTAAGTGTCAAGACGAAGTTACTGTGATTGAGGGAGAACTGTGACGTGCACCATATCCGCTCAATGACAAAGAGCGGCGCGATGTGCAATGAAAATTTTGAGAGAGCCTGGCGATCCACCTCAAATCATGGGGTGCGTTTGCAATTTAATGGCAGATGTCACCGGCGAAGAATGGTCGGAAGTGTGCCTGCGCTGCGTTTTTGTGTGGCGAGAAGGATAGCAGGAAGAGAGGCTGAAACACCCGCAGACAAACAACACGTTTGTCACCACCTTGCAGCTCGTATTGCAATGCAAACTCTACCCATGTACCACGTGACCCCCATTGAGCAGTTGGAAACTTTCTGTAATGTAGGATCTCTCAAAATATTTGGGGCCACTGACTTACCTGCTGGCTGCAGTGTCCCTAGTGGTCCCCAAAAATTTCTTCGCGGAACTTTCATTGTGGAATTCAGGTGCACGACCCATCTATCGGGTAAAACGTGCACAATTCATGTAATTGCAGAAACCAGAGTCAAAATATAGCGAAGCGACGTAACCTTCCAACACTCGTGCTGGGCAGCGCGTGTGTTGCGATGAAAATATTTACCACTGGGAGTGGTGCAGCAGTCTACAGGAGAGTCGTTTTCATCGCAACTTGGTGCAACCCTGCCTGTCTCATTTCCTCTTCCGGCCACCGTTATGAAGTGTCATCACCCAGAAGCGTAGCTTATCTAGTGGCTGTATTCTATGTGTATTCCGCTGAAAATGAAGCCGAAAGCCTCGTGAAACAACTTTTAATATTCCAAGCACAAGTATCGTGGGTTACAGACTTAAGTACAAATTTTTTTTCTCACCACTCAGGATTTCACATGCAAACAACTCTTGTTAAAATGTGAACAGTGCCTATTCGAAAATGTAGCTATGTGAAGTTACAGCTGCACCTACTGACCGTGGCCACAAATGACGTTTCAGAAAGATGTACATCCGACGACTCGGCTTTAATTTCGCAACGTTCCGCAGACGACTGTTGATCACCCGAAATGGGGCTAGACTGCAGAGCAGGGGACAGCACCCCATCAAATGCATCTTCCGTTTGATACATGCGAGCCTACCGGGCGACTTTTAAAAACGTACATGGGAGGCATGTACAACATGGAATGAAGTGGGGTCTAAAGTGTGTTGGTCAAATGGCGCGGGTGATTGTTCCATCAGCTTTACAGCAATCCGGAGGCAGTAGTATGTGGTAGACTATAGACCAAAAGGGTTTGAACGTTCCAGAAAAACGTAAATTTTGAGTCAAATGCAGAAGAGGAAAGTTTTGATCAGTACGATATGACAGACGAGCTTGAAAGATGAAAGGCGGGGCCCCAAAACAATTCGAAAAGTGGAGACATTAACACCTTATTGCTACATCACCAGCACGCTTGGTAACACAGAAACTTGGCAAACCAACTGACTACAGTTCAACACAAAAACAAAACAAAAAAAAAAAACCACGTCCCCCAACAGATCGGCTATCTTGGGAACACCTCGCTGCGCTCATGCCAAATAGGGGTCACGTGACATGGTTTGATGCTTCGAAAGTGCTTCGTGGGTGCGTGACTTTCGGGTTTTGGAAACAGGCACACCAGAAAAGCTCGACGACTGTTGAAAATCACTTCACGGGTCGAAAACGCTCTGGCGGGGGCACAGAAAACTGATTTTTAAAGCAGGTGTGCGATGGTTTCGGCTGGCCGGGTACAATACCGGAGAAATGATAAAAGCGTTGTGTTTATCGACCCCAAACTAACTGTCCGAGATACAGTAGCGGTCAAAAACAACAGTTAGGAAGCATCGCACTGCCCTATCTTTAAGTTGTTTATTTCATAACCCCGTGAGGCGCAGCATACGCAACAAAAACCAAGGACGGTTCAGCCGCCCTAAAGAAAGAAAAAATGAACGGAACGCACATACACAGGCCAGTCTCTTTCGCGGCTGTCTTCTGTTTCTTTTATCATAGCCGTTAAACCTACTGCGTCAACCCGCGCAACACCCCCCAAAACATCGGGGTCGAACGAAAAAATAAAGCTCTCCCGGAACGCCATAGGCACGAGTGCTTGCCGCGATGTCTTCAAGCGACAGTTTGTTCGTGGGCCTGCGACTCGGGCGGCTTCATGACGTCCGGTAGCTCGGGCGGGCTGGACAGCGGCGTCACGTCGAGGTTCTCGAACTTCCCCGAGTCCGGATCTCGAAAGGCGAGCCCCACGGTGGCCGGGGCTTGAGCCTTGGCCGTGCTGCTGTTGAGCCCGTACTCGGTGAGCATTTTGTTGTCGTCCATGCACTGCTCGTCCTTGTAGAGCATCTGGTTTTCGGGAGCGACCTTGGTGATGCCCGCAATCATCTTCTTCAGTTCCCGGACCGAGGTGGTCTCCTTGGCGTCCAGGAAGACGGTGGTTTTCTTCCTCCGGACCATGAGAAATACGTCCATTTCGCGGCCGCTCTGAGTGTTCCTTTTTTTTATATTTTCAAAGAAGGGGTCCCCTCACTTGCTCGAGGTTGAAGGGGGTTTGCCTCTAGCGGTCGCCAGGTGGTGCAAAGGTCGCGAGCACAATGGTGCTTGACTGCCATACGCTTCTTCTCTCTTCTGTAGTTGGGCGGTTGGGCTGGTTGGGCGGGTTGGGCATGCGTGTGAAAATGCTACAAACAAACAACAAAGCTCTAAAAAGTTTATAAATCCATACCTTGTTAAAATTTTAGAAACATCAATTAACAAATCATGCCATTCGGTAGCCTCCTTTTATCTCCCATACAAACGTTGTTTCATCAGTTTCGTTAGAATATGAGGCAATAAGGAATAATTTTATTATAAATATTTTAATTTTATTAAGATTAAAGTGTTGTTAAACCTGTTCGAACAGTAATTAGTTGTCGTTTTTCCCTTTTCTTTTTTTATTACTTTTTGTGTGGGGCGTGCCATTGTGGCGCTGCGAGCGCTTTGTTTTCATGGTTCTATGGTTCTATCGGCTATCGCCGCATCTTTTCCGAAAGTGGTATTCCAAATGCAACGATGATTTACGACGTGTTTATTAATTGCCTCGTTCTACCAGAACTATGTGCAACTTACAGCACCCAGCCGAACCTAAGTGATTCCTAAACCTTTCTACAACACTCCGTAACTTTTATCGGTATACACAAACGGCGTACCCTGCGAAGAGGTTCAGCAAAAATGAAGAAGTACACCCAGCTCGCGCTAATTGTCATTTGCATTGTCTCCGTGCTCGCGTTGCTGGTCTGCGAGCGACGCTACGCCAACATGAAGGTTATACTCGAAGTGATGGACGTCTTCGAGACGAAGGACTCCGCTGTCAAATGCGAGCGGCAGATCGAAGCCCTGCGCAAGTCCCACTTCGGGTCGCTGTCAAGCACGACGCCTGCCATCTTCCCTGTGTGGAAAGAAGTTCTCGGCGGCGCTTTTTCTGTTTATTCTGCTTTCTGGGACTGCGAAAGCGAGCAGAACGCTTCGCGCGTGGTCATAGCCTTCGAGAACTCGCTGCCGCCAGAGCTTAGGTGCTTTATTTGGTTCGATCACCGGCATCACGTCGAAGCGGACAGCGTGGACGTTCAAGTTTTGGACGTGCAGGGAACTTCGTCGACTGCGGTGTTGGAGTGTCTCGTACGAAACGTGTCGCTCGAACCGCTCGGCGTCTCCTTCTCGACAGCCGATCGAAGCGTCATGTCGCATATCATCTCTCTTCAACCCACCAGCGGGAACGCTACGTCCAACTTCAGTGTCTGTGTTCCGCCACTTGCTTCGTCGGTGACACCGCTGGCCCTGGCCGAGTTCAGCATCTACCACCGCCACATCGGAGTTGAGGACTTCGTGTTCTTCGATGGGGACGCGTTACCGAACGCCAAGAGGCTCCTGGCTGCCGTTCCGGCGACCACTTACGCGACGCTGACGATACTGCCCTGGAACGTGCCGGCCAAGTTCGTCGATGTGGCCGAGTCCGCTCGTATCGCCGACTGTCTGCTGCGCACGAAACGAAGATCTCGGAATACAGTCTTCCTCGATACGAACCAGTTCGTGTCACTCTACCAGGCCAAAGACTTGAATCAGCTGTCGCGCGGACTGAGCACGCTCGTGGACGCGGACGCCGTCGATCAAGTGACGCTCTTTCACACGCATTACTTCTGTGACGAATTTTCGGACGACGTCGTGGCGAGCTCGCTGGACATAAAGTTCGTGACGCAACGGAAGGTCCGCTACCACCGAGTGTCCGAAAAACACTCTGTGTTCCTGGTAAAGCCCGGTTTTTCGAAGGCGATCGTCGCGGCTCTGCGAAATCCGAACCACCCCGTGGAGGGCAACGTGCTTGTGCCCGAACGTTCGGCGGTCGTGAACGTTTACCGTGAATGCCGCAGTCTTTTCCCCGTGAGGAACACGAGGGAAAACTACGTGCCCGATATGCAAATGACTCGGTTTCGCGGCCTCCTTTACACGTCCAAGTTGTACCGCTATTTTGAGAAACAACCTTATGCCAGCTTATTGCTGTGAAAGCCGCTTCCAACGGATTAGATTAGGAGACGGAGGTTGAAACTGCCGCAACAAGTGTGCAGCTTTGTGAGGTTGGATCTTATCGGATGTGAAACTACTGCAACCACGGTGCTGCTTCGGGAGGCTGGATTTGCCAAGTTTTGGGCGGCATTTTCTTAATCTGCATATTTACAAACTTTTGTTTTGCTCCAGCAGTGTGCAGTAATGGCGTATAAGTTTCGTTCCAATTTATGTTCCCGCTTTGTATACCTTTTTATTGTGGATTTACAAAGACAATGTAAACCGTAGAATCCCGTGCATTCGCCCATTCAGCACCAAGCGCCCACTCCCAAATTTGTAAGATCTAAGAAAATACGCACAGTCTGTTTACTATATGTAAACTTGATGACAGAACAAGCACCTGTCCCCCATTTTTTCGCGATTATCTCCAAATTTTGAGTGAGCTCTTGCCCGGTATTCTACGGTATATTGTAAGGCAGCAAAGGCATCTGAGCTGACATGTTTATTAAGCTTATACACATTGGGAATGGTTTCTGTGTTCAGCTTATGTTAGTGTCGATGGCCGAATACTTTCAACGATCTCATAGCATCATACATTTAGAATGTCTTGTTCTCCCATCTATGTTGTGGCTTCCATTTATAAACATTCAGGGTATTTCAGTACACTATGGGACACTGTTAGCATGAAAATGACATTGGCAGTGTTCCACATGTTACTCAAACGAGGCATCCCAATTTACCACTTAAGTTAGTGCACCAAATGAGCCCTTTCCACCACACTCAGTTTCGATGACAGCCTTTGCTCATTTGTGCTAACTGTGGTGCTCCCTGTACATACTTGGCATCACATGTTCACCAAAATTAAGGTATTCCAACTTCCATGTTTCATACCAATGTTCTCTTCCCACATGCTCTTTACACGATGTAACATGTGGCTATAACACCCATGTTCAAGTACCCTCAAATATATTTTTTTACAAGCAAAAAGTGGTTGAAATTGTTTCTTCCCTAACACTGCATGCTTGACCGCTCTGTAGAAAAAAAAATTTTGAAATTTGAAGGGAGGATGGAATAAGGATACACAAAGGCACTTCTGAACATGCTATAGTACTATCGTTTGTCAAAAATGTCCTCTCCCGCAAACAACGTAAAGACAGCATTGAAAGCGCAAAGGACAAGGAACCAGACGAAGAAAGACATGGACACGGCGCTTTCTACGTCTGGTCCCTCGCCGTTTGCGCTGTTTCAATTCTCAAATATGCAATACCAACTAGCCCAAGCTTCAACTTTAGCAACCTAAAAACAGGCTTGGTACCTCATGGAGAGCAGCTATCATCCACTCGAACTTGGGAACAGCGCTCTATCTTTCGTCTTTCCGCTCCTCTTTCTTTTTTCTTTTTTTTTCTCATTGTATATTTTGCTTCCAAAACTGCTACATGCCTTTCCTCTTCACAGCACTTCAACAGCGACACTATCAGCCTCTTGGCAAGAGGGTAAGTTTCAAGATAGGTTGCTGATTTTAGCAGACAGATAGAGGTCCCGTTGGCGCTTGGTCTCTCACGTTTCCTTTTGTCTTGGCTCTGGTTCGAGTTTACTTTCGACGTGAGTTTTGTAAGTGGAGCGCTGCATGGAGTACTTTGAACAGTTGCATGCTCACGGTGTGGTGACCGCGTCTTTTGTACTGTTTCAGAGTCTGCAGGAATGGATTGGATCTTGTACGACGCGCCGAGTGTTTGCTTTGTCTACTAGACTTGCTTACGTTTCTACGGTCTGCTGAAGACGTTGTTTTCGAGCATGGAACTCGGCGGTGTGTCTGTCGGATTGCTCCTAGCTTTGGCAGGTAAGTTTTACCTGCCAAAAAGCTTGGTGCACCTAAGACCTAGAAAAAATAGTGGTAAAAATTTTTACCATTTTCATCAAATTTCAGGATTGTTTTCGATTCTTACACTGGCCTCTGCTCCTTGTCATGCCATTTTACAAAAATACCAATTCATAAAATAACTGGTGTTTTCTTGCACCTTGGCTTTGTTTGTTTGTTTTTTTTTCTCCTAAACACCCTTTCTCTTTTTTCAGGTGGCCTGTGCGCTGTGGCTCAGGATTGTCAACAAAACGGTGATTTGATTTTCATTTGGTTTACGGAGAATCAGTCAAATCGGTTGCATTTTCTTTAAAATGTTTGCTCGTAAGCTCGTCGTACAATATAATTGTAGCATTTTAAAGTGCAGAGTTATGTTCTCTTAATGAATCACAATGCACTAGGATTTCTTGCATCCGATTTGCTGGCTTAGCTAAACGAGACTTTTCTGCAATCGGTGTAAGTTCTAAGCTGGAAAATGGTAAGCATTCAATGTATGTGCACCCAAAATCTCACAGCCAAGAAAGTTGCTACTCTTACGACAGATTATAAGCACTGTCTCGCTTTATCGCCTGGTCCTACTTGTGGCATTTTCTTCAAACCCAAATGTATACTTTGCATATTACGCTCAGTTCGGTGGAGTATCAGAATAACTCTGTGATTTCTTCGTGAAACACGCTTTACTCCTCCAAATGCACTGTGCTTGAGGTGTTTGAAAAGAGGCTAATATATTTTACAGTCGCACCTACATCTTTTAAGCCACATTTGGAAGGCATGTGCATCATAAAGCGCATGTTTAAATCTGATATAGTTTAAAAATGGTACTACTTCTTTTCTTCATACTCCCCTCTTTTTGAGCAAAAAAAACGGGAAGGCTTGTCACGGGATCCAGAACCGGGGCATCTTTCTAAATCTACAGACGACAAGAAACACAGGGAATGCCTGCTCAAGTTCAACGACCATATAGTTTCGTCTGGGGTTGTGATCTCTCGCAGAAAACATCCTCGCGGCTGGACGCTGGTACCTCTACGACTACAGCATTGTGGCCGAGGCATCAGCGGTCGGAAGCACCGACGACACCGGGGACATGAAGTTGGCGTGCCGCGTCAAAGTGTCGCACATTGGGACGTGCAAGTACCTGTTCGAAGTAAGCATTGAAAGTTTGGCACATGCAGGTCTTTTCAGTGCACCTGCTGAATGCTGAAGACGTCACTACCTGAGGAGGTCTGAAGCACTCTTCAATTGAACTAAGAGGAAGCAACTTTTACACTGATGTTAAATCTTTTCTTTTTATTATATTCTTTACTTTATATTTAGAATAGAAAAATCATATCCACCTAACTCTAAGCAACTTAGAAAGTTGCTTAGAGAAAAGAGAAGGGAAAGCACTCAATATTTCGATGGAAATCACGCCCACGAGGTTTTATTTTACGAGGTGTTCAGTTTATAATCTTTTTGAGGCTTTGTTTTTTCTCTGCGAGGAAGGGATTCAGTCTCGTCTTTGCTGTGTTTTACAGGGTGGTGGTTGGACGTCGTCATGCTAGCGTAAGCATGTCGTGCTGAAGTTGGGGCTTGCATGTTTCTCTCAGGTGCAGAGATGCGTGTTTTCGTCTGGAGGAGGCCCGCCGCGAGATAAGCGGTTCTGGATCCAAGACGAAGACCTCTTGGAGTTGACCAGGTTTGCTTCTTGCAGTCGTTTCTTCGCCAGCGTCTCGAAGAACCGCAAGGGCATTATCGGCGTGCCAACAAGATAGCAAGCCAGAGATTCTTGGCCCAGGCTCGAGGATAACAGACAATGATATCGATAGAAAGAGAGAGAGAGAGAGAGAGAGAGAAAAAAAAAAAAAAAAGGAAAGCTGTTTCTAGACGTAACATTGTGCATATAAGTGGGCTCGTATGTTCCACGTGTGAGAATGTATACAGTGCTTATAAGCGTTGCTATTCGATAGAATCAAAACTGAACACTGAACACTCTTGTTTGGGACACATAGGTCACGAAAAATATATTTTCGGATATAAACATGTTTTGTGCAATATTTACGGAGCGAGACTCATTTTGAGGTAGGAGCAGTTCGGAAACATACTATGCTTCTTTTTCGGGTTTGCTGTCTCATAATGTAAGCGTGTTTTGGGATTGCTCCCAGCTCAAAGTTCGTCTTATGACATGAATATTATGCATAACTAAAACTTTTATTTTTTTTTTTTTTTTTTTGTTTTTTTTTTGGGGGGGGGGGGCAATGTTTGTTTTGTTACATTCATGTCCTATCGATGGTTGACCAGACGTCTCAGTTTGGCTGGGACAGGGCCATTTTAAAGGTGCATTTCCGCCGTCTCGTCATTTTTTTCTCATGAAACCTCGCGTCCTGTTTTCGTGGGAATGTGTGTGCATAGCCGTTGCAAAATGAGTGCTTGGCAAGTGGAGCAAGTCTAAAAGAATACATATGTTTTATAAAAATAACCATACTATAAAAATATTACCTCCCATTGAGTAAATTTAGAACTCTTTTTGCAGTTCCATCTCTCAATAGGTTCTCTTTGCACAGACGTTTGTTCGAGGCACTTTTCTATATTACTATATTTGGCAAACATCAAACATTGGTTCTGTTTAAAAATAAAAAAAGAAAGGTGCTTGTGTACTGAACTAAACAAAAATCTTTGGAAAAGTGAGCATTTGTACAGTGAGTTGAATAGTAGCAGAGCTTGACATTTCGTTCGGCCCCTTTGCCCATTCCCCGCCCCCCGATGTCCCATTTTTTATGCTGTGGTTTATGGTCCCCTACCTTCGAGGCAATTGAGAAAAAACTTTCTTTTTAAATTCAGTCTTTTTAATAGTCTATATGCACTGCGTTATCAGGGATGACCGGGATGAATCCTCAGAGTTAAAATCATCCGAAAAATGGTCTGCCCTTGCTTCTAGGGACCCGGTCGTCGTGACGCTCTCAGACGGCATGATTACCAATCTCGAGGTGTCATCTGCCGAGCCCGAACATCTGCTCAACATCAAGCGGGCGCTTGTGTCGGCATTTGTACTGAAGAGATCTCACCTCTTGCAAGGCGCCGACACCCAGGTAGGCCTACACACTGCAAGCATGGTCTTATGTTTGTTTAGAAATCGAACTGTTCTGGTAAGCTGCAAACTCCAACCATTGAATTCTAAAACCATGAGGAAAAATTAGGTGTGAGTCTTGCTTATTGGATGACACATCAGGTTCATCACTCTGGATCCACATTGTAGTAGAAGAACCCTACCTCTAGAGCAGCGGTACTCCAATGGGGGTTCGCAAAGCTCAACCTCATGAGTAAAAGCCCAGCAATAAAAGCTGTATTTCCTCATACTAAAAAAAAAAAAAAAAACGTTCGAATTTTCGGGCTAGTTTTCTCGAGTATATGTCGAGAAGACGAGTGTGTACTTCACACTAGCCTTTAGTTATATCCATATATTAAATCACTGTCATAATTAGCCTACACATTTCCCTTCCTCTCACCATGAACAAGGACCTCCATCATCTCTGCCGATCCACGAGGGGTTTGCGAAACGTCCATGGTGGAGAACCACTGTTCTAGAGAAAACAAGTCTAGGCACAGAGACTGGCAGGACTAGGACAGGACAATGTATGAGTGCATCGAAAAGGCACAAGCTCACCCGGACCATCCCGTAATGTTTTCTAATGTTCCCAGCAGCAACTGTGGAATAGCATTCAATCTCTGCTAAGGTTTCTTTTTAGTACTTTCATGTGAGTCTAAAAATAATATTTTTTTACTAATATGTGAAATGCAGTTATCACCCTGGTACACAGTAGTGTTAATAGAAATTACTAAACGAATATTGCAATGTTGGCTGAGAAACTTTTCAATGGAAATAAAATTCTCTCCTGTAGAGGTTTCGGTCTATATATTTTTTTAACCTTTTTGTTGCAGTTTGTATTATGGTAGAAAATATGTTGTTCTATCTCGTGAGCTACTTTGTCTCGCTTATTTTTGCCTAGCACCCGACAAACTGACTCGTTTTCATCATGCTTTTTTTTTAAGCGTACCGACATCCATGGCACGTGTCCCTGGAAGATGGTTCCTGGATCGGAAGCTGGGACGGCACACAGTTCGAAGGACATGCTTTACTGCTCTTATCCTGAGAGGGCGGATTGGCATCTCAGCCCTTGGGCAGTCATGTGGAATCTGGTCAGTTCACAAGTTTTCAGACACGGCTTTTTTTGTTTTTTTACATCCTAACACAAACATTTTAGATGCCCTCGTTTTTTGTTGTACTACAGGGCGATTAGTTGAGTTAAAATATTTCACATAATTGAGTTTCTTGTCAGGCAGGTATAATACTATTTGCCTTTTTCAAATTTGAGACTTAAACATTTCTTTTCTTTATGCTCATGATACTGGCTCAAATTTGTCACGGGGTTTTATGGTCTGTGCTCTGGGAAAGCGCTGCCCCTTTGTTTGCTTATTGTTAAACAGCTAAAAGCTTGCAAATAATTTTTTTCTGAATTTGCGTTAGGTATTTGACTGATTTGACAAATCAATTGAGTCTTGACTTGATTCTAAAGATCTAATATTATGCTTGGCATCGGTCCGTGACCTTGTTGGCACATTTAGGCCCGTCAATTTCGTTAGCTGCTCAAACATCTTTTGGTTTGTTTTTAGCATTGGATTCAATACCTGATAAATTCGACAGTAGACTGTGACTACGCTGCATCTGAGGGTATGACTCACCTGAAGTCCCTTCGCTGTCACGAGCGTCATGCCATCAAGTTGGAATCGACGCACGACACTACCACGGCTGTGCAGACCAACATTGTGTGAGTACCTTCGCAGCCTAAGGCTCTCAACTTTTTTTCACTCTTGGCACTAGATTTTTGGCAACTCGGACGGAACTCGGAAAGGTCAATCTAAGCGGGTTTACAGTAGAATCTTAATTCAAACTCGTTGATAATTCAAACTAACATGAAGGTCTCGTCCTATATGTTTCTAGGGAGGAAACTACGGGTAATTTAAGTAAAGCAGGAAATACCTGACCTATGCAGAGAGCAAGTCGTCTGCTTTTGCGCAGCGGTTGCGGTGACGTCAAAAGGACGCCGAGTTCTGATTGGCTTTGATTGGAAGGATAGTGGATAGACCTCAATGCTAGATGCCTTGAGGTACCCAATGTATTTAGTTTCTATCAGCCAATGAGAGCTTGGCATTCTGGCATCATCGCAACCACTGTGCCAGATGCAGACGAAGTTGCGCTCCGCACAGTTTGACGAAAACGTGAACACAGAAAGGTTTCACTATTTAATAGCACATACAGAGTATTTTTACAAATGGCTTTTGGAGCAGTCACTGATGCCTTTGGCACCTGTACCCTATTTGTTGTTTGTGTACCTTTTTAGAACAGTTTCCGGCTCTTCAGCTTCATCAATCCCCGTCGCTTGTTTCAGGTACACGCTCACGCTAGACAGCGAAGGAGCGCTCGAACAGTCATTGGACGACTTCAGCAGTCTCCTCGAGTTGGTCCCAGCTGGGATTGAGTACAAGCACCTTGCCACGCCTGACCCTTCTCTGTCGACTCTTGACGGCGTCCAGCTGGAGCGTCTCAACAAGGCGACCTTCTCCAAACTCGAAGAGCTTGTGCAGACGGCAGAGACGGAGGTGCAGCTCTTCACCATTCCCCTCTTTCACGAGTTCGTCGAGCTCCTCAGGTCCCACCGCGACCTCGTGCCTTTCGTCGAGCTCGTTGCAAACTGCGATCGAGCGGGTGGCGACAGCGCGGAGGAAAGGTGCACCCAAGAGTGGAAGGTGAGTCTCTTACTAAAACGTTAAGGGGGGTGGGGGGATAGTTGGTTCACCGTATTAAATATATAAAGCTCAAGACACAGAGGGGACAGGATAGCACTATCGACTTTTGACGGTGCTGTCCTGTCTTCATGTCCTCATCTGTCTCTTGCACGTTATGTGTTTAGTGGGAGTCTCCTTCGTGACCATTTCTAATGCAGAATAGTGTACTATATGTCTGGCCCCTTTAGGCCACACGGTCAGTTTGGGAAACGCAGGACACGGCTTACCATCATCACGCTTCGTGATTCGTTCTTCGGCGTTCTTATCGACCAATGCCGCAATATCATTGGCTGCAAACTGGTAATGAGATGCTCGGGGACTGGCCGTGCCACGCATTTCTTAAGCTCTGTAACTGTAGCGGTTCTGCAGTAACGCATTCCTGTAACGGAAGTGTGTTGCATGAGCGCTGCATCAGCGTGTGTGACCTCCGATAGCTGACACGGGGTTTGCAGAGGAAAATGACATCACGGGCGAAGCGTTGCCCTATTTCGTTGACCTAATATTTTCCGTGTCACCAAAAACGAAACATTTCTTCCTAGCAAACGCTGGTGTATGTCATTTCTTTCCCATAAAAAAAAGTTGACCTAGAAGGTTTCCTCTTTTTCCGGCCTTTCTCTTTAAATCCGACCATGCTGTGGCCGTGTTGACTAGAAAGTGTTGAACAAGTGCGCTCGCGCACATGGTGTGAGCGTGTGCAAGGGGCAACAGGGAAGAGAACGAGCATGTGATTTGGAGAAAACGGTGAGACACGAAATAGCAGGGTCAAAGCTGGGGTCCACTCTCAGAGAGCTAGCTTTGGCAGGGCTTTCTCTCAGAGGTGTTAGGCACGACAGCATTTGTGCCGTCGAGACACAAAACGCATAGCGAGTTTACCTGTGCAATGTCACCACGCTGCAATGTACGATACATTGTGCTACCACTGCCTTTGTCGCAATAAAGGGGGAAAAGGGCATATGTTTTTTTTAGTCTAATTTTATTCAGCGTGCTGTTGCATTGGTCTCTCGGGTTCATTTTCGCATCGAGGAGGATGGATGGGGCGACATCTAGACCGTAAACAGTGCTCTCTGATCATTTCTCTTGCAGTCCTTGGCCATGTCCTTTCTCCAGGACGCGCTGATACAGAGCAACAACTTCCCGACGTTGCGAGCGTTTCGGCACCTCGTAACTCACGGTCACGTGAGCGACGCCTACCTGCCCCTGGCCTTTCACTCCTGGAGTTTTCTACGCATCAACGACCCTCGTTACATGGATGAAGTCTTTGTGAGTTTGTGAACTTTATTTACAAATACTGCTGATCCATATCAGGGATCATAGCAGGGCGGAAAGTAACATAAAACAAAGCGTTAAAGTACCAAAGAGTTACTCATTCAGAACACAAAGCAGAAACAAATGCACTTACAGAGTCGTGGTTAATAATTTCGTAAGGAAGGCCATTAAAAAGGGAGAATTTGAAACTGTTGATGCGCAATTGGTAAGGTGCAATGCTAAATTGGGTTCTTCCTCAGGTGTACCTAAGCAGTAGAGAAAGTGATATATTCGTCAATGTTAATTTTATACTTCCCCTTAATTAATTGAAATAAAAATTGAAATCTGCATGCACGGTTTTGTTCTTGAACCGGTACAAACCCAAGCTGTTTGCTAAGCTCGGAAGTGGATGCCTTCTTATAGGCATTAAAAATGAATCTGACAGCTTTGTTTTGTATTCGTTGTATGCGATTAATTTCTACCTGTGTAAATGGGTCCCAAATAATGTTTGCATACAGGGTTAGTCGGCTAAGAGTATTGTACGCCAGGAGTCAAGTATCTGAAGTAACTTATTTTAGTGTTCGTCTGAGAAAAAAATATTCTACGGAGGGCATTAGAGGAAATTACGGTAAATTGATCTGTTTGTCCCATCTAAGATCGGAACTGATCCAGTGACCCAGATATTTGAATTTTGTAACTTCACTTAGGATATGTTCGTTGATGTGATAGGAGAATGAAAGTGGCTTTTTAGAGCGCAGCTCTTAGGCGCCCGTTTCCGGCTTGAGCGGCGTCGGCGTAACCGCAAGGTCACGTGACCCCCCCCCCCCCCCCCCCCCCGGTCACGTGACCCCCTCCCCAGGTCACGTGACCGCCCCCAGGTCACGTGACGGCCCCCGGTCACGTGACCCCGAAGGTCACCTCAAGGTCACGTGGCCTGGCCCCTTGGTCACGTGACCCCCCCCCCCCTCCACGCCTTCCCTCCCTCCTCAAGAGCTGCGCTCTAATTCGGCGTTACAGGGAGTTGTAAACAGCTTTCATTTTTTTTATTAGTGACTGACATACAAACACTTTTGTCATAATTTATACACATTTTCCATGTTTCACACCATTTCAAAATCTTGTTTAAATCATTGTTAAGCTTAATTTGGTCATCAACACACTTGACTTCATTATACAGCACACAATCGTCGGCGTAAAGAGGTATTTTGACAGAAATCTCGTCAGGAATATTGTTGATAAATAGCAAGAACAAAGGCGCAAGTACCGATCCCTGGGGGACGCCAGAGTGCTCTGAAAGTAGGGAAGAGCCCTCATTATTTATTGGTAGTGGTTTGTTAGGTAAACCTGTATCCAACCAATAACTTAATTATTTTTTGAGTACTTAATCAATTTTTGTAGGAGCTTTGCATGTGACACTTTATTGAATGCTTTCGCGAAATCGACAAAGATGACATCTACCTGACTTTTCTTCTTCAGGGCAGAGGGAAGGTCATGAACTGTCTCAAGCGATTGAGTCGTTGTGAAAAATCCTCGTCTGAAGCCATGTTGGCCGCTCGACTGCACGTTACGCGTTTTGAGAAATTAAAAAAATGTGTTTATTAATAACGGGTTTAATGTGTTTGCAGACAGAACAAGTTAATGAGATAGGTCTATAATTAGTAATCAGCTCTTTGTTTTCCAGTTTTATGTAGCAGTTTAACTCTGGCCATCCTCCAATCTATTGACACGTCGCCTTCATATAGTGACTTGTTGAATATAATGACTAGATATTTCGACACAAAAACTGCAACTTTCTTTGGCTTTCTGTGTCGTTGAGTAGTAGCTGAAGACAAGTGCACTGAGTCTTAGCCTGTCTGGTGATTTGCTAAAGTCTCGATTAATAAGCAAGAAAGTTGGTCTCAGTGGAAGTCTCCCACCCATAATCTTTTGACAATCTGAGAAAAAGGTGAAGTCCTTCTTATGCCTCTTTGTAAGTCTTTCAGAGAAGTCTCTGGAAAAAGGCACTTTTACAGCATCTATAATAAAAAAAAAGTTCCAGTTTTTCTGGGAAAAACTGGAGTTTTTCTGGGAAAGAAGCACTTTTACAGCATCTATAATAAAAAAAAAAGTTCCAGTTTTTCTGGGAAAAATTAAGGCTACAAGACAATGCTAGATACCTTTTCACATACAAGACTTTCCACAATATAAATTTTTCTTCTTTTTTCTCCTTCCATTTGTACTTGTATTTAAAAAGGAGTGCACCAAACATTTGTGTTTGCCACCCTTTTCTAGATTTTTCTCTTTTCAAGTTGAACAGTTGATAAACAAGTTAAAATTGTGGCTTAAATTTCAGGAAATCTGCAAATCCACAGACAAGACAATGTGCTGGCTGCTTTTGGGACGCATGATGAAGAAGCACAAGGAGAACTATGTCATTGGAAGTGCCGTAAGTTGTGGCTGTTATTATCAGCCCAATGGTCTCGGGACTTAATGCCATATCTTTGAGCAAACATTAGGTTAGGTAGGTCAACTGCAACATCAACTCATATAAGTGACCTCTTATAGATAAGCACAATCACCCTTAAAATTAGCTGGCTAATTTTGGAAAATAAATTTTAAAATCAGTTTGTAATGGTAAGTCCAGTACAACTGGTAACACAGATTCTGCAGTAGTAATGACTACAAAATTTAATGTTGTAACAATAGCCATTCTACTTCCGTGGTAGATTTATATTATCCAATTGAAATGTGTTGCATACTCATAATGTTTATGAAGCTTGCATGGCTATTTGACTGAAATGAAAGAAAGATTATGTGTCATCGGAGGTTTGATGTTCTTCAAATGTCAGTTACTTTTTCTGTCCATAGCACCTTATCTGGAATTCACAAAACAGGTTTTCTGAAGCATTTTTAGTTGTTTGGAAATTTTGACTTGCAGTATTTGGTCAAGCACTACACTTATCGTATGAGGGTCACCTTAGCGTTTTACGTCTAGCTGTGTTTGTGCTTCAGAAATACGTGAGGAAAGCATTGCAGCATCTTTCTGACAAAGGCCGGCCCTTATGTTCGATTCCAGGTACCACTCGTATTTGGAAAGGTGCTTAAACATGTCACAAGTTACATCGGTGAGAGATGTCACATGTCCAGCATGGCACTGCCGTCGACATCAACCGTGGCTTCAAGAGTTCACCACCTTGTCATGATGCTCAAGGTAAACCTTGAAAAGCTCTTTCTATTTTGTTAGGTTTGTAGGAGTTGTAGTTGTAGAAACATTTTGGTAGGATTTTCAATCCTTTAAAGCAGAATGCTTTTATGATCTAATTCCTAAGCCTAAAGCATCAGAAAGCATTGTAACCAAAACATGATAGCATGGGCTCAAAACGATCATGTGGTTGGTGCCACTCTATGGGACGTGTGGTCACACGGCTTGTGCCATTATGGGTTACGTGGTCACGAATCATGAGGTGATGGTTTTATGTGATCGTAAGCATTAATGTCGGTGTTACAGGACTGCGTAATCTGATGTCAAAGTGTCTAATGACCACATAATTTGCAGGGGTGGGACAGTTGCGCCATTTTGATGCATTCACAGTTTTCTGCGCCAAAAGCGTGAAGTGGAGTGAAACTTCACCACGCTGTTGCAAAGATCATGTGATGCTAGATTTAGCAGAAGGTTGAAGCTTGGTCGACAACCTTGGCTATAACATGGCCAGGTGGCGCAAGCTGCCACCCGAGCCGTATCTGTCCGTCCATCCATCCGATGGATTAGATGTATCATACATTCTAGCCATCATACCGTTGCATCATACATCGTACATGCTAAATGTATGATGCAACGTAGCATGTAACGTTTATGTTGCCAGATGGTGCCTCCTCATTTTTAATCTAAATTTGTTCCTAAAATAAAATATATTTCTGGGTAGAATTTCAGATATCTCACAGTAAAGTTCTATTCAATCATTTTCAACACTTGCAGACAGGCCTAGTTTTGCTTGAATTGTAACTTATGGTACAACTGGCTAAGAGGCTTTCTTAAAATGATGTCACAATTACTCCTAAAGTGCTCCAAAATATGTTTATTTGTTGTTTTTTACACTTTAGTGCTTTAAATTTCAGGTTTTTCTGCTCCTAAGTTTTCCTAAAATCTAGGCCTTCTGCTCCTAAGCTGCTCGAAAATGCGGATTTTTCTGCTCCAGAAATTGCTCCAAACCCAGTTTGGTTTGCCCCACCCCTGAATTTCATGTCACATTGTCACGTCTTGTGACGCCGTGACATCCAGTGATGTCGCATGACATTGTGACATAGGTGTTTGTTGGTGTTGCAGGGTTGGTACCACGTGACCACCATTCGCTATATTTAGTATGAAAATATCACGTGATATAACAGCCCCTCAAGTCCACATTCTGCATAATTCAAGCTTTAATGGTAAGATCACGGTGGCTAATATTTTTTTTCTTCTGGCATAACCTTTTAGACCATCGGAAATGCGGGAATGGCAGCGCAGTCCGTGTACCCCAATATCACGGGACAGCTTCTGAACTGCGCCCAGAACCACGAGAACCCTGGCCCTGTCGCCGTGTTTGCCATTGAGGTGATGCTTTACTATTCAGTCTCCGAGTCTGTTGCGATTTCAAAAGTTACAAATACTATTACTTACTGCATGCACTGAGAAGTGGGGAAAACATATAAACGACGTTAGGAGGTGCCAGAAAGAAATATGGGGAAAACTGTACATTTCTTTGTGTTTTCTTATTTTGTTATGTTAGAAATATTGAAAATTCAAGAGGTCATCCCCCCCCCGTCTTTCGCTTTATGTATTATTTGACATGTTAGCGTAGAAAAATAGCCCTCAATGATCTGCGCTTTGATTGAGTTCATTTTTATTCGTTACCGTAACATTTCTTTTTCTTCATCATATTCTTTCCGATTTCTTATTGCATAAACGGCGATGTAATTATGTTGCTACCTTTAACTAGCGAGTTTCGATTGCCAGTTAAACCCATGACTATTTCAGTCCATCTAAACTGGGTTATTTTATGTTCTGACATGTAATATAGTTAGCTACGGAAAGTGAACATTTTGCACAATGCATCCTCAGGCTCTTCGCGAGTTTCACCTGAACTACGACACTTTGTCGGCACTCAAAACAATCTTGAGTGACCCGAAAAAGCCGCTGGAGCTCCGTGTAGCCGTCTACAAGCTGCTCACGAGAGAGCCGGATCGATGGAAGTTCGGAAAGATGATCCAAAACTCCTTGGAAGGGGAAGAGGTGACTTCCAACCTGATGGACTACATCGTGTCGGACTTTCTGGACTGGATGCCGACCGAAGCAAGAGCGTCACTCCTCATGCTTGCCAACGGGACGACTGAACGGCGTTTCCAAGATGTAATGTAGGTTTTTTCATGCTTTATTTCTACTCATTTATCCCTGCAGCGTCTTAAACCTAGTGTGCAAAATATAGCGAGGTCTATATTGTTTCTTATCTGTGCTGGCAGATACACTGGAAATGATAACAATCCTTTTCTGAACCTCGCCCATATCTTCATCACTTTCATGTTAAAAGGTATATCTGTTTAGCTTTGCTACAAATTATATCATGTACGTAACAACGACACAAGATAAATTACTGCCCACAATTTTAACCTCGCATCACTGAGGCAGATCGTCTTACTTATGGGTAATGCCGTAGAGAAAAAAGTATTTCCCATTTTTGGCGGAGTTTGAAGAATGCAAGTTAATTTGTTTTGAAGCTAAAAAAGAAATAATTGTAAGCAACGAGTAATAAAGCTCACCTATAACTGCACCCAGGGCCGTACCCAGAAAAAAAATTCGGGGGGGGTTTTCGGGGACAATGGCGGCCATTTTGAAAGTGTCTATTGTCTTATTTTCGCCTATGAATCATGTGCATCGGTGGCATATAATGGAGAGTTACAGCAAACCGGAGATCCGGTCCCGGATTGGTACCCGGTAGCCGACCGGCGCCACTGCGCGTGCGCAGAGGTGGAGATTAAAATCGGCTGGTTGCCAGTGCACCGAACAGGGCCATACACAGAAAAAAATTTCGGGGGGGGTCAGAACCCCCTATTCCCCCCCCCCTGGTTACGGCCCTGACTGCACCATTAGAAAACCTGCAACCCTTATTTGTGCACATGTGCAACTGGAACAACGGGTGAATGAATCAGTACTGCACTACATACTGTGGTGCTTATAGGCCTTGTTTATTCTGTTTTATATAGTGCAGTTGATTATTGTCCTGAGGTATTGTAGCTCTGTACTGCCTGTTGATTTTGAAAAAGCGATTTAAAAATGCAGTTTCTCGTTATATAGAAATTTTTTATGCTTGATTTCCGAAGAAGGTTTTCTGAGCACGGAGCAGAGTATCGCGTTCTATAACTGGCACAAAAAAGGAAAAAGAAAGATTCCTAACTTCATTTTCTGCTTTGTTTTTTTTCTTTGAATTTAAGCCCCGGTGAAAAATTCTACAAGGCCCTTCGGCACACTGTTCTGAGCAACAGGAAACACCGAAGGTCCAATCGTTGCACATTCGAGAGACGTGTCGAGCTCCCGTTCTTGCCGTCGGAGTTGAAGGACTTTGCCGTGAAAGCGGTGTCGGACCAGGTATACGGAGGATGGAAGAACCTCATCTCGGACCTCTCCAGCAACATTAGTTTGCAACTGTTTGGCAACGAGTTTCGGTTTGCGGACGTCTCGGTTTTTTTCAAAGGTAAACGTTTCAAGCTCCATCTTGAAGCTCTTGAATAGAGATTGCTATTTTTGTCTTCTTTTCCTTTTACATTCTTGGTATCATGTCATATAGTTTCATGCAAAGCACAACTTTACTTTTTTTTTTTACTATTGATTGTTTTAATTGTCACAATCTTCGTTTATTTTGATGCTCAAAATTGGGGTAGGCTTACGCACAGGCACAAAATTCCAGCGTCCGAAGTGAATGCTGCTCATTTCTCCTAGGGATAGCACTTCTCCTCGAACATTCATATGCTCCGCTAGAAAGCAACTGAGCAGACGCACCACAACATGTACAAATTGGCCGCCTCGCACACGTTTCGACTGGCACAAAATTACAGATGAGACTAGTGTCTGACAAACTATTTGTTTTTCTTACGTCTCTCTATGGAAGAAAGGTGTGTGGCTACTATTACACAAGCGTGGTGATGAATACCATCAAATGCAAATATGTAAATCTTTTTTTAAACATGCTGAGCAAGTAGCTTTTATCTGTTTTCAGTCTTTGCACACGCTTTGGATTTCTTAATTGCTTTCAGTGCTGGCATTATTTTTGGTATTGAACGTGTCACGCCACTTCTGGTCGACACAAAGCTTCATGTAGTCTGTCGCAGGTTAAGAATAGCGGGACCAGTTCTCTTCCACAAAGCTCTCCGCTTGCCACGATTAGTCGCTTCCTCCTCTCCGCTGACCTCCTCTCGAGCGTTCACTCTGCTAAGTGGAAAGACTGGGTGGCATTGTGGAAGGGCTTTGTCTTGCTATTCTTAACCTGCAATAGACTATAGTCACTGACAAGTTGAGAACAGCAGGGAGCAGCCTCAGTTGTCCTGCCTCCAGCACGAGATTCCCATCTTTGACAACGCTTCGGTTTCTTGTACACCTGCACTGCGGGCACGCAGCCGGAGCAGGGTGGAAGGCACGAAGCACATACGGGAAGCCAGGCGTTCGAAAGGTGTTCTCACTGTCTCAGTGACTATAGACCATTTCACTAAGGGCTCTCCCGGCAGCGCCATTTTGTTCGACTGCACTGCCATCTACATAAAATCCAGCCATTTTAACGGAGTCTTCAAAATGAAAGAGGTAAAGGACACGTACCCGACCCGATAGCAGACGACAAACTGGCCGTCCTCCACGCGCATTTCGACCGATTCGGCAGGGTAGATCGTTGGGGCAGTTGCAGTGGGCCGCACTGCCAGACTGCCCCTCTCTCCTTACCGTAGTAGAATAGTCTATGGAGTCATTAAGTCACTCCTTTTGGTTCTTTAGAGCTGGACCACGTCATAATGAACTTTGGCAAGCTGGAGGGAGGACAGTGGAAGGTTGACTGGGACGCCATAGAAGAAATTGTGAGCCTCCAGCTGGGGGCTGGCTCAATGCCTCGAGGTCCGCTCGCACGCTTTCCCAAGCTGCGCGCCGGCCTCAAGAAGATCCTGGAGGTCCTACCGCCCATCGCCAATCTTCCTCTAGCTCCCGTGGCCAGTCTCAACATGTTTGGTGAGCCACAAAACGAGTCCTTTTATACAAGAGCTATGCAAATGTAAAATGTTTGGCTGCGAAATGCAGTGGCGTATTCAGGGGGGAGGCTCATGGGGCTTCACCCCCCACCCCCCTGATATCCAGCCGACCCTATAATATGCACATCCATTTTGACCCCCCCTCCCCCCCTCCGTACCTCAACCATGGACATCTCAGTCACCTCAGGCTCCCCCCCCCCAAATATTTCTGGCAACACTACTGGGGACTTGAATGAGTGCTGTACATGGCTTTAATTTTTTGGGCACAACAGTTCACGAATTTTGTGAATAGCGGCTCTTGGAAATATTTTACGAGCACAAAATATAGCGATTGGGAGTCGTACACTATGGAATCGTCACCCTGGGTTAACATGTTCATGGCATCAGTTCTTGGCGATGATTTACAGGACATAAAATTTGCAAAAATTAGGTTCTCGCAAAGATTGAGTCGTTTGCAGTATATTTGGCATTTTATCTGAACTGAGCATTGATACTCTAATACAGTTGACTCTCATTAATTCAAACTCTCTCAATTCAAACTTTCGGATAATTCAAACTAACATGCAGGTTCCATCCTATGCGTCTCTATGGGAGGAAACTCCTGATTATTCAAGCTTTGTTTTATTCAAACAAAAGTTTGTCCTCCCCCAAGTTTGACTTAATGAGGGTCGACTCTATCTACAACTACACTTTTCTTCTGCAAACATTCTCATGCAAAAGAACAGTTTTATTGCATCAGAAACATTTCATACTTGTTTTAAATAGAAAGAAGTCCCTGATTAGGATGAGCCAGATAAAAGAAAGTTAAGTGGCAAGTGGAGCAATGACAACCATACTTATTTAAATATAAGTTGACATTATTTCCCCCGTACTTTCCTTTAAAATAAGGGCTGAATATAACCGTAACCAGAACCAGCCAGAATGCTTCTCTGCGTCAGTTTTTCTCTGAGCATGCCAATGCAGAACAGTGAAGCTTGACACAAATGCAAGCTTAATTCGAGAAATTGGCGTGTCCTGAAGGCATTACTTGTAATTGAATCATGAATCGAGTCAAATAGCGAACACCGTTTGCAAACTCTTAGAAGTTCCTAATATTCGCACCTTTTCAGCTTCTGGTATGAACAGTTACGCTGTAACACCATGCGTAAGGTCACCCTGACCACTTACTAAGCAACGCTAGCTCTCAAATACCTGTCGTGTTTATTATAAGACAGATGCATTCATCCCTATGCTTAATCCACTATCGTGACATGCAATGCGCTACGACAAGCAGTCACGCTCCCAGAGATCGCTCAGCGTCGTCACCGTGTTTCTCGTCCCTCCAGGCTCTGATCTGTTGTTCGCCAGCTACGGTGAGATCCTGGCAGGGCTCATGAGCTCGCTGGTGCCGCAGGCACCCCTACCGCAGCTCCTGAAGAAAGGAGTGCGGTTCGACCTGACGCGCACCATCAGAATCATCGAGGGCCACCACCAGGTGCCAACGCTGATCGGGCTACCTCTCAACTGGACCACCAGTGCCACGCTGGTGACTTCGGTGAGGAGTGGTGCAAAGCTCGCCGAAGATGGTGCCTACAAGGCTCACATTCATCCTAGGTAGGTATCTTTCATCTGCGTTTTTAAAGTATGAAACACTTTTTAATGGAACCCTTCAATCCCAAAGTTTTGTCCGTCCATCCCTACCCTTCCGTGTGCATTTCCCACTAAATTTAGCAAGAACATTGACGTTGTGTGACCTATACACTAATTCAATTTGCCCCGTAAATCGAGTGGGAAAATTGACGTCACGTGACCCATGCACCAAGTGAGTCTTCCCACTAAATTTTGCTATAAAATTGATCAAAATATAGGTTCTCCTTCGCTCCTTGAAACAACTGTTTAATGTCGTCTGAACAAATGTAAACATTCCCTCTTTTTTAAATATTGCATTTCATGCATTTATATGACTTTGATTATAGATAAAGATAGTCGCCAATTATTTAAAAATAATTGTATGAAGTGTCCAAAAACCGTGAACCGTGTTTTTAACGCTATGTTTCTTGGCTCGTTTTTCCATCGTGTCCAGCGGTGCTTTGACCTTCCTGAACCGGATGTTGCTGGACTTCCCCACCAAGACGCGCGTCGGAGTCCAGGCCAACAGCTCGGCCTACACCACGACACAGCTGCGGGGAGGGCTCGCACTCCGAAACGGGAAGATGAAAGTCGAACTCGAAATCCCGAGGAAGGAACAGAAGTTACTGCAGCTTGTGTAAGTCAACTATGTGCATGCACCTGGCTAAGTTTTAGAACGATTAAGGTCGATTTAAAGGGAAGCTACGGAGCTTCTTGGAAAAAATGAGTTAGAAGTGAATTCTAGTATATTTTTACCCCGTGAACCCGAATACCCAAACCATTTGGTGCGTAAGTATTGTTAAATGCAAGAAAAACGCGAAAGACAGTCGCTGTCCGTGACGTCATCGACGCCTCTTTTGGCTGCCCAAGGCTAGGGAGGCGGGGCTTCAGTCCTATTTTCAAATTGCTCTTGTGGCTCTCCGGCGCATCGCATTGAAATATAATTTTGATATCTGTTATTCTAAAGGCCAAATGAACGCAATTCAAGCGTTTTTTCTCAAATGTAGAAGTGCCCCATCTTCCCTTTAACCCACAAATAGTATTGATAATTTAAAATTTCACATACTCTGCAGTAATGTCATTTAGATTGAGTTTCTGTGTTAAACAGCAGTTTGCTACGAATCAATTGCTATTTACGTATAGCGAGTCATTTACATATGAAGTGTATTGACCTCTATGAGGTGTTTACTATTCGGTCAGAAAAGTCTTCACTATATAGTATCAGTATCTTCACTAATGAGTACTAGTGCCCCAAATGCCTATAATGCCCTAGTCATTTACGTTCAAAGTCTACTGACCTCTATGAGGTATCTACTATTCAGTCAGGAAAAATCTTCACTAATATATTATCAGTATCTTCACGACTCAGTACTAGTAACCCAAATACCTCTTGTACCAGTTTTTACAAACCTACTGTGTCTTTGCTATACCAGTTTTTTATGTAAGAAAGTTACACTTCAGTTTTGAAAAGCAATAATAACAATATTTATCTTGTTTACTCCAAAACAATCAGCAGTTCTTTATTTTAGTGCACATACAGTCTGGATGAGGAACAACAATAGCTGGAGCGAAATAAACACCAGAGGAGACTCATAGAAACCAAAACATACACTCAAGTCGCAGAGGGCTTGCTTCTGGAACATAAAAAGTCGCTGAATATGTCGATACTTGCATTATCTAAGCGATTGTGTGCATGTTAAATGAGCCTCTTGCATAGTAAATAGTAGTTCAGCAAGAAATCTATGAAAGTATGAACCATATTGTCTCGAATGAAAAAGGATAGACAAATGTAGAACTAAAGAGGAAGGTTTAGTCAGTGAATTTGTGCCAGAAACAAAGAAGAACGAGCGTCGATAAAGCAGCAGCGAACGTCAAGGGCTGCAGCAGCAAGCGTCGAGGTGTAGGTGCTGACTTGCAGTCAGCATTACTCCCCCCAGAGGGGGAGTAATGCAGACAGTATTACGCCATGTGCATGCGAGAGGCTGGTTTATTATAGATTTATGGAAGTGTGACTCAGGTTATGACCCCTTCTCTCACCACGGGCTGTATGCACCCCACTAGACGCACCAACCAGCTGATCAAGCACGACCGCCTCCAAGAAATGGAGGACTGGGACGTGGATCACGTCAATGTCGACTGGTGCACCGGCGGCCATCTTGGCCAGGTGACGGGGCTCCAGCTGTGCCACGACCGCTCTTACGCCAACGTGACGCATCTCATGAAGCCCTGGTTTCCAATGGCTGCCCACGCCAACTGGCAGCTCGTGCTCAAGCCTTACGGCAAGTGAGTCGCTTTCTTTAACCTGTTTTTATACATATTTACGTATCAGTTATACATGATACTGTAAAACCCTTTATTTTCGCGGCCCTTATTTTTTGCGAATCGGTCACAGATGACATAATCGCGACCACTAAATTTCGCGAATTCCAGACGCCTGCATTGAAAATCTTAAAAACCGAAATTTTTGCGCGCCCTTAAATTTCGCGAATTCTTCAATTCGGGAAATTCGCGAAAATTGAGGGCTCGCGAACATTAAGGGTTTTATAGTACGTAAAAACTCGCTACCTTTGATGCAGCAAAAATGTTTTTAAAGTATTTTAGAAATTACATTTTAGATGTAGTTTTTGATGAGCATGTTGATGTGTTGTAGGTATGTGTTGTCGTCCCTATTCTTTTAATGCTGTCTTTTTCTTAATTAGGTTTCATGTTTTCTTTTTGAATTGGCAATCTTATATCACTCAAATAACCTTAATCCATGTTAATGGTTTCTACTAATTTAATATAGGCATTGTTTCCACATTTTCAATAAGGATTTAGTTGTGGAACCATCTGGTGCAAGAAAAGGTATGGCAATCCAAATTCAGCAGAATGTGATCATAGTTTTGTACTAATAGGCATTATATCTGCATTTTGGACGATGCTTTAGTTGTGAAACAATTTGCGGTGTAAGAAAAGCTATGGTACTGTCAAGACCGGTTATAACGAAGTCAACGGGAATCCAAAATCACTTTGCTATATCCGCTATTTCGTTATACAGTAAAACCTCGTTATAACAAAGTTGAAGGAGCGGTCGTAATTATTTTGTTATAACCATTAGTTTGTTATAGCCAATGTCCATTTCTTCCCACTATTAGCAAGCAAGGGGAATTATGATTGCTTTGTTATATCCATTAGTTTGTTATATCCCGTTTTGTTATAACGAGGTTTTACTGTAACTGACTTCGGTTAATGAAGTGCAAAAGAGAATGGGAAATGGTGATCGCTTCGCTGTAGCCGCTAATTCGTTATAACCGACTTTGTTATAACCGGTCTCGACAGTAAATGAAATTCAGAAAATATGGTCGAGGCTGCGAAGTTCGGGATGTTTGAATAAGAAATACAGAAAATTAAAAAATGGCATTTTGATCATGGAAGCATCTGATCTAATCGAAATATATACGAAAGTTATATTTTGGTGGTGCTGCAATCAAGACGCAGTTTGCTTTGTGGTTGTTGTCAAAAATGTTTCCGACTTGTTTTTATTTCTTTGGTTCTATAAACCCGACTTTTCCCTAAACGATTCTGAACAAATTTTTAATTGAATTCATAAGAGCACTGAACATGTTGTAGAAGATCTCATTTATGTTGTTTGTTTACAGTGACATAACAAGTTACGTGCTCGATATCACCTCACCGTCGCAGCAGGACATACTTAAAATTGAACTTCAGGCTAAAGGTAAGTCTGTCTGACAATAAGTTATTTTTGTTTTGCTCTCATGGTCTCATCTTGCTTTGCTATAGCAGGATAACTAATTCCCTTTCTATCGCACACTTCCCACGCATGATGAATAACATCAAGTTGAAATTGTGGATCTCCTTGCTTTTGTGTTTCTGAAGGTGCAACAACCAGCAATGGGCTCACACTTCGCGTTGTGAGCGGCAAGGAGCTGGAGCTGTTTGTCACCAAGTCACCTTTTTTGAGGGCAGCAATTAAAAGAGTAACAGTCACGCACGACGACAAAAGCGTCTCTGCTATCAACGAAGCTGTGCTTGGATTTGCTCCAGAACAGCAGATGCTTCTAACATATGAGGTTAGAACGTGTTTGTCTTTGTCAGCATTTCATCCCTTACCGATAAATTCACGGTTCGAGTGTCGTGAAGGAAACGAGCACCGTGCACACATTTGTTTTTCGTCAACCATCGGAAAGCTACAGCAAGGAACCAAGGGTTATACTAGAAAACAAGAAATTTGAAAGAAAACTTACAGGCTCAGAGTCTGAAAGCTTAATGTTATGGAGGTGTGCAAAGAGTGGCTCGAATCGAATAGTGCTCTGTCATTCGTAGCTTGCTACAGTGCAAAAAAAAAAGGTACAATAAGCCAGCTTTCTTTACAGTGATGAAGCTAGGAATGGGGACACTGCTATTCGATTTGAACCACTGTTTGCTCACCCCAATTTAGTAGTTACTTTCCAATGCTATCGTTATTAATGACTCAAGCAGCTTAATTCATGGAGTCTCTATGTCTATATCTAACTTCGTAAGAAAGTTGCATGCAAGCTTGTTGCAATAGCATGTTTTCCTCAAAGTATTGATGCTGCATATTTGGACCCCTGTCACTGGTATTTAAAGTCTAATTACGTAGTAATAGTACTCACAATAAAATTGCTTCGCTAATTTTAAATGGGACTGAAAATTGAACATGTGCTTTAGCTCTATGCATCAAAACTGACTGAGAGAGGTATTGATGTCATTGATTACTTAACTGTTTTTCGAAGATGCCGTTTTGTTTGTAGCAATGATGAGATTCTGGATTCCTCACAGGTCAGGTCAAAGCAAGAAAAAAGAGCCAAGTCAACAAAGGATTCAAATGAGGCTCCCAAGGGTCAGACGATCGCCGTCGCAGTCCACGAGAGGGCGCTGAAACTCGCAACTCCGTTCAACTCCTACGGAGTCCAGTGGATCGTCAACACCCTCTCCACCGGAACCAAGGCAGACTTCAAAGCAACATTCGAGAGGTGTGGACACAAAAAGTGGACTGGATACATTGTTTCATAGAGTTTGGAGATAGCACCAAACACATACTTCCCCCATTCGACAGGCACTGGGCAACTAAGGCATCGCACTCGAACCCTTACACCTGACAGTGTTGTCCGCTAGCCAGGAAACTATTCGAACCAAAGAAAGCCGACCTACAATCCGACCATCGAGCCAACCGAGGTGCTTTGACACGTCAGCCGTTTCTCCTAACACGCCGGTGAAAAGCAGTGAAGCTTTATACGCACACACCGGTGCGATGTGGAGAAGCTTGACCCCAGAGCACCAGTGCAAAGCAGTGAAGCTTGACGCAAGAAATCTGAGAGATTTGAAGACATTATTCATAATTTTCAAATATTCGAGAAACTCAATTACTTTGAATGGCAAAAGTGTACTGCGAATCGAATCAAATAAGAAACACTTTTTGCAAACTATTCGAAGTTTCGCTCACCTCTACCCTTTATATTTCTGTGTGATTTCTTTGCTGTCTTCACCTTTGTGAAATATTAAATTCGAACATGACGGTGGCTGAAAGCTCTGCTTCTGGATGTTAACAAAAAGTTAAGTTTTTAACCTACATTTTGATCATAAATATTTCATCACCTATTGCAGCGGTGGCTCAGATCTGCTAAGATGGCACTTAAACTGAAAAAAAGTTTCACTTAGGGGCGGGGAGAGTCGGCTAGATTTTGGAACTGAGGTTCCTGGGAACGCAGTTGTACAACCCATGATCAGGTTTGACTTTCCTTTCCGATCATTCACACTTTCTCTCAGGGGCCCCCAAGGCAGCAACGAGTTTCTGCGGGAAATGGTGGCAGACGAGTTCTTTACGGAGGGCGGTTCGGCGTGGGTTCACGTTCAGCTGCATCAAAAGAATGCGGTTCCGGTGGGCAAGTACAAGGTGTCACACACCACCCTGGGTCACGTGACCACTCCCAAGACGGAGGTCGATCTCGTTGTGCACTCGCTCAGCTCCAAGTTGAGGCAGCTCACCCAGGTCAACCTGACCAAAGTTGAGAAGTCGACGCAGCGTCTTCTGGTAAGAGCCTGGGTCGCGTTTTGCCTCTACTGAGGTGTCTATCTTGTACTGAGACTTCGTTTGTTTTGTTGTCATGTGCAAAGTGTGTTCAGTGTGCAAGTGTTGAGCGTGATGGATGATTTTTCTAGCTGTAGATTGTTAGGAACAGGGCTGTTAAAAGTGGTTTTTTCGGTGTTTGGTTTACACTGAAGGCTACATTAGATTACCATTAAAAATGTGATCAATAGTTCAGTAAAAATATAAAAGGTCGGAAAAGTGGGGCGGGCTTTACTTGTTGGAAAGATTGCTTTTCTTCAGTATTAATCTTACGCCCTGTCCCATTGTGACTAGATTTTATTTGCTGGAATGTTAAAAGCTGCAATTCGAATTTGAATTGTCATTCTGCACCATGCTGTATATCAATAGCGAATTATTCCAAAGCTCTTGTTGTTTTTTGTTGGTTTTTAATGTACGACGGAATACTTATTTCTAGATAAATCTGCATAATACACAAAAAAGGATCTAGACTAGTACATCACTCTTTCTATTATATCATAGTATGTGGAACGCCTGTGCAAACTGGCATTACAAACTTCCCACGACATCTCTTGATTACATCCTTATTGTTTAAAATGGAGAGATGGGCTAGTTGGTACATAGTTCTTTAAACAATACCTATGCGCCATTAAAAAGGGATACAACACAAAGCGCTACATGTTGTGTCCCTCTCTTCTTGTCCCTGTTTTACGGCGAACATTGTTTAAAGAATTATTATGGCTTTGAGTAAAGTCACCGTACAATAAATTTAGCTTTTTCTTAATATTTGCAATAGAAATATTTGTAGAATATAATACGAGAATCTTAGGTGCGTCTATGAGATATTAAAAGCCCGCCACAACTTTCTCTACTGTACGAAAAAGCATTGACTCGCACATTGATACCGACCGCCGCCAATCAATCGATCCCTGTCCGCAGGCATTTGCCAACTTCAGCCGAGAACACTGGATGCACGTCAAGGGAGACGTGACCAAGCGCAGCGCCCTCTACAACCTGACGGTGTCGCACCACTCTTTGGCGCTGCGGTTCGACGAGGAATCTCGGAAGCGTACCGGGGAAGTCGCCAGGCACCTGTCTCTCCTCTCGGAGAAGATGGAGAAGAAGCAGTCGGACTGGGGCTTCTTTGTAAGTTGCTGCTCAATGTCCGAAAGATTCATGTAGTATCTTAAGGATAAGGTCGGGAGGCAGAATAGGTGGCATGTTTTAAGCTGCGTGGGGCTACCCTGACACGGACACAAGTTTAGTGGTGTCACACGACGTAGAGTGAGGTTGTGGGGCCACGTGACATCCAGTTTCATGACAATGTCAGTCACGTAAGGTTGCATCATGTAACCTGGTATTGATGTTATCCGACTCGAATTGAGATTGTGAGCCGAGTGCTTTGCCAACTGAGCCATCCAGGGTCTGGGATCAGAGCATGCAAAAGAGTGGCCATTCACGGGGCGTGCCAACACACGGTCGTGCACCTTAAGGTCTGCGTCAGAAATGAGGGAGAATCTTCATTAGGCACTTCCGTTCAGACGCCCTTCTATTCTTTCTTAGAAGGCCTATCCCACATTCTATGCTTATCAGTCCTTGTTAGCATGATCGAGCTTGTATAACTTTTTGTTGTACAACCGCTTTTAGCATTGTTTTTTTTTTTTATTGGGATATCGATGTCTAGAGTTTTTCGGATAAATTCGAATAGACAGTAGTTTCACCGGCGAGTGCTTTTTGGAGCTTTTCAGATTTATCTAGAAACACAAAACCCTACAGATAGCACGAGTGTATTCTAGGATTGGTTGGATAAAAGCAATATTTGCTAAGCTATATAAGCCCTGTGACTTATTTACTTTTATGTGTAGTATTTATGAGAAGACAATGAGACCCTGTGTGTGTTTGTCCTCTTTTCTATTTTATTATTATGACAAATTATTTTCTTAAATTTCTTAAAATTGCCTTAGATTTTTGTCATTATGGCAAGAAACACGTTTGTTTTTGTTTGAGCTGCGTTAGATCACGCAATCTCGTTTCTAACCGATGCAGAGCACTTGGTGGCATCCGAGCACAAGTCACCTGTTTGAGCAAAAGCTCAGAAGAACAGAGCTCTCCTGGTCAACCAAGCCGGTCGGCACTTCCAAGGATCTGACTGGAACCGTGAGCATAGCGGCCAAACTGTCACACAGTGCCTACGACAGTACAGAACCTCAAGAATTCCTCCTGTATGGAAACATCACACTTCCACCCAACAAGTAAGCTTTGCTCCAGTCCATGGAGCCTCACTGATTTGTCACTTAAACGAGTTCCAGATGTTGCACCAAATTCCAGAAATGGGTATAAAATTTTTTTTACAGCAGAGCTGTTAAGGGTTGGTTTCCCCAGGATCGTGTCCGGTACCAAACAAATGTCGACACCGGTGGCCGACACAGCACTCTGGTTGCCGCCGTCGCTCATAGATGGCGGTAGCTGTCTGGAGTGTTGTGTTTGCCAGTAGTCTGCTTGCTGCTGTCGCTCATAGATTGCGGCAACATTTCTTCGGAGGAAGAGCGAGAACAGAACGAGTGGCGATGTACGCAGCAGCGCGAATGGTTTCGCAACTGCCGCGAGGCAGCTATCGCCTAAAGTTCCACTGCGTCAAGCGCTTCAGATTTCCTTCCGAAAGAAGAGCAGATCGCTCGCCTGGAAAGCCACCGCCGAGAACAGAAGCTACATCTCTGCTGCTTTTCCTTCTTCAGCAGCGTGGAAAGGCTGAAAGTTTTTTATTAGTTTCTATTTAACTGTTGGGTGAGGAAATGTGGCACAGAGCATACACTATGTGTCAGTTTGCTGTGGTTTCTGTAAAAGTTCTGGGAATAGACGTAAAGTAGTCAATTTCGGAAGGGTGTGTTTTAGACATAATTTTTTTTACAGCAGAGCTGTTAAGGGCTAGTTTCCCCAGGATCGTGTCCCCCGCAAAGAAATGTCTACACAAAACGCTGGACACCTAGCGCCATCTATGAGCGACGACGTCAAGCCACGTATCTGGTTACCGCCATCGCTCATAGATGGCGGCAGCCTTTCCACTCTGGCTTGCCGACTTGTGGCCGGCCATTGCTTTCTATTGTCCAGGTCTTCCTTCTTCACCACAGTGGAAAGGCTGGAAGTTTTTGTCTTAACGACAACATGAGAGTGAAGGCTGCACCAAGAAAAACAATCACGAAAATGGGACATATAGTACTCCCCGATATTTGTCCCCATGTGTATTCCCCAGTTTCAGCTATTATTTTTTCTTTCAGGAGGAATGGTGGCTAGCAGTTTTTCTTGAATATTAATGTTTTACTCGCTAAACTTGGTTGGACGTCTCAAAACATACTCTTTTTACTGTTACGCTTCATAAACCATTTATTTGTCACTGTTTATTTTATCGCGCCTAATTTATTTGTTCATTTTGGTGAGTTTACTTGACTACACATCCTTTTGACGTTGTATGCCGAGATGTTTTCCAGCCATATCGAGGTCGGCATATATGGGTCGAATTTTCTCGTAATCTTCTTGCGCTCTTTTTCAGCATCGAAGTTGACTTTCTGTTGGAAGACCCGAAGCGCGCTGTCAAATGGGAAAGCCACACCAGTGCAGCGGACGTTCACAGACAGATGCCCACTGAGGTCACCCACAGGTCAACCCTGAAGAGACGGGACGCGTTTGACGCCACCTACCAACTCCAGTTTCGATCAAGGGACGAGCCATGTCCCACCCTGGACTTTAGACACAACGTCACCATGGACGCCTGGAAATTCTCCTCCAACATCTCAACTTCCTGCAACCCGCCAACACACGAGACGGTAGACTCTTCTAAACTCAACATGCTGATTACTATCGCTTCGGTGTCGGATGTCTGGGACTTCCTCAACCTCAACCTGAACCGTGAGTTTGTCCGGTGCTGGCTTAAAAAGCTGTGCTGTAGAGCTGCACATGTTTAGTGCGTGGTTATAATTTTCTAACGGTCGAAGGGTTCAAGCTATGAGCAAAACTCGCTTCAGCAAACTTTGCGAATTCCCCTCTGGAATGCTACACTATATTGCAAAGTTTTGTTACCCTCGAAGTGAAGTCTGGATTGAGTTAACTTCCTTAGATTCGTCCCCTGGAGTTCACTCGCGTGAAGTTCATTACCGTGGTTACACTTACACGAATGGCTATGGTTCTAATGATGCATGGTAACGCTCAAGACAAGTACAGAAGGAGGAGAACTGAACACTATTGTGCACTACCATGTACTCCCCATATAAGGTACCATGTACTATGTACGAGGAGTACTGGGAGAGAAGCTTCCCGTGCATGGTACCATGTACCATGTACAGCAAGCTTCCCTCTCGGTTCTACAAATACGTCACAATATGTAACCAACAGGAAATTTTTTGTTGTCTGTGCAAAGCGGCGACATAGACCAAACTCCACGGGCAAAGCCAGAGCACCAGGTATCGCTCCAGCAGCTGCACCGCAATGACGTCACGCTCGCGAGTGAATGGACGACATTTGACGTCTGATTTTATGCTCAGATAATTGTGAGACGGCAGACCTTGTTGACCTCTAGCCACTCTAGCGCCGCCCATTACACCGCGGTCGGCTTTTAGGTTTCAAGTCTTTCGCCGACACCGTATGTTGTTCGTCCTACGGTATGTATGCCACAGAGGAGAGTTTCTGAGGGAATCGTTTGCAACTTGGATCGGTCAAGCCACGTCCCGATCCCATCGTCAAATGACCAGCCGCGAATATGTTTTCGCTTCGACCAGAAAAGTGCTAATCCGCTCGCAGAGAAAGGACGAGAAGGCTGTAAATGGAATCAAAACAAGCCGCCTTTGCACACTTGAGGATCGGCATGTCAAGCTACTGCTGACAAGGACCGGGGTAAAGAAAAATTTATGGAAAACTCACGACCTCTAATCATGAAAAATACCAAAATACTACGTCCTATTGCTAGCTCGCAAAAATAAATGGCCCGAAAACGAATCTGTTTAGTAGAGTCAAGTGATTATGCGCACACTTTTTTTCTTCCTAGTGACTTTGCGAAGTTCTGGGTTCCGATCCTCTTGGTGTTACAACTTTTTTAATTGCTTAACTTTATGTTTTACTATAATTTTATTCCAGAATGATGTTTCTCAACCTCATTCCACAACGAATGTGAGCCCATAGCGAAACGAGCAGCATAGTTACGATTGTTGCCAAACAGTAGAAGACCCAGATGTGTTTAAACTGAAACTGTACTGCGATCACGTGATGTGGGGGCGGACAGGAATGCCAATAATTAACTCAATGTTTACATGACTCCAAATTTAATATTTGAAGGATAAATAAAGTTGAATATCTGTTCAAGCTTTTAACATAGCTATCATGACGTTTTGTTGCTAATGCTGCCGAGGGCATGGCTTAATGAATCTGAAAAAACTAAGATCAGGCAGGTACAGTTTCTTTTCATGATCCTTCTAAATCACACTACTAAATTGCAGCTAGAGTTCCGAAATTGCTAAGGTGAAATTATAATCGGTGTTAAGTAATGGTAATAATAGATGAGCAGATAGAATATAATGCTACTAAATTAAGAATAACAAGTAGAGTCAATTGAATATAGTATGGGTGTTCTTGCCCTAATCACTGCAGAGGTCTTTGAGTTCGGCAACCCAGGCTCAGAAGCCATGGACCTGACCCACACCCTCGGAAAAGTGAGCATCCGCGGCCGATGGGACGCCGAGTCCTTCGTCAAAGAAGCGAAGTTCTGGAGCACGGTACGTAGTCTGCCATCAAGCTGTGTATGTATGTGTTGGAGATAAACTCAATGCACTTAGTACCATTTACATTGCAATCATGTACATGTGAAGTCTAGATTTTCTACAAAGATTCTAATTAGGTGGTGTGTGTGGATCTTAGAATTTACCCCATTGCAACCACACGGGTCATGAGTTAAAAATACAAAGACCTCACTTTCTCCTGGCCGAGTGCCCCACTAAGTTATTTCTTGTGGAACTAAGAAACAGCATCTGGGCTGCTGGGACGTTTATACTAGTAGTCTGACAATATGCTGATTGTTTTTAACCACGATAGTTTCATCAAAATTACAGGAGTACACTTAATCTTCACCTTTAAGAGTGGAGTGCGATAGCTAAACATATCAATTTCCGCTCGTCCCCAAGCCGTGTCGGCGTGGCCGAGCCTGTAGCGTGTTTGGCTTGCAAAGGAGGGTTGGGGGGTTTCGAATCCCACCTAAAATTCTTCAAATTATTTTTTTTAAGGAAAATGAATTCCTTTAAGTGAAATCATCTGAGACACGCTGCGACCTTTCATTGGCATTACATGTCATGTTTTAATCTCTTTCATTCCACACGTGACATCACGTCTTACGTGAGCGTTGTGGGTTAATTGTTTGAAATTCCCTATCGACCAATCAGGATTTTCCCCTACCACCGAAACCGACGCTGGCTTTTCTGCGACAAGAGCTCCCTAACACTATCGCGTTAATAAGCATTACAGCAACCCTCAATTCGCCTTTGAGTTCTTTTGAGATGTCCCATGTGTATGACAGCTCAAAGTCAAAAGAAGACTACTGTTTTCTAACTTGTGCCGTACATAGTGTGAAGTCATGCGTCGTTAAAATGGACATCTCCATTTTGGCCGAAAATTGTACGTACTGAGAAAAAAATGCATGTTTGCACTCGAAAATGTTGTTTGTACTTGGGGGTATTTATATTAACAGGGTCCATATTAATGAGATGTGACTGCATTCGAAAAGTTACTATTGGATGCCGCTGATGAGGACTCGGAAAGCCAACAATGCTAATCGAGGTTTCATACAGGACTTGCTGACATCGCCGTCGGAGATTGTGTTCAATTCGGAGAAGGAAAGCTGGATCTTGGATGCCAAGTGGATCACGGACCAGTCCAAGTCCCTCTCTCAACAAATCAGCTTGTCCAAGAGCCCCAAACGAAGTGGAGCAGCCTTCATTTACGATGCAAAGATATACGACACTCGGCCGGTAAGCGACGTTGGTTCGTCTTAAAGGCTTTCTTTTGCATTTTTGACTCGCTTCTAATTTACTTTTTTCTTGAACGGCAGACGGAGTCAGAGAGTGACTTATCAGATTAGGAAGAAGTTACTTTTTTCTCTCTTTTTTTTAAGTGGAACAAAACATACACCTCCGCATTTTCAGATTTTATGTGTGAATATTTTACTAGTGCAAAATATATTTCTCATATTTGGCGAAACACACATGGGTGTCTTCTTTTCCGTGGAGCACTCAAAGAGCCGATGGGTTTTGTGAATGGAAAGAATTTATAGTGACAACAGCAGGAATATATGCATAGATGCAAGGGTAGTTCCCACCTCATGAATCTTAGTAGGTATGTACCCATTATAACAGACCTTGATAGCAATGAAGATTTTTGTCTGTTGTAAACGAAGTATGCAGAATTACAGATACTCCTACTACAGACTTTGACTTGATTCTGTTCTAACCAGCGAGATTGTCAAAATGAGGATGGATATTTATTGAATCTTCTGAGCTTTAAGGGGGGACACTGGCTAGAGGTTGAACTTTTGAACTACTCAAGTGATCGGAATGAAATTAGCAGGGGAGATTTAACTTCAGATGTAGGTGTGCTGTGCAAACTTTCAGCTATCTAGGGCAACTTTACATACCTGCATAAGAAGATGTGTCACTCTTCGTTAAGAAATCTATGATATGCAAAGGAAGCTATTAGGCACCATTTTAAGTGCTTGAGTATCAAGTGGGGGATGTGGGACTTTGGGCTATCTAGTTTTTATAACTTAAATGTAAATATTTCAGGAAGAGTGATTACCTCAAAATATGAGATGCATATCTGTCCTATGTCAATTTTTTAAAACATAATTTTTTTCTCAATGAGGACTTTAATGTAAAACAATATAAAGTAGATAGCCCAATTCCCCAGTAAATTTCAGTTAAGAAACATCTTGATTGTGGTATCAAAATAATTTTACCCTCAAACAAAAGATTCCTTCGTATAAAATTTGCAGCAAAAAGTGGAACTGAGAAAAATGCATTCAAACATTGAACTCCTTTACTTTGTTACTGCTTTACAATGCGTTGAAAATATTTTATATCAACGTAACTATTTGGCGCATGGTTATGAAATTTAGTGTAAGTTTGCATAATTAGTTTCTAAAACTGAAAACCTCGAAATTAAAAAATGCATTTTTTCAAAAAATTTTGAACCTCAGGCCCATGTCCCCCCTTAAGAGGTAGTGATTTTTTATTGAGCTTTACTGGTGATCGTCATCCCTGTGTACTTTGGGTTATGCAAGGCTCGCTGGGCACTGAGCGCGATGATAGCAATCAGCTAAATGGATGCCACCGGTACTGAACCAAAGTCAATGTTCGAAATAATGACTGCTGTCGAAGGGTCCGTTATAATGGAATGGTGAAGTACTTACAAACTCCCTTATAGTCCATTATATATGAATGTACTTTATAACAGGGTTTATGATAAGCAAAGTTGTCTCAATGGCATAGATAGGAAAACTAACCAAACCTAACAAATCAGTATGTTATAACCGAATGCCTGCTGTAACGAGGTTAAAATGTATAATACATGCGATGCCGTGCTCCCTTTCGTAGCACAAATGTCATTTTATGTGCAGCTCTTGCCTTTGTTACGGTAACTTGTACTCCTGCTGCATGTGGTGCGCACTAAAGTTATTTTTATATTTGAAGTATGCTTTTTTTTAAAACATTGTTTGTGTGGTCATGCCCTGTTTGTGCCCTGTTCGTGCCCTGTTTGTGCCCTGTTTTTCTGGGAATCAGGCCTAGTGGTTCTCCCAAGTAAGCAAGTGCATGGATGAGTTATATTGTATTAGAGAACTGCATTTGCCTCATTGGAATAGCAGTAGAAGAGTCCTTAGGAATCGTTGGTGAGGTATATGCACATTCTCTTGATGGGTATATTGGCTCCGAAGAAATGGAAAAAAAACCTGGCAGCAATGGAGCCCGAATGGGCTCTTTGTACACACCAATATTCTCCCGAATTTTTTTTTTTTATAATTTTTACCGCACATAATCATTCTTCCTTTTCTTATCTTCATTATTAGATAAATTTTTATGTAAATTAAGGCCTTCAGAACCTTTGAGATCAGAATTTCAGGATGTTTGTCAGTTCGAAACATTAAGCAGACACGGGTTATAGTGAGCTTTTATTTTTCTGATCTCGAATCTTGAGAGGTTTTAGTGGGTTTTTGTTTTTGTCAGTCTTTGAATTTGTTATCTTTTTTTCTTTCAGGGGACCGACCAAGAGAGAAAAGAAGCGAGGGTCTTCAAGGCGGTGGTCGTTCCTCGCAGCTTTGGAAACGTGCTGACGGGCATAGTGAACGAGACTTTGCTAGCCAAACTGCTCCTGACATCCGAATCGTTCGCGGCAAACTGGCTTCACAGCGCGACACTGGTGCTCAACGACAGGAACCACCCACTTAACAGGATGCTCCACCCACTGATCGATATGCCGGTTGGAGAACTGACGAACACCGTGATTGCGCAGGTAACCCCATGACTGGTTCCTCCACGCTGCATCATAGTTGCCTCCAACGGCAGTGGCCAGCTTCATCAAAAGTTAAGGTCAGGGGTTTCACGTGCCAAACCAACGAAGGGCATCTGGCATGCCCCAGCAGAGGACTAGGGTGTAATTTAGAGCACTCAGGGATTTTTCTCCATAAAGGGTAGTTCACACGCTTGCGACTGCTTACAATTGTGTGCATTAAATCCTCAAAACCTTTTACGAGAGAACACTCTGGAGCTGTTCATGGTTTAGCCATGGAATACTTGGCATTTCTGTATATTTTCTTTTATTTTTTTTCCGCACATTATATATATATTTTTTTTTTTGGGGGGGGGGGGGGGGGGGGGGCTCAAAAATTTTTTGACAATGTTATGAACGTTGTCAAGTTTAGGTGCAAAATTTGATCTTGAAAATACCGCCAAACCTTCGCTCCATCAAAACGCGATTCCAGGGCCACATCATAGGTGTTGCCAGCATGACGGGGTGTTCTCTAGTCGTAAGAGATCGCGAGAACTCGGTCGCAAGCAAACGCAAGCGTGAAAACGGGCCCTTGGCCTCCGTCAGACCGCGGGTGCCTCGGCCAGGTCTCGAACCTACCAACTGGGGCCGCCGAGCCATCATCGAGCCAACTGGGAGCCGTCGAGGCAACTACCAGCTTCATCTATGTTTAGATGTGCATGAGCTTGAGCTATGTGGTGCTACCGAGACGTGCAACAGAAAGTGTCTTTTGTCGTTCCTAGACTAAAGACAGTATAGTTTTAGCTAACCTTTTTCTAAGCACTTAGTGAAAATGCTTTGGTGTTTTGAAGCTCAGCTGCAGTGCTGAAGACGACGCTAGATAATTTGGCTGGTCTATGAACTGTCGGACGCTGTGTCTTCAGGGTGTTCACCTTTGTAAACCTGGGGTTACACTCGCAAAGACAGCTTTTTGTGACCATGTACTGATACCAAATATGTGTGTGAAATTAAAGAACTGAATATTGGACATGGATATGTAATACGTCACTGTAAAATGGTGTAACTGAGTTAGGTTCCATCATGTCCAAAGGTGTCTTACACAGTTAGGAGGTTAAAAGAATGAAGATCATAGAGCCTAAATAAATAAACTGATAAAAGTATCACAATCTGCTTAATGTTTAGCTCAGTGAATAGAAAAGGTTCATACACAAAGAAGGAAGGCTCAAAATACTAAAATGGTGCTTCATTTTGTATTTGAATAAAGTTAGGAAAAAACAAAAAAAAACTAGCAAAAAGATTAGGCTTGTTTTCAAACTTCACAATTTGTAAATTCAAAATAAATTCCATAACAATTTTTTTTTTTTTTCATGTTTGCAATTTGAGTTTTTGCTGCCTTTTGGTTTCCCAACAGCTTCTCCGAGGCGTGCACCATACTGTGGCAACGGCATCTGAAGTTGCTGGAACCTTCCACTCCCTCTACGATCCCATCGTTTTTACAAGCACCGCACTCGCACAAAAAGCTATGGTTGCATCAGGATTTGCTCGTGCTGCCTTCCATCAATCGATCCCAGGTATGTGTCACTATTGGTGAGGAGATCGAACTATAGGGGGCGCAGTTTCATTATCATCATCATCACCACCACAAACAATCTCCGCGTGGCAAACAACTCCGACGCCAGCGCTCGCCTAGCGTACGTCGCATTGTTTCCGCGCTCGCGGCATATTTTTTTGTGGCAATATGGTGCGCACTTGCTGCATGCCGCAGTACTCAAAACATGCTTTTGAACCGGGTACATGCAGTGCGGAGGGCTGCAGCACGCGACGATGCGAACACTGTCCGCCGTCGGCTCTAGTGCAGCGCTGCACTTTGTGACATGATCGCAGTTGAGCACGTCCTCTCCTTCATTGAGACACCGCATGCTTTTGCCGATGTCATCCATGATTGTCGCAAGAGACTGAGTAACTGAAAAGTGATGTGCGTGTTTTGTGAATAATTTAGAAAAACCTGGACGCCGTGTCGGCTACGCACGATCCAGGGTGCGCGGCCGACACAACACAACACAACTGGCCGGCACGCGCACGCAGGGGCGGACGCTTGTATTTTGAAAAGAGGGTGGGGGTTAGCATATCATCGGCAAAAAATAGGTCCAGCGAATGATTAATCTCGCAAACAAGTTGGGCGAAATGTCAACACTTTGGAAGCTATATTGAGATGCTGTGCTTCCTCGAGCAACAATCTAGCAACAAGAAAACTCGCATTCTAAGGTTCTCGCGTGATTATTACAGACATTCTATTAATGACATAAGTGTGTAAAGTATTTGAAAGAAAATAATGCAATAAGCTGAATTCACGGTCACCCGAATCAAGAAGTTGATTTTATTCCTTCTGGTCCTCTCGATTCACAAAAGTTAGCACCCGCAAATACTAATCACAAATTTTGAGCTTTGGTCCAATTTGCCAAAACTGAGTCGCTTACAGTACTTAATGTCCCGAGAGATAGCCCACCTAAAATCGAGAGCAAAACTGGTGAAAATAAGTAGTGTGCGTTCGAGACTAGTTGAAAAACTCATAATTTTAGGTTATGCATCCCTGCTATACTCCGTTTCACCTTATGTTGCACCGCAGCAAAGGCTAGAAGCGCGAGCTTATAGCGTTGGCGGCTGCCCTTAATGCATGAGAGCTTGTGCCGCCAAGACTGTGCCCTGAGCAAGAAGCTCGCACTTGTAGCCTTTCCTGCGGTACATTATAAGGTGAAACAGAGTATAAACTCGTTACTGCGGCGGGAGGCAGTGAAGCAAAGGTGACTGTACTCTCAGGGTAAAATATGAACAGAGGAGCTAGAGCGTGCTGGCTGAGTGCGCGCTCCAGCTGCTACTAGTGGCGAGCTTTCTCACGCCACACGCGTCGGGCAAACAACGATAGCGTTGATAGCTTTCAGCACACTAAGAGGCGCAATGCCGAAGCTTGGAGAGCACCGAGTGAGGGGCGTATACACATCGGAGTTGGCCACACACCCTCGCTTTTAGGCTCACTTCCAGGCGACGCAGCCTGTACCACGAGCAACGCACTTTTCTGTTCGTATTTCAGTTTTCCCCGATAGTACTTCCCAGTCAAGAGTGTTCGCTTATACCCCGCCATAGCTAACTAGCCGCATTTACGTCGAAGCAATCATTGATTCAAGCACCCCGATCACTAGGAGTGGGCTATCTTTTGGTGTTTAAAAAGAAATAGCAAATAGAGCCGAAAATATGGGTATTACAGGATATTATGGTATGTCATTTGGTCCATCCCCGCCTTTATAATTTCAGTAACGTCTAACATAACCTTGTTCAGGCGGGAACACCATGGTCGCTGACGAAGTGATGACGGCAGGGAAGAGTGTCAGTTGTCCCGTTTCCGGCACACGCCTTCTAACTTCGATAACTCTTCAGCGTCTTTCGGGCTTTGAGCATTCACGTGCGGTCAAAGCATGGTGGAAGGCAACGAGCGAGTATTGAAGGCCAGGCGTTCGAAAAAGACGCCACACCGTTCTCATTTTGTCAGTGACTGTAGTTGCATCTCTTATTTTTAGAATCAACATTTCTAAATATTCTTCGTTGAATGTTTTTATGTCTTCTTACTGTACCACCAAGGACTAAAAATAAAACAAAAAAAAAGCTCTTTTTTCTTTTTTTGTAATTGTTAGTTGCGCGAGGCCAAAACTTACCAAGCTGCCCTCATAAAAAGACTTCCAGCTTTTTTTTTTTTTTTTTTTTTCATTTTTTTATGGTTTGTTTTTTTGGTTGTGTGTTCCAGGTTGGGCGTTCTACTACTTCAGATTAGACTCTGCACTTCACGCCGTGGTGTCCGACATTCCCGGATTCTCGGCCAAGTTGGCCAAAATCTACTACACCCGTCCCGTGGGCTTGCCAGGCATGAGAGAGGTCTCGTTAGAACTGCCGCACCTGCCGCCTCGAAAACACCTTATGGTGGGTAATCTTGGAGTTTTTTTTGAGTTTGGGGAACTCATGAGGGCACTATGGGGAACTCAATTTGAGAACCTTTGCTTTAAGGGAATTGTTCCCAGGATTTTTATTGGTCGCTACCCTTATCGCACTTAGGACTTCCTGGCGAAGCTCATGACAGAGCACCCTACCAAAACTTGGACCCTTCCTCGTCTGCAACGGGGCCAGAAACTGGCGGCCATCTTCGGCAAGGGCCACGTCATGACCTTTGACGGAGCCTTCGTGGAGTTTCCGACGTATCCTGCCTCGTACTGCACTTACCTGCTCTCCCACGATGTGGCTGGACGTCAGTTCAGCGTGACAAGCACCGCCGAGGACCTGCTGATTGACTTTCCCGAAGTGTCCATCACGGTGACCGGTCTCAGTGGCAAGGTCCTTGTGAACGGGAGCGATGCGCCGGTTCACCTGCCGCTTATCACTTCGTCGGGGTGAGTGATTGGTCGAAGGGATGGACAGTGATGATCAATGATAGACAAGTGTTTTGGTCCTCACATTTGAAATTAGAGGTAAGGATGCAGGCTGCAATGAATAGACAGTGGCAGAGGGTTTTGATCCTTACTTTTAAAATTAAGTGTAAAGATGCAGCAAGTCAAAAAAGGTACCAGATTGTCTGGACTATGGTCCGCACTTTATGTGTATTCTACGGGGTCGAATTTCAGCTTAAGAAGGAAGTTTTTTTTTACATAGTCTACAACCGTCTACATTCTCATACACAGCAAACCTTGAAAAATGCCTGCTGTATTAGTGCACAAAAAGGCTTGTATCCTACAGGAATCACAATTACCATAACCTGTCATTCACAAAATCTATGACATCATGTAGTAATCAATCATCTTGGTTAAACATATCCTTATATAGTCCACACCTCTATATAGTCTGTACAGAGTATAATATAAACCTTTAGACATGCACAGTAGCCCTCAAAATAACGTAGTGCTCTGCAGCATACGTATGCATGCAGAGAAGTATAGATATGCACTTCCCTGCAGCACACACATGCACGTTAAGAGCAGAAATGAACCATGCTCCTTTGCAGCATGTGCACGGATGGAAAGAAGGAAAGACACTGCCCTTTCATATTCTCTTGTGGATGTTAGGTACGAGTAACAGAAACGTACCAATAAAAGGTTCACGCAAATGTTAACTTTCTGACACTGCGTTGTCTGAAGTTATGGGCACAGGAATATGCATGGGCACTGTCCTTTACAGTAACAGTGCTTGTAACTGGGTTTTGTGCAACATAAATTCGCAGAATTTACTTTCATAGTCTCGCAGTCAGAATGACATCATTAACTGCGGCTTCTAAAAGACTTTAGCGAAGTGTGCAGGCGTTTGAAGAGGAGCAAAACGATTTGGTGTGAACGACCGTCTGTCACGGCGTTCCCTCCAGGAAGGTGACTGTGTACCGAGAGGGCAGGCTCACAAGAATCCAAGGTCACGGTCTCCACGTCTACTGCGACTCAGTCAAGTTTTTTTGCACCTTTGTCCTGGACCCCACGCACCATGGAAACCTCATTGGAGTGCTCGGCAACGCGGATGGAGATGTGCAAAATGATCTCGAGGCAAGTGTGGTGTCTTCTACCAACAGCCCACCACTGTCAGAGGCTGGCCGCAGCTTCTTTGCCCATGAATTAAGAACTTCAGTATTGAAAGACTGTGTAGGTTTTATGTTCATAACGTCTTCTCCATGAAAACAGAAGCTGAAATCAGCTGTGCCTTTTACAAAATCACTACGAGATCACTTCATGATTTTTAGCCAGTCTTTTAATTATTGAAAGCTCCAGTTTGAGTCAGGCAAGGCTTGTTGCTGAGTGCACCTTGATGCTCCTTTTACTTTAAGTTTCTATTTCTATTTAAGGGGACCCTAAAATGGATTTTGAGATTGGCTTTTTTATGACACCACTCAACACATGTGCCCTAAACATCCCAGAAAAACAAAAATAAAAAAAATATATATTTTTTTTTTTTAGCAAAAACTTGACCAAGCATTGCGACACGCTCATTTTTTTTAGATGAATGCCAGAAAAAGGGGTTGTGTCTCAGTGTTGGGTCACATTTTTAGAAGAAATAAAGGCCACACACGTTCGTAATTTTTTTAATTTTCTGGGATGCTTAGAGCAAAGCATCATGTTGCAATCTTGTTTGTATTTTTAATAGGAGAAAAGACCATGCATGATTGTAGTTGCTGGTTTTCCAGGATGCATAGGGCACGTAGGTTCAGTTTGCACCATAGAAAGCTAATCTTAAAATCTGTTTGAGTGTCCTTTTAATGCCCATAAACTCCCTTCCAGCTTCCCAACGGAAAAGCAGCAAAGGACACTGCCGAACTTGCCGCCGGCTTCGAGGTCAGTGGCTATGCTGAATGCAAAGCGCTCGTCGCACCGCTGAAGAACTTGCAAGCCAGCACGGAGGACTGCACGCAACAGATGCCCCAGTCGCTCAAGCACTGCCTGGCGCAGATGAAGATCGACAAGTTTGTCCGGGACGTCTGCGAATGGGACGTCACGGCTGAACGCAGCATCTGCGACACCTTCAATGCCGTGGCAGCAATCTGCACCCACCACGGATTCCAGATAGAAAATGTGCACTGTGGTTCGTTTTTCTCCTTACGAAGCTTGATTTGTTAGAAACAATCAACCAATCAGCATTTACTGCTTGCTAAGAAACATATACAGAGACCGACCTGCGCAAAGCCAGATTGGGCTTGACTGGCAGCACCTAGCAGTTATTGAAAGAGACATGGAGCGAGACATTTAATATAAAAATACAACAACTAAAAATAAAAAAACGGGGAAGTCACATTACCAACCAACATTTCTGAGGGCTTTCTTGACCCTAGATTTTCCTGTTTGGCAGGTATATAGTAATTTTGATATCTTTTGCCAGATCTTGTTGAGTTGTATTAGGGTTTTTTGGTGATGCTGTTTTGGTCTAATACGAGAAGGAATGCATGAAGCCTTTAAACAACTTAGCCCGAAAATGCCCCAAGAACAACAATTTCCATAAATAATGAATCAGATTTTAAAATACTTCTTGGTGGTTGAAGCTGCATCTCTATATCAAACTACATATGGTAAAGCAGCTTAATATCGACAATGCAGAGGTCGTAGCTCACATCAATTTGGCTTACTTTTGGAGGCAGCTCTTTAGTTACCACTGTGATTGATGAACAACCATACATTGTGATGGATTAATGTAGCCAGCAGTTCAGCAGCCACACTGAATACAGAAAAGGCATAAGTGTGCTCAGTTTCTATTGAAACTTCAAAAATTGTATGACGATTAAACGCTGCAGAAACCCATGAAGTAGTAGTAATTGCATGGATAGGCACAGGCTTGTTTTCGTTCATCATATGCATTATCTGGGGGGACTCTTAATGAGGCCGACGGTCCGGCGCAACAGACTAGGATTCGTAGTTGTACTTGTGTCAGTCTCTGACACTGCCAGTATCGAGACAGAAGCATGAGAAATTATCCCCCTCCGACGGACCTTTTTCACGCAAAGACGACACCTGGCTGCGAAAGCCCTAAGTGCAGGTGGTGTCTGGATCATCTTTTCAAATTTTACTAAACAAAATGCACCATTATATTGCACCTATGCGCTAAATTAGATTGCAATCTGTTAAGAAACCGATTTGTACGGCCTCTTCGAGGGATCAATGCGCTGTCTGGTCCACATTGTACATCCGGTGTTGCTGTTCCAGATCACTTTTTTGGTAGTCAGACACACTTTCCACATAATTGAAACCGGGGACGACGGACGAAAAGAAGGAGGATAACATACAATAAGTCTCGAACCCATCTTCTAACCTATCTTGGTGCCGACGCCTCTGCAGACCCCTGCCATGATGGACCCGAAGCGGAAGGCCATAAGACATTCAGGACCAAGTCCTCGAAAGTTTTGGAAGTGGGTGTGGTAGTGGCCGAGGGCACCTTTACTACCGAGGCCCTGAGCTCCGTCCTGTCCGGCGCCAAGAGTCTCCTGGCCAAGGTACACGCCGTGTTCGGCAAGCTCGGCTACCGGACCAAGCATGTGTTTGCGTTCGGCGGCAGCGACGAGCATGGACGCCCTTACATCCGCACTACGGGAGAGTAAGTTCCTTCGCGTGTTTCTGGCATCAAGAATTAGAGCAAATGACTAACTCTACATGTAAAAGTTCTTTGAATATTTCAGAATTATAGGGGGAACATTAGACAACTGCACTCTCAACTAGTTTTCAGCACATGCAGTATTTTGAAAGCAAATCAAGTATATTATTTTAAATTACTACATGTAATTTTGAAAAGAAAGTTCTATGTTGCTGCAGGCCAAACAGAAACATTGTCGTATACATTGCATCATGTTGCACAAAGAACGCCCCTTACCCGGATTAATTACGAAAAGCAGAGTTCGCAATATCAAATGATCAACTTGGTTAAAAAACACATCCGATGTAAACTATACGCAAACAACCATGTTGAATAACCTGAGACTGGAATAGGGAAGAAACATCAAAACGTAGAAGGGACAGAAAATAGACAGGACGACGTCTCAAACTCAGCTCTCCACCCCAGTCTCAGGCTAATTCAACATGGTTAATATTCACCAGCTCGCCTGCACCCTACGATTTTTTCTATACGCAATCATTTACAATTTCTTTTTTTTAAATGCAGAGCACTACTGGTAGGTTGCGATATCAAATTTCAATAAAATGTAAACCTCATTGTATTGTAAAAAAAAAAATTTAGCTAATAAAGATTTTGTTTTTGATGCTGTTAGGGGATTTAGGTTATCTGTTTATATATATGTATTCAATCATTCCTGTATATTGTGTATTTTGCGTTCAAAAGCATGGTGAGACGAGGACAAAGTTCTCCACTTTCTCTCGCTATTACTAACTGAAATTCCCTTCCTGAAATCATAGTACAGTTGAATCTCGTTAATTCAAACTCGCGAGGGACCGAAAATTTGTTTGAATTAAGCAAAGTTTGAATTACCGAGAGTTTTCTCCCATAGAGACGCATAGAATGAGATCTGCACGTTAGTTTGAATTAAGAGAGTTTGAATTAACGAGCTTTGACTGTTTGTGAATCTAGCCTGTGGACAATCCGTGAACTCTGGAAGGCACATCTGAAAAGTGTTGATCTTCAATTTATCCTATTGGTAGTTTTGCGTTTTCCGGTTTTTTAACTTGTCGTCACTCTTCTGCTATCTACATAATATGTCATTTGATCCCCCCTCATGTAATGCGTTTCATTAGAAATGCCTTTGAGACATAATAAACTGAACTGAAGTAAGGTGGATGGATGGATGGATGAATCCGGCTGAGCCCTTTGGATCGGGCGGTAGCTTACGCCACCTAGAGACTGGACGACACAGCGCCCTCTGTTGTCCAGTCTCCTACTTTGTCCTCGTCTGGAGTGCTACCATGTTTTTGAATACCCAGTACCAACTCGCCCAACAAGCTGCGCCAATTATTTTCATTGTTTGTTTTCTCATTATTTATATATACTTCTCTATTATCGGGAAGATTCTGATCACTATGTTTGAGTTTGTAACTTACACCTATATGCATTTTTTTTTCTGTCCATTTATGTAGGCACATATGCGAACTATATAAAGGACCAGTGCATTGTCAGTCTTCGTAGCTTTTTGCACTGGCCCCTCTTTCAAACCCTATCTAAAAAATATATATATATATATGTATATAGTTTTTAAGTTGGTGAAGTTAGTCAAATTTGGCGGTTTTAGTCAATAATCCTCAGCCCCAGTGGAGGACCTTGGATTAATTTCAATCACCTGGGGATCTCTCGATGTGCAACCAAAATCTCAGTTCCACATCTCCGCAATAAGCCCCCGTCGGATTGCGGGTCCCTTGTCCAAGGTTCAAACCCGCCAATGACGAATGCATTGGCCAGCACTTTGCCTCAGCTGTGTTTTTTGTGTACGAGCATAGCACGGTGCAGCCAAGCAATTTGCATTTTTCTCTCGGTATCAGGAAAGAGCTTGAGAGCATGCTTGTTTCAGCTTTCTTCTTTTCTTTTGGTGTAGAAGCGGAACAGCCAGACGCAGATTTTCCAAGCTGTCACATTTTAAACCATCTGACGCAGTTATTACTGTAAAAATACAACAAGAATATCTCGTTTTTTTTTGTTTTTTGTTTTTTTTCTCTGTGTGCATGTGTGCAGGTTAAAACATAATTTCGTGTTGTCATTTAGCCATCTGAGAATGTAAAAAGTCGCTCCAGGTAATTCTAACTGAAATAATATTTTCTTCTCGACAACTGTCCTTTCGAGCAAACAAGATTGTGGTAATCCAATTGGAATTCCGATATTTATCTTCAGACCATGTACTAGCGAGGTGATTTCTTTTTTATTTCGGTGAATTCATGATTGAAGTACTACTAGCAATGTACACGCAAATTAAACTATAGCTAGACTGCATAACTGTGCTCACCTCGCATTATTCGGCGAGAATAACTGAAAATAGGTCTGCGTGCGAGGGCACTGATATACAAGGTGTCCCAAAAAAAGGTTTACAGGGTTTTTGTCTCTGCAAAAATAAACTGTGCATTGCCAAACACTCATGCTCTGCCCAAACGTACCGTTAGCGGTCCCAACCAGATGACAAAGTTTCAGAACGAACCATTATGTTTATTCAAAAGTTTGAAGTGATTTTCTGATTTCACTTAGCACTGTGTATCAGAAGATAACTCAAGCGATCTCCAAGAGAAAGTGTCTTGAAGCATTCTGTCTTTCATCTCTCGCTGTACTAGTGCCATTTGCCCTTCCTCCTTTGTTTGCCAAGTGTGCGCTCAAAATTAAATGTTGAATGGATTTCCGCAGGGGTTTCTTCATGTCAGACGTGGACACTGCCAGCAAGTTGTTGAAAGCAGTCAAGTCGGACGGCAAGCACAGCACCGTAAACCTCGCCTCTCTTCTTGACTACGTTCTGGATACCGTGCCTTTTGATGCTCAAGCCACCAGGGTCATCCTGGCATTTGCCTCCAATGATTTCAATGTAAGTGGACTTCGTTCGGAGCTGTTATTTCCCGTTGAAGGATTCGGTGTCCGAAGTTTAACAACCTCGTGACTTGGTGTGTCGGCGAGAATCGGGAGAAGATAGTTTTGTTGCTGTCTGTGCTGCACAATGCCATTGGAACTGGAATGATGGTTTCTGGGCACTTGTCCTAACAGGAGTTTAGAACATTATCCTAGTTTCAAATGTTCACTTTCCACTAATGAAAGTCTTGTTGGACACTGCTGCATCCTAATCTTAGAAGTTATCTCACAGTTGACAATGTTTCATTCCACTGTCACAAACTGCATTCCAATTTTTTAAATTTGGAATGCTGGATTTCAGGGGAAGCATTGGATTTTGTTTTAGGTTTGAAGCACAGTTCAAGGCAGAAAATTAAATTATGCACAATTGTTCTAGTTGTACATTATGTTCTGTTTCTGTGTTGGTAGATAATGGGCATTTAATGTGAATGTGACTAGTAGTCCTATCATTATGGAATTTTCAAACACATTGCACTACAGCGGCGGTAATACTGACGAACAAGTCGACACGACCGGTTTTTAAGAATGGAAAACTCGGGGGTCTTTGTAAGAGAGCATAAGTAAAAGGGCAAAGAAAACAGAACAAAGACAAAACTCCTGCTGCTGTTCTTGTTGTCCTTGAGTTGTTGGTGCATAACCAAGGAATGGATTGGCCAAGCGTCAGTTTGATATTAAAAGAAAAAGTAACTTATGTACTAGATTGTTTTATGTAAATATTGTGCATTGAGAATAAATGGCCCTATCTGCACAATTGCCACAATGTAATTGTGGATTGCTGTTTGTCTGTCTAAAGTTGTTCTTTCATCCATTTTGAACCCTTTTTAAAGGAAACTGCTCCTTGAAATAAAAAGAAATTTAAAAAAAAACATTTTTGGAAGATCTACAAACACTTTCACCTTGTCTTAATTTATTTTCGTGAAACAAATTTATTTTGAAATATTGATTTGAAGGCATAGTGAAACGGGTCTGTGGATGCTTGTTTTTATTATTTTTAAATAACTTTTTCCACACTTTTACACATCTTATCTTTATAATTGTTTGTTTCTCTGGTAGGTCTATAAGCAAGGTATCCTCCCATAAGGGGTAAAAATATGTAAAATATGGAATCAGCTTTTTTTTTTAGATGCTGCCTATACTTCCTGCGAAAAGTAACTGAAACTACAGAATTTGGAAGTGTCATTAACACCATATAAATCATCCTAGAACTTCCATTCATAGTTTATTGGACTTTGTGTACCTTCAGCCTGCAGAGATATATTTATTTTCTGATTTCAGTATTTGGACTCGTCTTAATTGTGCCCATAATCTTTGTAAATAAATTTTTCAACATTAACAGAACTAATTAAGCTACACTAAAGCCAACTACATATTTGTACGCAGATTGTAAATATGAGTAAGCTTTGAAAATTTCACGCATATTGGATCACAAGTTATATCAAAAAGCTCCAGAAGCCGTGTTCCCCCTCAGGACTTCTTCCCCTGTTTCCTCACCGCAGAGCTCCCGAGCAGAACTGGATGGCCTGCACGCCAAGGTGGAGGCATCTGGCGCCACCCTCTACGCCTTCTCCAACTACCCGACGGTCGACCGCGGCAAGCGAATCTACGGGGTCCGCGCGGACGGCCTCGTCTTCCCGCCGAGCAAGACTGGAAAAGACTACCTCGACTACCCGTCGCGCGCGGGAATACTCGCCAAGATTGCGGCAGCCACGCGGGGATCGGCGTTCCAAATCGCGTTTGTAGAGGCCGGAAAGCCGAGCGAGTTCTTCGAGGCCGTGGCGGAAGAGGTCGCCGCAAAAGTCGGCAAGGAGCTGAAGGGGTGCCGCGAGTGTACGTGCACAGGCGGTCGCGGCTGGGACACGCTGGCACGCTGCCGCCCCGTGGCTTGCTAAGGCGGGCGATGACGCGGTGCATACGGGTAGGCCCACCTGGCAGGGATGCGATGCTTGTGCTCTTCTTAAATTTTCATCCGCAGCATTTGCTAAATTGGACTGGTTCACACACTTGTAGTTACGTGCAAAGTGTGGGTTTTGAGTTTGAAGCGAATTCAAACTAAATTTTTCTAATCAAGTAGTTTCTCCAAGCCTTTCATCACCATGCACCATGCTTAAAAAAAAAATTCAGCTCAACTTGCAAAGGTTGTTCCCAACCCAGCCTTCCACTTGTCCACTTCTAAGCTCAGTTAATTTTAACCTACCGTTGCTATACTTGAGGCGTGACATGTAATTGACAAAATTGTAGCAGCCATCCTAATCGTGGGGATTTATAAATTTCTTTGCAATATGCCCATATTCTCTCTTCCATTTCAAACTTGACAAAAAACGAGCCAAGCATGAATGATGAGCGTGGCTTGTCAAGGCATTGCTGCCGAACACATTGCTGCCCCACTGAGTGTGCTTCTCACTTGAGCACCTGTGCACTGCGGGCAAGCCAAACCAGTGGAGCCCGCAGGCTTCGCAGGTATTGCTTTGCCACAATGCACACGTGCTTGGTGAGAAGTGCACTCAACGAGGCTGACTCGCCGCAATCAACACTTTGAAAAGTATGAATATTCTAAACTACTATTAAAAAATTTGAATATTCGCACAACACTACACATTTGCATGAGTGTGACCAAAAGTGTTGTGGCCGCCTACGACGGGCAAACACACTGGCACCATCTATCAAGTAGCCCTGGTCTGAAGGTATTGCAGTATTGTCGAAATGAAATCTATACAGTACCCATAGAAAATAATCGCCCTAGACTTTCTGGTTTTAACCGAGAAATGCCGATGAACATCCGTCAGTCCAAAATGAGAAAATCTGTTAAAAAAAAAGTAAACATTCGTCACTGTCAGAAATACAACGTCGGTTCAAACCAAAAAGCACCAATTTCTCAAAATTTTTGCTCTACACTACACAATAACTTGGCGAAATGTGAAGGCTGCGTTCCCCGCGACCCAATAAGGGCGTCGAAGCAAGGCACCTGACAGCACTCCGTGGTCGGGGCCACGGAGGCCTCGTTACCGCCACAAGAACAGCGCCGTCTGCAACAAAAGGTAGTTGTAGGCATCTTTTCAACAATGTTTAATTCGGATCAAGCCTTTTCCAATAACAATATGGCTTTTGAAAAATGTTTGAACTATCCCAGCCGTATAAACGCTTTCAACACGCGCCATTGTGCCGCCATTGCCGACTTTTTCTTGTCTTACCGAGATACCAAGCCACTGAAGCGGGCGTTGACAGGCCTCCACAAAAACCTATGCTGGGGAGAAGGTCACAGTAGCACCTAAAGCGGCCATAACCTATCCTGCTGTGGCAATGATGAAGTGAAGCGAACGGAATAAGAAACAAAAACTGAAGGCGGGTTACTGCGACGCCCATAGACAGCTGCCCGAGTCTATAATCGACCACTTCTGCTCAAAATGTCGTCCTGACATTAGCACTCGCCACGTGCTCGAAGGTAAATTGAGCGTATGGTTGTGTGATGAACTGTTCCCGAAGAGCTTGGTACTCTAGCGTACGGCAATGTTGCGACGGCAGACATTCATCCGAAGTTGGTTGGCTTCGCAGCAGATGACTCTGGCAGCAGACGACAGCCAGTTCCTCCAGGCTGCGCATATGGCGCAGTTACACAAACGCTCCCGCACGTGCCTCGCTCCGACGCCGTTATTAGGTCGTGGGGGCCATAGCCTCCACAGTTTGCCAAGTTATCGTGAGACGGAGCATAGCTAAGGTTGTTTTCGTTGAAAGCCTCCTCTCTTGGGCAAGAATCTTGTTTTTCACAAGTTCCTTTTTTTACCTCTGAAAGTCGCCGGTTTTAGCGTCCATTCAAGGCGGATCACTGAAATACATGCACGACATCTTCCAAATAAAAATTACACCGAAAGACGTCGCCCCCTTAAATAAACACCGGAAAATCCATGGCCTACTTATAACATTGTCAGAATTATTTCGAGTCCGTGGCAAAGGAAGGATGTGTAAAAAGTTAGAAAATATACCAAATCAAAAGTGTTCCAGGGATAACCGATGGATGACAGCATAAGCATTTCCAACAACCTCAGTCACACCCAAACACATATGTGCGAAACAGCCTTTACAATCGCCCGAGTTGAAGTAACCGTGAAGGAGAAGATGACTTAACAAAAAGCACGCTTCAGCCGACACACAGTTTTTTTGTTGATTCAGTGCATCCACAAACTTGAGATTGGTGCAGTGTTTCACAACCACTTCGCTTCGTAGCTGGTGCGATGGTAAAACACTGGGAACATCTGTAGGTTTTGTAGTGTTCATCATAGCGAAGCTACTTGGCAAGCCAACTGTTTCGATTTTGTGAGGATTACGCTGCTATCAGCAATGTGTGTATTGTAACGAAAAGTAATGCGTTTTGCTGTCGAGTCTTCGACCGGGAGTAAAGTCTATATTACCGCTACAATGCCAGCCAAGTTTCCTCCATGGAGCACGACACGTGCCTTTTTAGGCGCACTCTAGAGCTTTTTTCAGTTATGCCTGAATGGCATTTTAGAAGAGGAGCAGAAACAATGTGCACTTCGAATGGCTTTTATTTCAACCAACGCTTCCGCATATATATAAAACAAAGAAACAATCCTTTGGCACTTTACAACGTATGTAGACGGTAGTATTCTTCACATTTCATTTAGACATACACACAACCTCGCACACAATGTCCTGATGGAGGTTGGGGGGCAGGACAGTTTTTCATTACAGTGTCTTGAGAGTTTGCACATATATTAGTGATGTGGTACACCTTGCTTAGCGTAAAATTCAAGATTGGAATTCACTCAACTCTTTACAACAATGACACACGACGTACAACACCAAGCTTGTACTCGGTTTTGGTCAGCGAAGTTACAAACAGCCTCGTATATTGACACTTGGCAGTTTGTGTGGAGGGCATTTTTGTTACTCGATCCTTTAGCGAAAAAATCGGAGCGATTTCGTATATTTTTCTTTAATCTATTCTGTGAATTAGTTGCTTTGCAACACATAGTATCTTAATTTTTGAAATCAATACACCAGATGCATGGTTCCTGTGCTATGTAAACTGTAACTTACTTTCAAACTCGTTGATGCAGTCATACCGGGCCATCTTCTGGTAATGACTATGACCTCTACTATCTATCCTAAGACTGCCAATACTGGTTATATTTTAGGAAAACATTCTACTCTTACTGATGACAAATGTGAGCAAACAGGTGTCACTATGTCGTAGTGGTTTACCTTGGAGCATCCTTGTAAATGCAACGTTCCAAAGCACCTGATGTAACCATGACTCGAGCATATAATGGAATAATAGTATGTGCAGCATTCATATTTGCAACAAGCCTGCTGACAGCCTACAAAATATGTGGTTGCAAAATAAACCAGCACTGGAGAGCGCCTGGGTTTCAACTGCAACGCGTCACAAGCAAAAATTGAAGCATGTCAAGATTTTATCCCTATTGGCTAGCTTTTTATTTTTTTTATGACATTGAAAATTTCACAACTTGCTACAGAGGTCAAACCAATGTTCGTACTGTCTAATAAATCGCAAACACCATTTAGATTATTTGTACCTAACAAAAACCGAAAACTTCAATTGTTCAATCTGCAAGCCCCCCCAAAAAAAGAAAAAATTATTGAAGGATTAACATTTCTCCCAAGATACATTTGACCACCAAAAAAAAAAAACACAGTCACTGCTGGTCACACTACGTCACCAATCTCGGTCTAGCTGCTAACGTCAGTTAGTGTTGAAACCATCTGCAAAATGCTTGTCTCCGTCACATATTGGCCTGTGTTGTCGTGTCACTGTTACATCCCTCAACTCGTGCTATGCTACTAAACTATGTATACTACACATCGGGCCGACTCCAAGCATTCTCTCGTAAGCCTTTGCCTCAAAACTTCAACTCGCTTTATATTGACTGCCAATTTTGGCACGATATTGGCCCTCTCCTGACTTGGATCTTACATCCGGCTAGCCAAGGGTATCTCCCGTGGCATACCAATACTAGTTGACGGGACTTCGGCGATAAAAGTCGTAATTTAAGCATACGTTGCCTGCTAACGATGATACAATACCGGACCATTCCAGACCCCACCCACGTCACCAACGTTCTGTTGGACGTTGGCCCGGTTTCGATTCAACAACACCGATTCTGCGTACCGACCGCACGAGGCTGGAACCTCAATTCCTACTGACGCAAAATGGACCCTTTTCAAAAGTGTGCGCCGCCTAGTGGCCACCGCACAGATTATCCAAGTTCGGTCACGTACTCCGAGCGCTTGTTGGACGAAGGTTGCGTCGGCGTTTGGCGTGAGCCCGGTTCGGCTCGTATCGAGAACAAGTGCCGCGGCGGCGTTCGGCAAAGACCCCGATCCAGTTGCGCCCTTCGTGTCGAAGAAATGGTAACCACTAAAGTTCCTTGATGGGGTTATACAAAGGGTCTGTTTAGCCGCTCCCAACTTGCCATCCTAGCTCAAGGCTGCGCCACCGAAAGAGTGTGCTGCCTCATCTCGTAATAACAGTTCCATGTAGACCTCAATGGCGATGCTCACTTGCATCAGCATAAATCAACCCGCGAACACCGGTACGACACCGGGCCGTCTGTGGTTTTACGCCTATGTCGAGCCTTGCCTTAAAACGTATCCACCGGACCTGCCCCGACTGACACAGTTGATCTCATGTGGACTCTAGAATTCAATCCTTGACCACAGATTGGCACAACGCTGGGCAATCCAAGGAAGTGGACCGTACGAGCGATGAACTTGGACAGAGCAAACCGGATGTTCCAGCTCAGAGTTCCTGCCGCTGCGTCAGTTCGGACAGCAGCTGTTTGGCACGCGCGCAGTTCCATCCGGCGTCTTGGAGCGGGCCTTCCACGGCTCCGATGTAACCTCGGAGAAGTTGGACTCCTGTGGGGAGCGCCGTTGCCGACTCCAGCGGCAGGTCCCACTTGTCGGAGTATGTCACGAGCCAGTAGCACATCTCGCCAGCGTACATGAGTGACAGCGCGTGGACGTCGCTGAAGATGCCTATGGAGGGGTGAACAATGCTGCCGTCACTTTTCGTAGAGGATGAAGAGGCGGGCAAGAAGGGGCATAGGGGGTACGTTGTTGTTTTCTTCAAACATTGTTGAACTAAAAACCCAAATATTAGGCAATTTGGACTTCATACTTTTTTTTTTTAAAGCTGGAACTCTTTTTTGGCAACAATGAAAAAGTGACACCAGTGGCAGGCACAGGTTTACTCTTTGGGCAGTAGAATTTCCTCTTAACTGAGAATTTTGATGGTGCCAAATGAACACTGGAAACTTTCTCCAGCAAATTTTAGTGCTCGCCGACTGGCAAGCCTGCCAGCTGGTGATGTCACAGCCCTGAAAAGTGTGGGTACATTTGGATGTTGGGTTTGGCATCGCTTTCATTTGCTGATTTTAGAACAACTATTTCTAATTTTGCAATATTAAATAGCATGCCGGAAAGAGTAAAGGCTGCGAATACAGAATATATCTTTAGTTCGGGTACCCCAAAAGATCACCAAAAATCGGCCTTTAACTAACTCCTAGTATTTCTAGGTAGAAACCCTAGAATTATACCAGGGCGGCCAAATTACTGCTCCAAGTGCGGCTTGCAGTTTGGCCAACAAGCATATCCAAGGTTCCCTCAAGTTTTGCCATTACGATCTGCCAGCAACTCTTAGTCACATCTCATGCCACTAAGTACTGCTGAACTGCGGTTAAATGATAATCTCCCCGATTATACCCTGAGCCGCTAGCCTACTGCCAGTGTGCTACTGCTTAACACATACTTTTGACCTCACAGCACCGGATGTTGAAAAATAGCAGATGTGTAAAGGCAAAATGTGAAAATGTGTCTACACTCCTTGTGTTGTCTTACTTTGTCTTGATCCTTGTTGTTTCTGACATTTTAAACTTTCTAAACTATAAACCAATTTAACCATTCTGATGCAACACGGTTTTGGCTTCCATCTGAGCTTTATTTTAGGATGAAAATAATTTCGTAAATATTTTTCAGCAAAATTAACTTGTGTTTAGAGTACAGTTTGTCATCGCCATTCAGAAAATAATTTTGTTGAAAATGTTCAGATCGACGGCGAACCATGGTCGATTGAATGAGAGACAGAATTTAGAGCACGATTTAGAGGGGTGTAAATTTTCTAGGCTAGGTGGCAAAAACCACCATGCAATTCAAATACAATAAAAATATACCTTGCAATACAATACAAATAAGCTTTTTTAAAGCCGGGTCAATGCCATCGATCCATCTGGTGCTTCCCTTCAATACAGCAGTATTTTTTACTCTCAGATCCCGTCACCTGATATCGCTCAGACCAGAAGTGCCTTATACCATTACCGAGTGTTTAGACACCGAAGCCAATAAATATTCAATGATTGGCTGAATGATTGAAAGAAGTAAAAAAAGAAGCACTGGTACCTTTTTGAAGAAGCTCCAGTGCATCTGCAGACCCAGGGAGCACAGTGGTGTCGTCTGCTCTGATTGGACGGCGCACATTAAGCATCTCGGTCAGGTGAGCCACTCCTTGCTCCAAAAGCTGGAGAAAAGCCACAATGATATCTTCAAAGGCTTGGCTGGTTAAGCCCTTGCCAGGAAGATACACCAGTTTTGGCAAAAATGCATCTGAATAAAATATATCTGGTGATGTGGACATTGGCTGTACATAGAAAGAACTCGTCGACAGCAATGTGTTTCCCATGTAAATGAGCCTAACATCTGGTAAGTTCGAAAAAAAGAAAAAAAAAACTAATTGACAATGCCAGCTTTTCGTTGTTTTTTTATAGCTTGAGACTGGCTTTGTACTTTTTCATGCAACAATTTTTTTTTAATTCCAGGTATCAGTTGTATATTTTCTTTTTTGTCACCTATAACACTGAAATAACTTTTACATAAGAAAACAAACTAAATGACAATGATGCTAGTCTTTTTTATCTTGAGAATGAATTTTTTATATTCAGTGTTGGAATTTTCTCTCTCTCCAAATTTCAGTCATATCATTTCTGGGTGCCTGCGTATGTACACAGGTACCTCGCTAATATACAAACCAAAGGGCCAAAATTTAGCGCGGAAGCAGAGCCCTCTGAACGCAGGCAAAAGATTTTACCTTCAGGAAAGTGGCCCGGTTATCCTGTAGCCACTGTTCATCATCACCTTCTTTGCTCTGGCAAAACATATAGACGAGGGCACCCTTGCGCCACTCAATGCATTCGGCCAGCTCTTTGCCAAGGCCCTCCACAACCTGCAACAAAGTGTCGGCTCACTGCGTGGATATGGATGCGGATGTGGATTTCCTAGCTGGATGGATGCATGTTAACCGCTGTCCCCTACCTGGATGGATGAACGGATGCTAACGGCTGTATCGCTAATGTCTGCATCCTTTAAAATGGTGGTTGCTTACACCATTTAGCCTAGAACCTTGTTGGCATCGCCTCACAGTTGCCCCCACACTCCAGAGACAAGCGACTGCTGCGCTGTGCCGGCACTAGCTACAGCACTGACAACCCAAGAAATGCAGGGTATGGCAAGTGCCACGCATCTCATTACCACTCTGCAGCCAATGAAATTGCAGCATTAGCCGAACAGCACGCCGAAGAACTAGGCAAGAAGCGTGATCCTTGCCTTTCTTAGGCTTCAGGCACCCAGCCACCGAACGCTGCAACAAACTCCGTTGCAGTGTTGGATGTGGCAATTTATCTTATTCACTTATTTATCTACATTCAAGGTCAGTACCATAAGAACGGAGCGAGTTTCACTGAATGCAAAGGAAACGTGCTGCTATGTTTTGAATGATTATAGCAGGCTGTGTGGCGTACCGTTTCAAATCCCATGTGCTTTGTGATGTTCTCAACATGCTCCAGGCTCCCTGTGAAAGACAAAAACTGGCTGACACAAAACGGACACCGGGAAGCTTTGGTTGCGCCGCCGATTTCACTTACGAATTATGGCGTTCACACGCTCCAACGAATCGCTGTCGGAGAAATCGTTGTCTGCGAGCCTGTTTTCTCGGCAGTATGTAATGTCTAGCACGATCTGAAAACAGTTGGAGATGGAATCGGAGAAGGCTACGGATGCACACCGACTGGCAAAAAGAATGTCACCAAACACGAAACGCCGAGATGGGAAAAGCAGCAACACAGAAAGAGGAATACGCACGATACAGTCTCCAAAGGGTGTATCTCAAAATGTCCCACTCGCATTGCTCCCTTTCTCGTTTGGCCCCATTCTCACTTGGACCTTCTTGAAACAATTCTCAAAACATACACTGTTTTTGTTGTTTTCATTTGGGCCTATTCGCACTAAGACGCGAAGGGTGCATGGTACGTTTTCAGCCCTGGATTGGCTCGAACGGCTCGTACCGTACGCTGCAGTCCACTTTAAGGGAATATGGAGTCATTCCAGAAACTATGAGCCCAACCGCGGGACTAAAGCATGCATGTGTGTGTATGTGAGCACTTGCATACAGACGAGTTGGGAGGGGGGAGGAGCGGACTTGAAGAAACTTCTTCGAGGATATGTGGTGTCCCGGCAGTAACACCGACACCTCAATGTGCACCCATTTGATTTTGTTCTTGCAGGATGAAATGTGAAGGATGCCAAAGTGCCCCCTTTGATTTTTTATGTTCATGTTCTCCCTCTTGCTCGTCTTGATGTTTTAGGAATGGTTAAAGATCCCATGTTCAGCTGCTAAAAATTAATAATAAATGAATGATTACATACCCTTGCTAGTTCTTGAACGGCATCCTTGTTTCCATTTGTTCCTAGAAACTGGTCATCTTTGAGTTGATGCTTCAAAACCAGGAGTTTGGACAACGACGACTCCAGTAACGTAGGTACTGCAACAAATTCAGAAACAACTGTGCGTTGCGACTGTGGAAAGTTTTGGGGGTTACTAAATTTTATGCAGTAAGCTTCCCAGCGAGTGTATTTGGTAGAACGAAGTGCCCAAAAACCTGGGAGCTGAAAGTAGTGGCTTGTGTGACGGGGGTGGGGCCCAGTCAAGCCAACATGTGTTGGCTTTTTGCCCATGCCCCTGTCGTCTGTAGTATATATAGACGAAATAAACTGAACTACAGCTGATCCAAATTCGCAGCCACTGCCAAGCAGTGTCGCCACTCGGCACCGAGGCAAAAGTCGCCCTATTTATTAGATAGGCTTGTGCGGCACTGTAGAGCACTTCATTGAGACAAATTTTTGAGAAAGCTACACACTTTGATCGTGAAATGGGAAGATTAAATCCACTTGGTTGGGCCTCCAAAATTTGACAGCTCGCATCAGCTGATCGAGCTGGGCCTCACAGTGTTTTCGAAACAGATAACGTTGCTGAGAAGTTAGTGGCGCTATCATGAAACATGCCCTAGCTTAGGAAAGACACTTGAGCGTTCGATAAGCAGCCTTACCCACAGATTTCAGCTTTAGTTCCTCAATAATCTTGAGTAAATCGTCCACTTCATCCGTGATTTCTTTCGTAGCGAACTCCATTTTTTCTGTCACATAGTTGCCAACCACGTTTTTGTTATTCGCCATGTACCGCTACTTCTGGAGTATCGCGGTGTCGTTTAGTGACAGCCTGTAAAATTCGAATAACTACAACCACAAACATACTACCCAAAGTATCTATAAACGTTGATACTACCTGTAAAGATGAGATATGATTGCATGTCTTTATTTATATTCAAATGCTGGAAATTTTTCTCGTTACATATTTCATGCCATACGTCCCTCACACTCGCATATTTATGCGAACTAGTTCTGGTTATTAAATTAATAAAAAAAAAACAAAAAACAAGGGAGCTGGTGGCTTTTCATCTTTAAAACCTGAGAGCAATAAATGAGACAACACAAAAGCCAACTGGCACAACACAAAACATGACTTTAGAGCACTATCTTCTAATCACTTATGTAATTGTAAAGAAGCAATCAGGTAAGTCTTCTATACATATTTATTGCCTAAAAATGACTAGCAGTTCGAGATCCTGTCAACTTGGTTCTTTGCGACACATGACAGAAATTCTTCTCGTCTTCTTGACAGGAGTGGACTTGAATATGGACTGCTCGTTGGGGAGGATCTCGTGCGTGTAGTCGTACCTTGCTGTGCGACTGCAAAGAATTTCACAAACAAATGTCACACATACATCTCAAATCATATCTGACTAAATTGCAATTAAATTACAGGTATAGTTACGAGGTTATCACATGTCATTGTTTCATGCAGGGGAGGGGGTTACAACCTCTATCAGGAAGCTATGCGGAGCGCAAGTTCGTCTGCTTCTTTTGCAGGAGTTGTGGTGATGTCAGAACGCCGAGCTCCGAGTGGTTCTGAATGAAGGATAGTGGGTAGACCCCAAGGCAGCTTGCTTTGAGGTCTACCCACTATACTTCAATCAGCCAATCAGAGCTGGCGTCTTTCTGTTGCCACCGCAACTCAAGCACAAGCAGGCGACTTGCTTTAAAGATACCCTCCCCCCCCCCTGTAATCTTTGCAAGCATTCTCTGCATATCAATTTTATTCGAAAATAAGGACATCCTATTACAATTATTTGCATAACGACCTGTGCAAAGGTAAACTGGTTTTATGAAGATATAGTAACAGCTCGACACCAGGACGTGATTACAAATACTGGAGCAAACACGGCAGCTTCGAGTCAATTCTGAAATTTTTGCAAAACAGAAAAAGAGCTTAATTTGGCTGGGATAGGTATGGTCCCTTAGGGGAAAATTCCTTCAACGTAACGTACGTCATCACGTAGAGAGACCTCCTCTTCAGCAGAATCTTCACCCATCTTTCCTTGTGCTTCTCGTGGACGAGCCGCATCACGCTCGGCGTGAGGAGGGACAGCCCAGCAATGGTGTCCCCGCAGAACTGGGGAGGAGGGTCAGAAGTGTTGCTGAGCATTGCGATAAATAAAATGCAGGAGCACTTAATTACGTTTGAGTGTGATCGGCTGCGGTGCTTTACTTGAAATTGTAAAAAGAATGTTAGAAGTTTATTTGTTCTTTAATTTTTGTTAAACAAATTAGGAGCCCGGTATGTAGTTTGTTGCTTTCCATTATTAGTTCCAATTTTTGAGGTGCTATCCAAATAATTTCTCTCAATACATGTTCTGTGCTACAAATTTTTAGAGTGAGTTTTTTAAAGTAGTTTAAAGTAATATATTTTGTTGGCTTTTGATATAATATATCTGATTTATTATATTTCATTTAATAATTTATTTGTATGTAAGTCTGGTGGATGTTCATAAACATTTGCTAATAGACGGAGGATTCTTTTTTGAAGGACAATTATTTGATTGTAATTCCCTACTGTTGTTGTTCCCCCTATTAATACACCATATGATATTTTTCTATAACATAACAAGTAATATAGCAATGTTTCTAACCATACAGGGAGCAGTTGATTGATTCTATAAATACAGCCTATTGTCTTGACATTTTAAAACAAAGTTTTTATACCGTGAAATACAGAGCATCCCCGCCCACCCTAAAATTTTGCAACATCTGATAAAGGTAAAAAGAAAGATAGGTAAAATTGATGACGTAACAAGAACCCATTCCCCAATTTTCGCGATTATCTTCATATTTTGAGTGGGCGCTTGCTCGGCATTTTACGGTACATGTGTCGTTCAGTTGAATTCTTCATGAAACCATACACCTTAATTAAACCATACATGTGATCGGGCAACTACAGCTAAACCTTCAGTCTCGCACAAAATACCGCAGAAGCGCCCATTTCGTTCAAGCGCCCACTATTAACACTTCCCAAACTTGGGAGTTCTGCAAATTATATGTCAAGCATCTGATTATCGGCACTTGTAAGAAATGCAGAGCGTAAATTTTTATTGAGGGACTTCAAGTGCATTCTCTCAACGTAAGTAGCTACACGTCTTTGCCACGCAGCCGATCACGCCCAAATATAAATCTGTGCACCAGCCTTTGGTACGCAGTTGAAGCGCTAGCACTGAGCAGACGTGGTTTATTGTCGAATCCAACAAGGTTGTTAGTTGCTTTAGGAGGATTTTTTAAAGCTGCAGAGGTTTAACGAGGATAGGAGACGCACCCGAACGCTATCAACGTGTGGCTTGATGTGACCATCCTCTTTCAAGTCCAGGCAGTGAACGTGTGGTATCTGCGCCGCGTCGGACGAAAAGGCGGTGGTTCGGATGCGTTGAAGGATGACGTCGCATGGCGGCGACCAGCTTTTGCGCTCCACCTCCCTGTACCCATGTATTGCCTGCAAAGGAGCAATAAGGCGTCCATTGCCAGAACCTCCAGCAATTTAGGCTCAAACTTTTACAACAGAAACTAGACAACATGAAGGCTACAATATATATCTGTGCATGTATCTATTTTTCTTCTTTTTTACCCTTTAACGACTCGGCAGTAATGAAAGTAGTTGCTCCCCTGTTGTCATCTGACTTTTTAGACCATGTGTGAGCGAATAAATTAATTTTATTTGATTGGAACGCATGTGCACCGCAGCATTCGCACAAAAAACTACTCCAGTGCATGCAGAGAGAAAGTCGTCTGCTTCTTGCCCAGTAGTTGCGGTGACGTCAGAAGGACGCTGAGATCTGATTGGTTCTGAATGAAGGATAGTGGGTAGACCTCAAAGCAAGCTTCCTTAAGGTTTACCCACTACCCTCCATTCAGAACCAATCAGAGCTCAGCGTTCTGACGTCACCATAACCCGTGCAAAAGAAGCAGACAAACTTGCGCTCCGCATAAGGAAGTCCGGAGACAAAATAAACTGGATTTTTGGGTGAAGGTAAATGGAAGCACGACGGCCTAGTATTTCGCTTTAGTGAAACTACATTTTGATAACAATTCTCTAACACAGCGCAAACACGACTTCGACGCTTTTTCGCATTATACTTCTAAAGGGTACTGGCGGGCATCAAAATTTATCGCATAGGTTAGTACCCCAACTCAGCACTTTCTACCACTAAAGAAAAACGAAGAAAACCGATGATGGCTTGCTAGCGCTAACGGTGTCGCGGAGTGTAATTACCACATTCTAAAGACCCTTTGTGGGAAGCACACATCCAAGTTTAATTCGAATATTCAAGGATACTAACGTCGTCCCAATGGCTGCTCTCGTACCTCAGCCTCTTGAACTGCGTTTCGATCTCCTTTAACAACGTGGTTTCTTCGTCCGGCGTAATGAAGTCGTTGTAGAGGGTCATGCAACGGATGACGGTGCCCAGCGTTTCGGAGTCGGACCCTTCAAAATGCTCGTTCAAGAACTCTTTGGACATCTCCTGCTGAGGTGCTGGAATTCCTTGATAATCGGGCTTGAGGGAGCAGGTTCTTTTCCATGATCTGTTGATGACTCGAATCACCAAAGGTGAAAGAATCGCGCAGCGCGCAGTTAACGTTTTACTGCCCATGAGCGCTGCCATCTTGAAATTACTCTCGTAATCAGGCCATCAGGCATCACTGACAGCAATGGTGGCGATGACGCTTGACGGCTTGGCGGCATTTTCGGTTCACGTTTCCGTCGAGCTTCCTGTGAAGCACGCGCAGCGCGAAACATTATTTAATGTTTTATAGTTATTTAATTTCATTTAAAACGCTATACGAAGTACAAACTTCTGCACATTACAAGCAGCCTAGCAATTCTGACGGGCAAACTTCCTTGTACAAAATCTCGAAAGTAGTATGTGTCTTGCACCTTCTGATTGCGAACAGAGTGGTCCTGCAAGCAGAGCGGTAACCTAACAAAGGAGCTGCTAAGCAAAGCTCACTTGGAAGCCGTGCTGCACCAGCGGGAAATCCCATATTTGAAAACTTCTAGTAAATCATAACTTTTTTTTTTTTTTTAAGGCACGTTTTTGCGTTTTCGGTTTTTATTTCTTCAAAATGCGGCATACTTTTTTCGGAGTTTATTTTAAGAGTAAATTTTAGTTTTTTTTTTTCGGTGCATATTTATGCCCACAAGTTTATCGTTTTTTTTCGGTGAACATGAAAGAAATGCCATCGGACACCGGATTAGATGATCCTTGTAATTCTGGTATTTGTGATCCCTCAAGGCAAATACATTGAAAAAAAAAACAAAAAAAAAAAACGAAAAACATTGACATTTTATTTGGCAATTGTGTGCAACTGAAAAAAAAAAAAAAAAGTACAAAAAAGTTAGTGCTCAAAAAACATGGAACTTCACCTTCTGTACATCAGGATTACGTTATCTCATTATAGTAAGCACACATGTACCTTCCCAGGTTCTCCTCGTTGATCCACTCTCATTCTTTCCTGTTAATGACCCTGGGCCTCGAGAATGCCCTCTCAACGTTAACACTGGACACTGGCAGGCTGAGAAGATGAAGTGCTGCCTAATCCAAAATCGGCCAATCAACCAAATGTGACTACCAAAAGAGACACGGTGCGACGTTTTGAAGCGCAACATATTTTGTGTACTCACTAAAACTCTGGTTGCAGATCTTGACATGAAGCTAAAAACCTTATACTAACCCGCACCCAAACTTTTATTTTTTTATTTTATTTAGGACAGGAATTTGACACACTAAGCCCGATCGCATAAAAGACACAAATGTCCTGCAAAAGACAACCCAAGACCTCTTTTTTTGCATGTTGAACCTTGGAAGAGGTCAATCACGAAGAAATCACACAATGTCAAACCTTGCCAATGCCCTCTCACCCCCGCCCATCTCCAACACGATCCTAAAAAACTGACCATTTTTGGTTAAAACAGAATTTTAAAGAATGGATTCGGCTTACTTTTATTGGTTTAAACCGAAAATGACGAACCTAAACACGGACTTTTTTCGGTTAAAACCGAATCTCCGAAAATGGATTCAGCGTACCTTTAGCGGTTTAAACCGAAAACTCCGAACCCTAGCCTAGACGCTGTGAGCAGAGCTGAAACTATAGAGTCCGTCGAGGTGAACATATCTACAGGCGTCCAAGTGGCCGGTATCCGCAGCAAAAAAGTAAACTTTAAAACAATATGGTACGCCCCTTCTATATTTTCTGTGACTCCACCGCAGTAGGCTGCAACAGTTTGTTGAAAAACGCAGTAGCCGAGTTGTCGCGTTGTTCTTGCTCGGCTGAGCTGCCATTGCAACTACCTTCAATGGAACGTGCAAAATTAATTTTTATGGTAACATCTGATGCTGCGTATTAAACTATAATAGGTCAATTGTAGCCAAGTGTTGATATCGTGTTTCAGCTAAAAATGTCTGTGTGAATGAATTAAGACGAAACTACAAAGGGAAAAAGAAAATGTTTGCTTTAATGCAGACGAAGAAGCCCCCAACATGAGTATTTCCACCCCCCCACACACACACTTCGGAATGTTGTTCGAAGAAAGGCGGTCGCACGAAGGTTACGCCACAGAACTGACACTGCAGAAAAGACTCGAGTTGTTGCGCGCAGAAAGAAAGACGATTGGCCCGCGAGTGTCGTCCAATGGAAGCGAGAGGGGAGCGGAGGCTCAGAGCACGAATGGAACGATGGCCTTCCTGTCCTTGGGGTAGTTGGGAAACTCTTTCTTGTAGTTGCGGTGCTTCCCCAACGCCCACACGGCCATCTGGTAGAAGCCGGCCAGGGTGAACAGGCCAGCTGGAACGGAACAAACAAATAGAATTGAAGCCACGAGTGACAGCTTGGATAGCTTGGAAAACTCGTACGCTCGGAAGGACTGCCGTCGCGCAACGCTTGGAAATCGGACAGCCTCGAGACAAAGGAGTTGCCCTGGAGATGGCATTGAACTGGCACTTTACTATGAGCAGCCCGTGTTGTTGTCCTACGTGCGTTTTTAATGCAATATTGCGTCTTAACCGAAGCTAACTCAAGTTCTGCGACTGAGGAAAGCGAAGCATGCCGTCGCACGGTAAGAGGTCGCAGAGTTGGCCAGCTGCCAAAAGTTTTTAAAACTATAAAGATTGAGAGGACGAAGCGACACTTCAAAAGGATGCAGTTGTGCATGCCAGAAAGGTCGACACGAGCATTGGCCGCATTGCTCAAAATGCAGTTCTGCACACGACGATCTGTTCAATAAATTAAAATACACCTGCAAATAAGTGAAGAGCATGTAACTCTTAAAATAAGGAGAATCCGACATTTCTACATTCAAAGCCTCGTGGCATGTCAATAAACACCCTCAAATATTTTTCCCTTCTAGATCTGCGTGAACTCTTCCATTGAATCTACGAGGGCGCAGAATTGCAGATTTTACATCTATAACTTGCTACTCTGTCTAGATGATGCACCGACACTTTGATGCCATCTCACCCATTTCCGTCGGCGAGTTTTACGGCCCTTTTCCCTCGACAAACGTTGGCAAGCGTGCGATACGAGCGTGGAACAAACGTGGTGGCACGGGCAACTCACCTGGAACGCACTGGGTCATGACGGTGAAGGACAGCCAGGCCATGACTTCGTATGTGTAGTTCGGGCACGACACCATGCCGAAGAGCCAGGTGAACGGGTTGGCAGTGGCCACAGGGATCTTCCTCTCCTTAGTGCCTGCAAAAGCGATTAGGTGACGCCAGTGACGAGCGCCGAAACTTGTGGCGATTCACAAGACGACCTCGCAAATCCAGACTGCGGCCGCTCACCGGAGGGCCTCAGGTTCCTCAGTGCGACGTGGATGCTCAGGTTTCCGAGCTCGGCAAACTGAAAGACCGCAAGGGACGAATTGTGTGAGGGGACGCGGCGTCTCGAGCGGCGCCGCGGGAAGACTGCCACGCCAACACAAACTTACCAGGAATGCAGCCAGTCCCGCATACATCTGCTGGGCGCCGAGACCTATTGAGAAAGAAAAAGGAAGGTGAAAAGATGAAGCAATGCTACCACCCAAACGTAAGCGATGGACGAGAGCGGGCCTAAAAGAAACTGACACTATAGTCACTCAAGATGTGAGGACAGCAAAAGCAAAATCTTAAAAATGACCAGTTGCTGCGTCGATTGCTAAGGTGCCGGGTTCTCGAGATCCAAGGACACCAGCCAGTAAAATGTTTGCGATTACGGATTCGTAAAAAAACAAAAAGTCATACGTTCAAGGTCATAATGACCATAACAAGCAGAGGAACCCCAAAAACTTGGAATGTTGCCAATTTACTTCGTTATCTACGGGCACGTATTTTAATAGTGAAATTTCTCTATTATATACTCACTATTTCATAAAATTCAAGCAAAGTGAGGGTTTCGAAATTTTAATACTTTACTCCGTTTCTTGATAACTTGGCAAACTGTGGAGGATGCGGCCCCCACGACCCCATAAGAGCGTAAGAGCAAGGCACGCAATAACAGTCCACGGTCGATGCCTCATTACCGCCACAGCAACAGCGCCGTCCGCAACAAAATAGTTCTAGGCTTCTTCTCCTTTTAACGGCAATTGAACTCGCACGCTTCAATCTCTAACGAGAAGATACGAAGTGTAAAGAATGAATAATCACAAATTTATGAGTTTCAATTATATTTAAAACAAAAAAGTGACGCCACATCTGTTTCCGCTCCCAATATTTTTTTTCTCCGTGTAGAGCCGTGGCTGTTGGCGATTGCTTGCGATCGCAGCCGTGTAATCGGCCGTTTCCGCTCAAAACATCCCTTGCGCCCCAGCATTAGCACCCGTCGCACATCCGTGGCTAAATTGAGCGGATGGTTGTCTCATAAACTGTTCCCAAAATGCTCGCTATTCCACCACACAGAAATTTCGCTACGGTGGAAGTTCATCCAAAGTTGGTTGGTTTTGGAGCAGACGACTCTTGGCTAGCAGGCAACAGCCGGTTCCTCTGGGCCTCGCACTTCGCATTTGGTGTAGCGACACAAATACTCTCGTGACGTTGGGTCACGTGCATCGCTAGCCTCCACAGTTTGCAAAGTTATCGAGAAAAGGAGTATAGTTGAGGTTTCATGGTAAAGGGGTACCCGAAAATTTTTTTAGCCACTCCAACTAACTATGTTTTTTGGAATAACCGGCCCCTTTCCAGTATGCTGCTTAGTATCTTAAGATTCAGAATAGTTATTGTGAAATCGGCAAGCGAAAATGATGTTGAAACCCACATTCAAAAAGACCCTCACTTTGCAGTGCCGCGACGTTGGTGGAATGCAAGCTTGCAGGTCGAGCAAGCAGCCTAAAAAATGGACTATGCCGCGCAATTCTTTTGCTCTGCTGCGTGGGTGCTGGAGCGGGCTTCCAAAGCATTCATTTGCTTGTTGCGGTTGCTGGAGCGGGCTTCCAAAGCATTCATTTGCTTTTAATCAGTTGCGAACAAAGTCCATAGACCAAAGAGCGAGCCCCTGTCTGCCGCTAACATAACGTTTTCATTGTTGCCAGCCGAGACTTTCACCTTGAAAAGCACGGTGAGGACCAAAATTGTAAATTAACCTGGCGAACAAATTTTATTTTGGCCCAATATTTGGGTTACTATTTCAGCGATGTTTAATGGTGTGTTTAGCAAATCTTCAGGCAAATCGAGGACTATAAAGAAAACGCTGGAGTACCCCTTTGATACCAGTTAACTTGATGTTGAATCTTGACTTTGGAAACCAAGTCTTTCAGATTTTTGGTCATTTTTGAAATTAAGCCACCTTGGCCCACTGTTAGTTGGTCATGTTCACAGCATGCTAAAAACAACAATAAACAAAAGAATCTGTGCTTTTTTTTTTCTTTTTTTTTATACATAAGAAAATTGGTTACTGTTGATCCACTTTGATTGGCGGCTGTCATTTTAATGGGTAAAATACCGACAACTGATTTATTTACTTTCACTGCCACAAAAAGTGTGTTGCAAGGGAACACGCAAACTACTAAAACTACACTACAACTACGACGCAACCACAAAAATCCAGATCAAACAGCGTTCTTACTCGGTGGAGTGTAAAGAGGGTGGTTGACGTAGTAGCCGATGTACATGCCGAACAGCCAGTAGTATGAGCAATTCTGCAAGACAAAACATGTCAGCATGGCGGCATTTCCTTCTTCAACAAGGACACCGGATACAAAGGGGCCACCCACCTTGAACAAGTTCATGATGGGCATGGTGCCATGGGAGAACCGGTGAACAAACAGCGTCTCCAGCAGCCGCTTGGCATAGTGAATCACCCAGCAGCCGGCAGCCACGCTGGAACGAGACACCCATTTAAAGCCAACTGGCACAAAGACATCCACAGTATTTTGTATTCGTCCTGCTCGAAACATTTTTCTCAGATACCGAAAGTTGGGAGAACGGTGGAGGAGTCCCCGCTGTTGATTCCTGGATTCGTTAATCTTACTGGATTGACAGTGACTTCAGAAACTGGGAGAGGAGGCTGGTCTACTGCACAAGGCTGTAATGTGCCATTCGGCGACAATGGCTCTCCGTTTTCGCGAAAGGTTTTAGTCAAGTCTGATTATTCTGAGTGCTGCCTTGACATCCCTTCCGGACCTGTCCTAGTTCCAGAATGAACGCTCCTAAATGAAGCTTGAAAACTGAAGTAAGATTTCAACGGCATGATACTCACTGCACCACAAAGTGCATTGGCTTGGTGTGCGCATCTGCACCGTAAAACAAGGACGGCCTGGTGTAAGTCACAAGGTACAGCGCCAGGGGTCCGAAGTACTCCACCAGGAACACCTAGAGGGGAAAGGGACAAGGCGTTGCAAAAATTAAAACTTGCCAGGTGGAGGTGGTTTAGTTAGACTGCCAATTTCAACAGAACCACCTCCCCCCTCACACATACACCAATACACCAACAATGAATCTAAAGCCGGATAGTGGTTACAGCGTTGCTGGACTTAGTTGGGATTTAGCCAGTTGAGTCCTCCCCTAGTCTGGCAACACTGAAATTTCAAGCTCTAGGTTAGGTGGCACAAGCGTCCACTCCTTATAAAGGGTACAGCTGTTAGCATCCATCCATCTAGCCACGGGAAATTTGGTTAAAAAAGTCTAAAGTGTTATACAATACACAAAATTGTAGTGGTAGACAATAAAAGAAATGGAACTACAGGCCCGTTCACACTCTTGCGACCTCTTAAAGGGGCACTGACACATCAAAATCGAATTTATTTTATTATCCGAAACGATTGAAAATGATGCCGGGACATTACCCTCAAAATTCGAAACTTGGGAATTCAGTATTTGTGAATTAAAAAAACAATTTCCAAATGCCGAATTTGAAGTTCCCGCGCGATCCGCGCCAGTGCAGTGAGTCAAATTTTGCGGTCTCCTGCGACTCGACTTTCGGACCTCCGCACCACGCTGTGAAGCAAAGCGCCGTTGCTACCGCGACCCGAAGAGAGGAGGAGGTGAGCAGGCGGGATAGAAGGGAGCCGGCGCGGGGAAAAACCGGTTTCTTCCCCGACTCGGCGATAAGCCGCTGCTCGAGCGCCGCCAAGTTTTCCGAGGGAGAACACAAATCCAGGAAGCGACATTACACCGAAATCTGATTTTTGGTATTTCAAAAAGAAAGGCCGTAGTGCGTTCGTCATTGCGTTAAAAAACATGTTTTACGATTGCCGTTATTAAATGTTTAGAAATGTCGCCTACAAAGCTTCTACATTTCCTGATTTTTGACGTCACCGATCAGAAGAAGCAAGGAGGTGAGCGCGGGAAATATAAACGCCAAAAATAAAAAGGCGGGCGCGCGCGCAAAAAATTTTTTTTTCGCGATGCGTTTTTTTTTTTGCGTGTCTATGACTACAATTTGCATAGTTTTAGACAATAAAAAAGAGTACGACCTTTGGGGTGTCACTGCCCCTTTAAGACTGGGTTCCTTAAAACCTCTTACAACGAGACGACACACTGGCGCCATCTATTGGGTAGCAGTGTAAACTTGGCGGTCCGGCATATTTACTATTTCCCTCGCTCATTATCCTTCGCCCTTATGAAATGCAGTTCCAGGGTCACCGCGTAAATGGCGCTAGCGCACCAGTGTGTTCTTTCGTCCGAAGAAATTTTAAGAGGTTTTAACAACAAGTCTCGTCTCTCTCGGTCGTGCTCGGTTGCAAGAGTGTAAACAGGCCTTTAGAGTCAAATTTAAAGGGCGGGTGTGTAAATGTTTCCAGGCTAAGTGGCGCAAGATACCACTCAATACGAAGGGCGAAGCCAATACCATCCATCCACTCATCCGCTGTCTCTGGGCAGCTTTTTTGCTTGGCATCTGCCCTCATGTGATGGAAATAAATGGATTCCTAAGTTTATTAATATTTTTTTCAAGCAATATAAGAATGTTACAAAAAGCAGGGAAAAGTAGCCTGCACTAATGTGAGTGCATGCTATGTGTCTTTACGGTAGGTTGCTGTACTTTACAAGTAGTGCAAGACTTGCCGTTTTCCAACCAATCTGGGGACCAAGGTCCTTGAGGTACAGTTGGCTGCCAGATTTGAAGTTGAGGCTCTTGAGGGTTTCATTATCTCTCAGGCTCTTGCCCTCTGAAAAAATAAAAAATAATGTGGATTGTAACTGTTTTTTTTGACAGTTCAGTCTGAACACCTTTCTTTACTATGCAGCAGAAAGTTTGTTTGTGTGCATGCATTATAAATAGCTCATACATTGTATCCATATGTACAAAATTTTTTTTTTTTTTTAACAGTTTGGATGGTAAGAGGATGCCATAAAACAAATTTAAAGCAAAAAAGAAAATTTTCGGAGCTTTATTTCCGGCACGAGACAATTTTTTGTCAAGCGAGGTGTAGCGGTGCTCCTTTCCACTTTTTTCTCTCACACCTGTGCACTCCATGCGGAGGAGAGGTAAGCCACTTGGATTGGCTTGGCCGCTCGGCTGAAAAACGCAAGCGAGCCTCGTGCGACTTCCGCTTAACTTCGGCGCGCGCTGTGTTCTTGGTTTCTGTGCTGGTGGTGATGGCAGTGGTAGCTTGCGTTAGACGTCTGCGTGGGCCGATATTTAGGAGCCCGGTCCAGCCGGCCCGCTGTCCTTTGTGCCCGGGCCCGCCATCTATTTTTGACAGCTGGCCCGACCTGATGCTAGTTTTGACGAGCACGCGAGGCCCACTCTATTTTCGCCCAGTATGAATAGCTCACAAATTGTGTGCTGTGGCAGCTCACTTGCCACTGCTACACACATTGATGGTATCCAATAGTCGCTAAAGTCAGAAATTTTTTCTTTCTTTTTGCTGCTATTTTAGTTGGACCAACCTGCGTGCCCAGGCAGCTCGTAAAAAAAAAAAAAAAAAGAATAACCCACATTGTCCTTTCTTGCAATTAAACACGCGTATCAAAAAGGGCAGAAAAGTAAAAATGGCAAGCAACAGTTCAGACAGAAGACAGACAAAGTTCTAAATTGCCCACTCCCCATGTGTACAACCTAAAAGAAAATTCTACAAAAATACCATTGTTTCTTGCAGTGGTCTGTGGGAAATTGTTTAGGAAAAGCACACCTAAGGGGAACCTCTTCACCCATATTGCGGTTGCATGCACAACTACACACAGAAGGTGTATGCCTGCAAGGGTTCCCATTGTGAGCAAATTTGCGCATGTTAATGGGGAGAAGCAACTGTATGACGACGGCGCCGCGGGCGACGGGAATGAACGCCGCGTCGCTGGTGTTCTGGAAGAGCATTCAGTGCGCACACACCGAACCGTAGAAACAGACACATGCTTTTAATATTTGGAACTCCCCCGCTGTGGTCCCTCCCCCAACCCCCCGAATAAGCTTTCAAAGACACTGATGCTTAAAAAAAATTTTAAAAAGTAACCACTGGTTTGGTTTGCTCGGGCTCGCCTTGAAGACTTGAATACAAGGCCCGTGTCAGGCCCTGACCTTTCATGGATGTAGCCGTAAAGCCCGAGCCCGGTGGCTTGTGGGCTAGCCCTTACTGTGCAGGACCCTAGTCTGCATGCTTTGCGTTGGATCCGGAGTTGAAGTGTAGACTTCTAGACCGAATCAAGTTTTGAGGCCGTATCAAGACCGCATCAAGTTTTCGAGGCGTGTCCTCATAGGGGATTTGCCCCTACGAGGACCCGCCTCGAAAATGAGCAAACTTCCCCACAGAAAGCTCCAGCGGGTCGCAGCTCCTGCTCAGTCAAAACGGAAGCAATGATTTTCTTAGAGTTGTTTCTCGAACATCGAAATATTTTGTTAAAAAAAAAGTGCAACAAATAAACGAAGATCAATAAACAACTTGTAGAGCCCATAGGAAGCCCCTGAAAGAGCACAAGCACCACGTGACTATAGTGGCCAGTCACGTGACTGCTAATTGCCACTTTTCCACTGGCCCCCGCGGGTGTCAACTACAAATTCGTTTTGTGCTGTAAAAATACTAGCTCCCAAAACTTTTTTTTTTCCGTTAAAAATTTATTTTATGTTTTTTTTTTTTTTTTACTTAAGCCGTTTAAGAAAATTTCTTTTGCATATGATCTTTAAGGTTGTTATATTTTTGCATGGGCTTATAGTTCCCGCACGCATGTTTTATTTTTCTACTGCATTGATAGACACTTATCACTGAATTCTCATAACTTCTTTCGGGGATAAAGCAGGAAATGGAAGGCAAGCATACTTGGTTCGCTCTTCAGCGACTGGCGGTCGGGGTACAGCTTCGGCTCTGCAAGGGAAACATTTAAGTGACATGAATCACTGGGCTTAAAACTGACTGTCACGAGATACGAAGCACATTTCTTTCCTAACACAGATGCTCCAACAAAGTTCATACAGTTTGGCTAAGAGCTACCGCATTAATATTCATGAACTAATGAGAGTTTCAAGTCACCTAGCTGTGGTAGCAGCAGACTCCTACGGTAATCATTGAGTAACGATACTAGTACTTGCAATGAATTACTTTTTAGAGTAATTTCATAACTGTTTTATTACTTTTAATAGGAACTAATTGCAAGAGTACTCCATAATACCGATTTTCAAACCGGCAGAAAAAGCCGTCGTTCTGAAACAAGTAATTGAAGACCTAATGGTTACTTTTCCAAGTAATGGGCAATTCATTTTCAAGTAATCAAGTGATTTAATCGAATAATTCTAACCAAGAGTAATTTGTAATTGCAATCAATTATTTTTTTTTCAAGTAATGCGTACAAGACTGGGTAGCAGTAACTTTTTCCAAATTGACACCGCTCAAAATGACCCCAGGTGCACAACTGCCTCGAGACTTACTGATGCGGTGAACTTGCTTCTTAATGTCTGTGATTGTCGCCGACGGGTCCACCTAGGTGACGGTAAAGGAGTTAGCTTGTCAACTCCCTGTTAAAGGAAGTTCCCGATGGGGAAATCTTTCCCTCCACTCACCCCTTCTAATGTGGCAATGGAACGGTTGGAGCCCGACTGTACTATCACCACCTGCGCGAAGAAACACAAAAACACTAGTGACTATGTCAGAGTTAAAAAAATAAAAGACACAAAGAAAGCAAGGAGAAAGACTGGACTCTTAACAACGGAGCTTCGTGTATTTTCTACCTATTTTTTTTAATAAGAAGGTCGTAGTACCCTGCCCAATCATCCAACTTGTTGCATTAGTTGCAATTCAACTGAAAAAATGTCCTTCAAGCCGAGTGTCTACGATATATCTGTTGCATATACCTTATCTCAAGAGTTCTGTGCAGTGTCCTAAGAGACACGGGGCAGGCATGGGGCTTTAGAAATCGCAGTTTGCCTGAGGGGCTAGAAGAATTGATGCAAAAGACTGTGACTTGAGACTCAGAAGTGGCAGAAAAGGTACTGTATCATACCAACAAAAGAGAAAGAACAGTCTCATTGTGTCCATAACTTTTGTTCAAGAGCATGCACCACAGTAGGTGTCTCCCCGTTATCCACCCATGCATGTTAAACAAGAAACTATTTCCTTACAAACTCTGCATTTTACAAGGAAAGTTAATTTTATTTTGAGTTAAACAGATATTAATATACTAGCCTGCTGCTGCAGCTGCTTGATGTGTGGAGATATATATGCAGCGTTCCATCATCAATTGCCACAGCATATACAGGGTGTCAGAAATCATAAGGCGGGCTCAAATGTAGTCCGGACAAATCGGCGCCTATGTGTGGCAACCTCGAATTTTCACAAAAAGTTTATTTGGGTGAAGCAATTAATCCCGCGAAATTTCAAGGCTTAGATCCCTTCCTGCGAAAAATTAGACTAAAAAGCTTGCCAGAATCAACGGCGAACGTTGAGTTTGTCAGAATTGGACCTGCGTCCCCATCTCTTGGAAGGCACAGCAAGTTCAGGACACACTCCGTCAAAAGCTGACGACTCTGCCGTCCCCTCGCTGTGCTTAACAGGAGACGGTGCCGCGAGCCAAATTCTCGCAAACTTAATTGGTCATCCACGCAAACATACAAATTCTCGCAAACTTAATTGGTCATCCAGGCAAACACTCACAAGTATGTTGGTATATTTTTTTCACAGGAAGGCCTTTGCCTTGAAATTTTACGAGGTACATTGCACCCCTAAAACGCACATCAGGATAAAGTTTTAAATTGCGACACGCAAGAACAGGTATTTTTAAGCCGATTTTAGAGCCAGACAATAGTCTGTCGGAGGTTAAGGAAGCGGGGCAAAGGAATTCCTCTTGCAAAGCCCTCTACTCTTTCCTAGAGGATTTGTGCGTGCATACCTTTGCACTGCTCCCCTCTGTATATCGTTTTATTTGAGTTTTCATTCTTGTTTCGTGCTCCAAACTTGTCACCCTCCTGAATGCAGCTGGCACTTCGAGCCCTCATCGACGTCTGCCGCATGCGTGAACGTGGTCACACTCCTCCATCTACACCCAGAGAAGGACTTATACAACTCCGCCACATGCGAAGTTCTGCGGCCGGTCGCTGAAATGAGTTCGTTAGCGCTGTGGGTTGCGCCGAGCAAAAGCGCACCTTGGCTAGAAGGAAGCGTTCCGTGTCGCTCGGAGTCAAAAACAATGCAAGGTAAAGCGCACGGAAAACGTCGGTCGCACAATCGTCCGCTTCTCTGGTTTTTACCGGTGTCGTCAGCGAGGAGGAAACGAGGAAATTAAAAGCAAGGTCTCACGGTTTCTCTTCCAAAGAGATGGCGGCTGGTTTCCCGGGCGATCGTTAAAGGAAAAATAGGCACCCGTAATGAATAGTAAAATATATATTTAAAACAAAAGGCGACCTACGGAAGGATGCTTAAAAATAGCTGTTTATAAACTAGCATTTGTACGGAGATCTATCTGCAAGGAAAGAAAAAACTGGTTTAAAAACGGTTTTTACCAGACGAGTGCGCCTGAAATGAGGAAACAGAAATCAGCCAGCGATACGATCACTGATGAAACTAAAAAGAAAAGAAATTATGTCTGGAGACGCCTTGGGCAACGCTCCGAAGGTTGTGTACACCTTTAAACATGAGCCACGTTTTTTTTTTTTTTTTTTTTTTTTTTTTTTTTTAATGCATGCGATACAACGTGCCATGTTAATCGCTCCCAGGAAAACGGTCACAAAATGCTTTTTGATCGAAACAGTACGGGTTTGATGATATTTACCGAACAGCGCAAGTTCGCACTTGCGCTGTTCTTTTTACTCTGCGTGCGAGGTCTGAAATAAATAATATGCCGGTAAAAGCACCGCCGCAGTCGAACTTACCTCCATTTCAGTATCGTTGCACTTGAAATGCTGCCAGAACAGCCTTTCGTTCCAGGTGAGATAGGGAAGTAATGCAGGTGAAGACCGACGCTGAGCCGCAGCGATGAGCTTCGGACGATACAGCGGGAACGGTGTGAAGTGCACTTTTCTTTTTCTTGTTTTTCGCCGGAAGAGTTTACGGGAACGACGGG